TGAACACTGTTGGATTTATAAATTATAATATTAGACTAGGTTTCAATTATAAAGTTGTAAAAGAAAACCCACCTTAATGTGGTAGTGCAAATAATCTCGAAACATGTGTATTAGGTTGATGGTATTGTCCCTTGTTTCTTTGTTGGTGTGACGAGGAAAAAGCACTGCATATGATATAAAAATTATACCATTATTCCAACTGCAAATTAATTCTGAAAACGATAAACTCACCAAATGTAACATAGCCAATATTGTCGCCTACTCTGGCATCCGAATTGGCCAATTCCAGGGGCGGTTCGCGGTGCGAGAAGAGCACTTGTGGCGCTGTGTGTGAGGCACGTCGCCCTTCCCTCAATTCCTGCATGAATACTTTGCCGATAATCACATCGTCCTCATCGCGGAAAATGGTGCTAAACACAACGGTGACACGATCGGGCTTGGACTCCACATACCTAACAAAGACACAAGCTGATTTTAGAGTTTCTTTTCATCTCTCTTAAACTTACAAAGTCTCATCGTTGCGATAGTTAATTACTGCCCGCTTCTGGCCCTCTTCACCCTGTTCCTGAAAGTCGAAATACTTCTCAAAGACCGAGGCAAAGCAGTTGCGCTTCAGCAGGCCAATCCGCTTGGCAATTTGCTCCCAGTCCTCGGGAATCTCCTCTAGATTGATAAGTACAGAAACATTGTAGCCTGTAAAGAAGAGTAATTAGTAGTAATTAACTTTTTGTTCAATGCTTAAACTTGGGCTGTCTGCAGACGAACCTTCTTCCGTGTCTGTGAGCAGACTGCCATATTCACGCTTCAGCAACTCGTCGGCTCCATGCTCTTGCAATTGCTTGTAGAACTTTAGCGATATGCTGATCTAAATATTATTTTATTATTAATAACGTTTTCTGGAGTTTGTTGCTGGATTCTTACTTACCCGCACTTTTGTCTTATCGCCATTTACATTGGAAAGGTGATAGAGCACGCCATCAAAGTCTGCTATTCGTATGTCTATCGACTCTGGCTTCAGTCTGCAAATAATAAAAAATAACGGATGAGTTCGATCGCTTATTAGTCATTGTCCCACACCCACCACGTACACAATATTATATATCTTATCGTCAAAACTCGTTTATAAATGATTATCTTTACCAGAAAAAGGAACAAAGCTTCTGAGACTTTTAAAAATTTTGGCTTCTGTATGCACCTTAGATTGTAAACTGTTTTAATTTTATTATTAAAACAATATATTCGATGCCTTTTAAAATATTTGAATAATTTGGGGAGAAACTCACACACAAAATAGGGGATTTAATTCTAAAATATGCCATAAAATAGCTCCCAAAGTACCGATGTAACTTAATTGTACACAAACACAAGTCATCTGTTATAATATAATTAATTATTCAGGATGCCGTTCGTATTTTTAGTTTATATAGGAGAATTTGAGACACAAATCGAATAAATTTTCAAAAGTATGCCACTTTTTCTCCCCTTTTGCAACTATAGTTAAAGATAAGAGCTTTCTAGTTCAGTTTTGTAGTCGAACACAAGTCATCTGTTATAATATGATTGATTATTCAGGATGCCGTTCGCCTATACATTTTTTATTGGAGTAATTGAGACACAAATTCGAGGAACAAACAAAAATATGCCACTTTGACTCCACTCAACCATTTCAAAAATAGTTTTGTAAACAAATGTACACAAACACAAGTCATCTGTAACAATATAACAGATTGTACAGGATGCCGTTCGGGTATCGGGGTTAATCTAGGAGCATTGTAGACACGAGAAAGATGGACTTGAACATGTAAACTTTGTCTCCGGGAAATCAAATGAGAACGTCTTTTAAAAAGTATGTAGACGAACACAAGTCATCTGTTATAATATGATTAATTATTCAGGATGCCGTTCGTCTTGAAAGTACTTATTTTAGGAGCATTTGAGACACATGTTGGGAATCGTATCCAAAAAGTGCCACTTTGACTCCCAAGAGTGGGTCTTCGTTTAGGGTTTGTGCACTTTAAAAACCATCTTTGGCCATATAAGAATGGCAAGGATGATCCATGATGTACGATTACTCTAGGAGAACTGTAGACACGGGAAAGAGAGGCAACTTTAGCATGTAAACTTTGTCTCCGGAAACTAGTAGAACAGTTTCTGGGCGATTGTACACGAACACAAGTCATCTGTTATAATATGATTGATTATTCAGGATGCCGTTCGTCTTGAAAATACTTATTTTAGGAGCATTTGAGACACAGTTTGGGATCGTATCCAAAAAGTGCCACTTTGACTCCAGAGGAAGGGTCTTCTTTAAGAGTTTGTGCACTTTAAAAACCATCTTTGGCCATATAAGAATGGCAAGGATGATCCATGATGTGCGATTACTCTAGGAGAACTGTAGACACGGGAAAGAGAGGCAACTTTAGCATGTAAACTTTGTCTCCGGAAACTAGTAGAACAGTTTCTGGGCGATTGTACACGAACACAAGTCATCTGTTATAATATGATTGATTATTCAGGATGCCGTTCGTCTTGAAAATACTTATTTTAGGAGCATTTGAGACACAGTTTGGGATCGTATCCAAAGGGTGCCACTTTGACTCCTAAGAATGGGTCTTCTTTAAGAGTTTGTGCACTTTAAAAACCATCTTTGGCCGTATAAGAATGGCAAGGATGATCCATGATGTACGATTACTCTAGGAGAACTGTAGACACGGGAAAGAGAGGCAACTTTAGCATGTAAACTTTGTCTCCGGAAACTAGTAGAACAGTTTCTGGGTGATTGTACACGAACACAAGTCATCTGTTATAATATAATTGATTATTCAGGATGCCGTTCGTCTTGAAAGTACTTATTTTAGGAGCATTTGAGACACAAGTTGGGGATCGTATCCAAAAAGTGCCACTTTGACTCCCAAAAATGGGTGGTCGTTTAGGGTTTGTGCACTTTAAAAACCATCTTTGGCCGTATAAGAATGGCAAGGATGATCCATGATGTACGATTACTCTAGGAGCATTGTAGACACGGAAAAGAGTGGAAACTTTAGCATGTAAACTTTGTCTCCGGAACCTTGTAGAACAGTTTCTGGGTGATTGTACACGAACACAAGTCATCTGTTATAATATGATTGATTATTCAGGATGCCGTTCGTCTTGAAAGTACTTATTTTAGGAGCATTTGAGACACAAGATGGGGATCGTATCCAAAAAGTGCCACTTTGACTCCCAAAAATGGGTCTTCGTTTAGGGTTTGTGCACTTTAAAAACCATCTTTGGCCATATAAGAATGGCAAGGCTGATCCATGACGTACGATTTCTCTAGGAGAACTGTAGACACGGGAAAGAGAGGTAACTTTAGCATGTAAACTTTGTCTCCGGAAACTTGTAGAACAGTTTCTGGGCGATTGTACACGAACACAAGTCATCTGTTATAATATGAAGATTATTCAGGATGCCGTTCGTCTTGAAAGTACTTATTTTAGGAGCATTTGAGACACAAGTTGGGGATCGTATCCAAAGGGTGCCACTTTAACTCCCAAGAATGGGTCTACGTTTAGGGTTTGTGCACTTTTTTAAAAGTTTCTGGGTGATTGTACACGAACACAAGTCATCTGATATAATATGATTGATTATTCAGGATGCCGTTCGTCTTAATTGTTATGGGAGCATTTGAGACACAAGTGAAACGATTTCCAAAGTATGCCACTTTTGCTCCCCCAAGGAGATTTCCCGTATAAATAAGTACATAACCCTAGTTCCCTAGACCTATTCTATGGCTACAGATCCCGGAGCCCCAAGCGGGGACTATGATTAACCTGGCTTTCGCTTTCGAATTCTAAGAGGCCGGGTGAGTCAGTTGCATATGATGCACAAAAGATGTGATAAACGAGCTGCAATGAATTAGCCGTATAGTGTACGTGAGTGGGAGGGAGAGGGCGCGCTAAATGATTGGATGAGTGTGTCCCAAGCTTCGAACAACACCCGAAATATCCCCAAGGGAGTGAGCGAGACGGAGCCATTACGAAGCTGATAACGGAATCGACACTGGTGATAACGGACGGGAATGCAGAGGGTAAAGTAGATAAGGCAAAATGGTGGAGCCGCAATAGGGTCACATATTACGGCACTGCGAAAGTTAGGGCAATGGGGGAATAGAGAGGACAACTTACCCGGCCTGGGCATTGCGGTATTTGACCAGAAGCGTCTCCTCGATAATCCGATTATTGATTTCCAGCAGGATCATGGTTGTTGTTTAACTTTATTTTCGCCAAAAGCGATGACAAATTTTTATGACGTTGGCGCTGCTTCTTCTGCCGCCGCTCCCTGCGCTCTTTCTGCGCTAACTGTTTCTTCTGCTGCTGCTGCTGCCGCCGCTGGAGCTGGCGGTGTGTGTAGGAGCGAGACGGGGCGCTGCTCCAACTCACCAACACTGGCGCATCACGCCCGTCTTTATGTGTGTGTGCAAGAGTGTGTGCGGCGTATTAATGAATCAACAACAAAAAATGGGCGCTGATGTCGGCTTTTTTGGTCCGTCACACACACTCTCACTCACACTGGCGAATTCCAATGCTCACCCACACACACACGTACGCAAACCGCAGCACTGCCACAGTTTCGCAGAAAAACGACTTTTGGCTGGCTCCCTGGGTCAAATTTAAAGTGCAGGTTCCCCGCTTTGCTGGGCGTGCCGTAAAAAATAGGTCTCGGACCGTAATACTTATTAAATTATAACAAAACGTGGGTGAAAACGAAGCACGCTGGAGGTGGAACTCGGACACGGTATCGATGGCGACGTGACAAACAGATATCGATATTTTGAGAGTATCGATTCTATTTGGACCATACAAAAGTATCGATTAAAATCTCGGCTGTAAAAAAAATAAATAAAACTAAACGTGGCTGGTCCCACTAAAAAAGGGCGCGGTCTTTGAATATTTTTGTACATGACACTTTTCGGAAACATTCCTCGTTTTTATTAGTAAAACAAATAAACATTTAGTAAATATTTATTAATAACTTTTTATTGGCAGTTGTGAGATTCCAGTTCATTGATGTTTGCCGGCAATGTGTTGAATTAGCTTCAATTAGGAAAATTTGATAAAATATTGATTAGGATAAAGACGTAACTCAACTTGTATAGAAACAAAGTGCCTTGCTCCATTATATTGTAAACTTTAAATTCAACGAACTTTTTATCAGGCAGAAGGAGACGGACATATTTTTGTCAAATAAAACTTAATATATGCATCAAAAATATCATAAATAATAGTTTGATAATTTTTAAAGGCATTTTGTTGCTGTTAAAGTCAGCTCTTTTGCACAGAAACAAGTGGTTAGATACTTACACAGGGTTTTTCCAGTGTTTTTTGGCAGCTGTGTCAATTGGCGACAGATCCTCCTTTTGCGTTTTCTTGGCCATAACGCGATTACGCCAGTTATTAAAGGAAACCCTCCATTGCTCCGGCTCTCGAGAACCCTTCGCCGGGACGATGGCGTTTAGTTTTGCAGACACTTGCTGCCACAAAGTGTGCGAACTTGCCTTGAGCTTCACCAAAAGCACGCGGGTTTCTTTCTCGAAATCTATAAATGCCTTCTTGTGGTCTTCTGTAAGGCCTGCTAGTTATAATATATATATTTTATTAGTTAAAAGGTAATTTTTTTAGCTAAATGCATAAAATCTTACATGGACGACCTCTCTTTGACGACGAAGCTACCACATTTGAGACACGTGCTGCCGCTGGCTCTCCTTTCCATGCAAATAAATGTTATAAGTCCATTTGTACATATTTATTTCTAGTTTTAAAGAGGAATGCTTACTCTGCGGTTTTATGTGGATCCTTTTTATACGTATCCTACATTTTTTAGTTACATTTTCCATATTTCTGGCAAAATGCGACCGACTTGCAATCGCCTTAAAAAATATTTAAATGCTTTTACCAACACGATGTTTCGAGTTGCCTATTGTAAAATTTTACAACACTATACACTAAAATTGGCTTATTAAAGCTTTTTTCAAAAGCCAGTAAAGCTCTTTTAAGGCCCAAAGAGTTGGCAACTCTGTTAACTACTTGAGAAATTAGTTGGCGCTGAGCTTTCGAGCGGACAACAGGTGGTCCCAGGTGATCGCGCTTCGCAACGAAAGTGATAAATTCCGAATAAAAACAAAACCCAGAAACGCGCGCGGCTTGTTTGGTTTGTTGTTGTTTTTGTTTGTTGCTTTTCTTGAGCAATTTGCGGTGCTTTTTTGGTGCTGCTGCTGCTGCAACCGCGAGTGAGAGAGCGAGACAAAGCAAAGTTCGAGTTGATTTTTCGGTTTTTAATATGTGATGTTAATACAAAAAATCAAGACAATCGAGAAAACGTGTTTACACTTATAATTCGCTCAAAGAAATTCAAATGGAAGCTGTCGCCCGAGTGCTGATCTTAGTCACCGCCTGCCTGCTGGCCCCAGCCACAGCTCAGGGGTTAGTATAACACACAAACACACACACACCTGGTACTCCCACAGGTGACATCCATGGACATGACATCACTACCACTTGGCACTCCACAAGAAAAACAAATGACTCGGACAACGAACTAGGATAGAAGAACTCCGGGAAGAGATAATGCCGCCGATCTGTAATTAACAACGTGTAATCAAGAAATTAGCCCTGGGCTTTATTACTGTCATAATAAGCTGACAACACAAGAGCGAAGCGAAGAAAAAAATCAAGTTAAGAGATGGAATAAGCCCCAAGCCAACGCGATTTTTATTTATGTTTTTTTTTTTTTGGAGGCGCCTACGCATATATTCAGGCTTGTTAGGGTGATGCAAGGTGCTGCCGGCAAAGGCTGAGATTCTGTTCCAAAAAGGAGATGCAAACCATTGACAAAAACAGAAAAAAAAGATTATATAATGATTATTTTTAGGGCAGAAATGTATATATATGAAAATACAAGGCTTAAGAGTTTAATCTGAACTAAAAATATTTTCTAGGAACTTTAGATAATGATTTGATTGACATTATAGATATATTGTTGTAAGGGAAAATATAAAATAAAACTTGATTTGGAAACTAAGAATTTTTTGGCAAATTACTATATAAAAAGGTATCTTTCGGCAAAGGTAGGAAAAAATAGTTACAAATTCCTTTTTAATATCATTTAATATAAAGCTAAAGATTATGGTTCAGTTTTATATCTAACTAAATTTATAAAAATTGCTTTTAAATATTTTTAAAAAATATATGTTTCAAGATGAGAAAAAGTCTAGAAAAGTTAAAGTTGTTCGGTTTCTTAGACAGCTTCATAGATCCAAGTTAGGTTTTCCATTTTCTTTCTAAAAATTATAAAAATATCGTAAAATGAATTATACAATTATATTCCGTACCATCATCTGTAATTTTAAATAATTTATTGAGTTCTTTAATTAGTTTTTAAAACACTACATTAAGGAAAAGTCTAGAAAAGCAAAAGTTTTATAGATTCTCAGGCAGCTTTATAACTCCACAACTTCGCCCTCATTCCCAACAAATTCACTTCTAAGAAATGTAAATATTTCGGCTACTTTCAACATTCTTTTTTAAACAAAAGAAGACCCAAACTTAGGCAGAAGAATTGCTAAAATATAAACAATTGTCTCGCTTGAATCACCCTGATGCTGGTAAAGCGGAGGTGACACATAAACACGGATTGCCACTTGTGTACTCATTTCCGATGGCTCACGTTCACCTTGAGAGGCTGTGCTGACCGGTCGAGGTGATCACTTGGCAAATTTATACTCCCCAGCCAAGAACCCTGATTGATTGACTCTCCGACACCTTCTGGGGCTTTCTTTCCTGCCTCCAGTGCGATCATTGAGTGCGAGCTATCCATATATGGGGCAGTCATTCAAGGCTGGATTTTGCCAGCTCATGTAGGTGAATTCCGAGCATTGGGAAGTCGGATAGGAACGTCGATCAGCTATGACATCCACCTGGTTACATTCGTTTAGCCAAAGGCAATCAGGTGAAACATCTCCGTGGCAAGTGGAAACTCGAAGCCGCCGCCAATTCAAGCAAAAAAGCGAAATTGTTTAAACAGTTTTTAGTTTTTTTTTGCGAGGAAAACCTGTTTACATTTTTTGGGCTAACAAACGTGACATAAACACAAAAGAAAAAGAAAATAGCTGTTGCTTAGTTGTCGGTGGGAACAGGTTAGGCCGTCGAAAGGCTAAAAACCGATTGGAATTAGAACAGGCCGGGCGCAAACTGTGAATTACGCTGAAAAGCTGGCACAGTTAGGAGACAGTCCGTAAATTTTTCGCAAAAACTAAATTTAATTAAAAGTCTGACAAAAAAACGTACTCCCAAAAACGTAAGCTAAGTGAGTGGGAAAAGCTAAAAAGAAAAAAAAACTTGATGGGGGATCTGAGACTTTTTTGGCAAGCTCTAAATTAGTTTCCTTTGAATAAGGTTTTTTTTTGTATTTGGAAATCAAGGAATTTTATTGCTTTTCAGTCAGAAGTTTGCCATGAAGTTAAGGAATCCTAGTTGACCCAAAAAAGTATATATTAGCATCAACAGCCGAGTCAATTTAGCTTTAAATTTTGTTATTAAAATTTATTGATTATCGTTTTTATTTGGACGACTATTCTCAGCGATTACCTGTTGGAAAATATTAATAATATTAGCTTGTCTAACAACATTTTCTTAGGTAACCTAGCTCAACCCTCTCATAATCTTTAAACTAAATATAAACTTATATATTACACTAATAAAAAATAAACATATTCAAATGAGAAACAAAAAACTCTTCACTCGATTCACAGCTGCAATTGTTTGTTGAAGAAAAAAAAGTAATGCATAAGTAAAACAGACAAAAGCCAACCAAAAGAAAAACAAAAACCCATAATAGTTATAGCTCGAGCCAACTCTGGCGTAGTTCCCCTGACCCCGGAGTCCCACTCCAAGCCATTTCCGACAGCGTTTGATGCTGACCCGCCAGAGTACATTACCCCTTTCTTTTCGGGTCGTTGTGGGGCATTGTCTTCCGTTTTGGGCGCGTGAATGAATAGCAAGGGGAAAGAGATCCAAGTTTCCAGATAGCATAACAGCATAGGTGTAATCCCCACTTATCTACGGGCATTAAATCTCCAACTACTACTCCGTCTCCCTATTTGTTTTTGCTTTTTGTGGCGGCAGTTTTTAATGGTGGAGGTGTTGTGTGACTTGGGCTTGGGGTTTTTGTTAAAAAATATATATAAAAATTAATTGAGAATGTTTTAAATTAATATAAGCTTCTTTAGAGTATTTAAAAAGTAGTGAAAGCTTACTTTAATGTTGAGATCGATTATGGATTTGATGCCATGATCCTTCGGTTTAGTTTCCTTTCTTGATTTTATTATTATAAATTATTCCAGACTGTACTCTATCATCGCCCCAAATACAGTGCGTCCCAACTCACAGTTCCATGTGGCTGTTAGCTTGCACAATGCACCTGAATCCGCCAGATTCAAGGTGGGCATCCTGGGCAGCACCTACACGGACTTTAAAACCGTAGAGCTGAGACCATTTTCCACGCAGCTCTTACACTTTGAGGTGGGTTTTGGTTTAAAGAACTCTCAACCTTAACAAACTCCCCTCACTTCCATCTCATCTTTCGATTCCCCTTCTAGATTCCTGCCCTAAAACCTGATAGATATCGCCTGACCTCCGAGGGCGTTGGTGGCGTTCAATTCACCAATGAAACCCAACTGCATTTCGAGGCCAAGGAGCATACGGTGCTGGTGCAGATGGATAAGAGCATCTATAAGCCCGGCGATCTGGTGCACTACCGCGTCCTCGTCCTAGATGCCAATCTGAAGCCTGCAAGGGCCTATGGACGTGTCCATGTGGATATCAAGGACTCGGGTGATAATATAATCCGGAGCTACAAGGATGTTCGCCTGACGAATGCCATTTACTCGAATGAACTGCGACTGTCGGACTATCCCAGGTTTGGAACCTGGTCCATAGTGGTGGAGGTGTCAGAGCAAATGCACACGCAGACTTTTGAGATCCTGGACCATATCCTGCCCAAGTTTGTGGTGGATATCGATACGCCCAGGAATGCCATTTACAAGGATGGCAAAATAGTAGCCACCGTCAAGGCGCAGTAAGTTTAGAGATAAGTTTTAAATGTATTATTTAATTGATTGATTTCCCTCCTTTAGCTATGCCTTTGGCCAGCCCATTGTGGGTGAGGCCACTCTGTCCATTTACCCCACCTTCTTTGGCTCCCTGCAGCCCTTTGTCAATGATCTCATCACCCGCAAGGTGGTGCCTATCGATGGCAATGCCTATTTTGAGTTTGATATCGAGAATGAGCTGCACTTGAAGCAGGACTATGAGAGGCAGTATCTGCTGGATGCCTTGGTGGAGGAGAAGTCCACGGGCTCTGTGCAGAATTATTCCACAGTTATGACCCTGCACTTGAATCACTATCGGGTGGAGACCATCAAGGTGCCCAGCTACTATATACCCGGGGTACCCTTTGAGGCTACAGTGAGTGTTTAGGGAGAAAATTAACTTTAAATAAATTTAAAATTTCTTCAAAAATGTATCATTTTTCCAGGCTCGCATAGCTCGTAATGATGGGGGTCCTTTGAGGGACTTTAATCCCCAGATTGAAGCTTATCTCACGAATGTCTATGGCAGCAGTGAGATGTACAATCGTTCGTCCTACAGCCTGGATGCCAGTGGCGAGGTTAAAATGAAGTTTACAGTGCCTATAGGAGACCAGGATGAGTTCCATTCCATCATTGTTGATTACCAAGGTGTGATTAGTGAGGTGGGCAAGGTGCCCAGGAAACATCTTCACAGCAGGAACTATATCACAGCCAAGGTGTTGAATGATAAGTGGGTGTATTATTATAATTGTAAATTATATTTTTTAATTAATTATAATATATTTTAATTATAAATTCAAGGCCCACTGTCAACCAGGAGATCTCCGTGGTGGTGCGCTCTTTTGAGCCCATTAAATACTTTATGTATCAGGTTGTGGGTCGCGGCGATATTATACTCTCCCGCAGCGTGGATGTAAGTTGAAATATTCTACATAAAACAATTAAATCTTTAATGTTTAATAATAAATTAATATATATTTTTCCTTAGGTAAGCGAAGGCACTTTTCACACTATCAAATTCCTGGCCTCCTTTGCCATGATGCCGCGTGCCAAGCTGCTGGTTTACACTGTAATAAATGGGGAGTTTGTTTACGATGAGCAGATCATACAATTGCAAGAAAATCTGCTAAATGCGGTAAATATTATAATATTTAAATATAATTTAATAAATTTTAATAAATAATTATAAAAAATTCAATATAAACAAATAACTTGTAAGACTTCCCTTATTAGTAGTTAATTTGTTTCTCTTCTTTTATTTATTTTTCATTATTAAGGTTCAAATCGAGGCCCCCATCCGAGCACCACCTGGCCAGGACATCGACATAGGCATCAGCAGCAAACCCTACTCCTATGTGGGTCTCATGATGGTCGATCAAAATGCCGCCTCTCTCCGAAGTGGCCACGACTTGACCCACCAAAGACTCATGGATGCCCTGCGCTCCTATGAGCTAAGTGATGTCAACTCACCTGTGGGTTCACCTGGCAAGGAATCGGGTGTGATAACCATGTCCAACACCGACTATTTTGTGGAGAAGGAGGCGGAGAGTACTCCTGCCATAGGACGTGAAGCCTCCACGGGTCCTGAGGAGGACAGACTGACCACCGTGCGCAAGACAGACATAGGACCCGCCCACAAGATCGAGGTTAATACTCTGCCACCTGGAAAGGGTCGCTATGCCTTCTCTTACACACCCAAACCCTTCTGGCACAATCCGAGGGTTCATGTGATGAGGCAACCGGCGGACACCTGGCTCTTCCTTAACATCTCGGCGAGCAGTGATGGCAGGAATTCGATTCACCGCAGGATACCCAGCGAGATGACCTCCTGGGTGGTTTCTGCCTTTGCCTTGGATCCGGTTAATGGCTTGGGACTCTCCGCGCCCATGGGAAAAATGGAGACCTACAAGGAGTTCTACATCACCACGGAGCTGCCTTACTCCATCAAGAGGGGTGGGTTTGGAGATTATATATTTAATTTTTATTTATTTATTAAATAAATGTTAAATATTCTCCTTTTAGATGAACTAATAGCCATTCCTTTTGTGGTGCACAACAACCGGGAGAGCGACCTGAGTGTGGAGGTCACCTTTTACAACTCCGCCCAGGACTTTGACTTTCCACAACTGGATCCCAAGGCCACGGACAAGCCAAGTAAATAAATTAATAAAAATAAGCTAAATTTAAAGTATAATTTAATTTATTTTCCAGAAGTCGAGCTCACTAGCCGCCGCTCTCTTAAGGTTCCTGGCAAATCCTCCCGTTCGGTGTCCTTTATAGTCACGCCCAAGCGAGTGGGTGCTCTGCCCGTCAGGGCCATGGCTGCCTCCTCCCAGGCCGGCGATACTGTGGAGCAAACCCTGCTGGTGGAGCATCCCGGAGCCACGGAGCGTGTGAATCGCGGCTTCCTTTTTGAGCTCAACTCGAATGCCAGGAATAGGAGGAACGTGACCATCCAAGTGCCCAGGAATGCCATACCCGAGTCCACCAGCATCGAGGTGTCGGCTGTGGGCGATCTCATTGGTGGTATTGTGGGTAATCTGGATAACTTGATTCTACTGCCCACGGGCTGTGGGGAACAGACAATGGTCAACTTTGTGCCTAATCTCATGGTGTTGCGGTATTTGGGGGTAAGTCGAGGGATGGGTATGAATCCTCAAGAAGATTTTTTAATGTGTTTTTGCAGCGCCTACGCCAACTCACCCCGGAAGTGGAACTGCAGGCCACCAACAACCTGGCTGTGGGTTATCAGAGAATCCTCTACTATCGCCATGAGAATGGAGCCTTTAGTGCCTTTGGCTTGGACGCCAAAAGGAGTTCCACCTGGCTGACAGCCTATGTGGCCCGATCCCTGCGTCAGGCGGCTCCCTTCACCCAAGTGGACAGCCATGTCCTGCAGAGTGCTCTCGTGTATCTGGCCAGTGTGCAGTCCGGTAATGGTGGCTTCGAGGAGCATGGCGATGTCTTTGAGCGGTTTGGCGATGATGGCATTAGTTTGACGGCCTTTGTGACGCTGGCGCTGATGGAGAATGTGGTAATTAGGAACAGGGAAACCTTAAATGAAAGGAAATTAAATTAAAAAAATTAATTTCCCACAAGGATCTCTATCCGGAGTATCGGAATAACATCAACAAGGCCTTGGACTTTATCACCCGGGGGCTAGATGGCTCTAATAATCTCCATGCCATGGCTCTGGGCACCTATGTCCTGACCAGGGCCAATCACAATGCCAAGGCTGCTTTCCTGCAGCGCCTGGACTCGATGGCCATACAAGGAGGTGGGTTTTGCTAGTTAAATATTAGAAAATATTAATTAAATCCTTTCCCAGATGGTCTTAAATGGTGGAACAAGACTGCCCCCGCTGGTGAACAGCAATCGCCTTGGTACAACACCACCCGGAGTGTCAATGTGGAGATCTCCGCCTATGCCGCCCTGGCTCTACTGGAGAACAATCTAGTGGGCGATGCCTTGCCTGTTTTGAACTGGTTAATGGATCAGCGTAACCCCAAGGGCGGCTTTGTGGCCTCTCAGGACACGGTGGTGGGTCTGCAGGCCTTGCTCACCTTTGCCGAGCGCTTTTCCAGTCAGGGCAACAATGTCCAGGTGGGTTTCCACTATGGAGAAGGTGCCGAAACCATTATAAATGTGAATGCTGGCAATTCACTGGCCCTGCAGTCGGTTGAGGTGAGTTTTCACCTTTTATTTTAAATTATAATTATTTAATAAATTAATTAACCTCTCCTTAAGCTACCCAACAACCTCAAGAACCTAAGCATCTCGGCCACTGGCCGCGGCATGGCCTTGGCCCAGGTTAGCTACAAATACAACACAAATGTGACCAGTGCCTGGCCTCGGTTTGTGCTCGATCCCACCGTGAATCGTAACTCTCATGCGGATTATCTCCATCTGTCGGCCTGTGCCAGCTTCGTGTCCGTGGTGGGCGAGGAGGAGCAGCGCTCTAATATGGCTGTGATGGAGGTTAGCCTGCCCAGTGGCTTTGTCGTCGACCGAGACACGCTGCCCACGCTGGAGTCGAGCGAGCGGATCAAGAAGGTGGAGACCCAAAATAAGAACACCAAGGTGGTGATATACTTTGATTACCTGGACAGGCGGGAGGTCTGTCCGACTCTGCATGCCTACAAGACGGTCAAGGTGACGAAGCACCGACCGGTGCCGGTGGTCATGTACGATTACTATGACAGTGGTAAGAGATACTGGTGGTATCTGTGAGATATATTCGTGTATCTAAGAGATATTTCTTGCAGCTCGTCGTGCCCGGCAGTTCTACAGGGCGCCCAAGTCCAATATCTGCGATATCTGCGAGCATGCCAACTGTGGAAATCTGTGCGAAAAGGCCGAGAAGCGAGAGTCCAAGCGGCCGGATGACTACACGGCAATAGCGGGCCATAATTCCAGTCCAGACTCTGTCCAAGCTATGCCTGGAATGGCGACCTTGGTCCTGGCCACGCTTCTCTGGAGAATGTAGTGCTGTTTAGAGGATATTATATTGTTAATGTTAATAACCAACAAGGAAATCGAAGCTTTAACACACACAAAAAACCCACTCACATAGTCCGTAAGCTAGCCGTAATGAATGCCGTGAACTAAACCTGAGCTAAATGTACATTACATCGAAAATGATGCTAAAAGTGTTGCCAATAAAAGTGTTATAACAATTACTAAAAATCTTGGAAAAAGTTGTTTAAATTTTATATATTTACAAAAGTGTTTTTTAGGAACGCGAATATAAGTTACTTCTTGTGATAGAAATTTACAAACATTAAATGACTTAAATATACAGAAAAAATGGAATTAATTTATATATATTTAATTATTTTATTCTCTTTGAGTTCTTTGTTTTTTCTTACATTTTCTACCAAAGTTTATCACTCATCCGCCCTGAGGACTCTGAGAAACCCTTGAAGACCAAATATAACTCACTTCTTTTGACAGAAAAATACAAACATTAAATTAAAATAAATTTTATAAATAGAAATATATATGGCATTCTCCTCCAAGGTTTATTACTCATACGTCCGGAGGACTCTAAGAAATCCAAAGTTCACTCACTTTTTTGACAGAAAAATACAAAAATTAAATGACATACATCTACAAAATAAATAGAATAAATACATATATTCTATATTTATTTATTGTGACATTTTCATCTATTCAGTCGTGTTCGGAGCTTGCCATCTTTCCTTGGAGCTGCTCTCAGCATGCTAATTTCGAGGTGTTACCTGGAGTGACTATCATGGCCAATCCAAATCCAGAGACAAAAGCAAACGAAAAGCAGCCGCCGCGACTGGCAAAGCGTTACAAAAGGGACACTGAGCGTGGCAGATGGAAGACCAAGCACGAGTACATCCTGTCGCTCTTGGGCTATGCCATTGGCATTAGCAATGTCTGGCGTTTCCCATATCTCTGCTATCGCAGTGGCGGAGGTGAGTTTGTGGGGGAGAGAGACCCACTCAGTTGCCATTTCCGGCAGCCACTCAATCCAGCGAACTCAAGAGACAGACACACAAATGAGAGAGAGCAGCGTATGCTATTTTTAGACGCATAGCTTTCGAGAGAAAGCTGGGAAAGCTTGCTGCATTTATGGAGGCCATTTGGACAGCCAGTGGGCGACGCCTTCGATAGCTCAGTTGGTAGAGCGGTGGACTGTAGAGTTTCCGGCGACTTGGTGATGCGAGCAGTGGCAGGACTCTGGGCCAAACAATACCAACGGTCCCAGATAGCGCTTGCTCTTGTACCATCAGGGTTACTGAATCGCGATAAATGTTGAAATCCATAGGTCGCTGGTTCAAATCCGGCTCGAAGGATGTTTTTTTTTTATTTTTCTGTATTTTTTTTTTTAATTAATCTTTGCTCCTTCTCTTTTCTTAGCTGCCTTCTTAATACCCTACATGTTTATGGTCATAGTGGCCGGCATACCATTGTTCTACATGGAACTATTAATTGGTCAATTCTCAAGCACTGGCTGTACTGGGATGTTCCGGCTGGCTCCTCTATTCCGGGGAGCCGGCATCGCCCAGGTCATTGTGAACTCCTACTGTGTGTGCTACTATTCGGTGCTCATCTCGTATCCCCTCCGCATGATCTCCTACTGTTTCTTTAAGAAGGTGCCTTGGAGGGATTGCACGAATTCGTGGAATACTGAGAATTGTGTCAGCGTTGACCAGGTAATATAATATTTTAATTATAAGATATATATTTATATTAATATAATATTTATTCATCTCTAGCTGGGGTATCAAAATCAAACGGGTTTCACTACTTCTTCAGAGGAGTTCTTCAAGTGAGGCTGACCTTAACTTTAACCAAAGTTCTCTCCCTGAAACCCATTTCTTTCACAGCCTGGAAGTGCTTAAGCTTTCCTCGGGCATCTCTGACCTGGGCGGGATGGTGTGGCAGCAGTTGCTCAGCCTGTTCATCACCTGGGTCATTGTGTATGCCTGTCTGGCAGGAGGTATCAAAACGGCAAGTATATCCAGTCTAGATTTTACCAACTAACTAGGACTCCCCTCAACCCCCCACCAGGTGGGCAAAGTCGTGTACTTTACCGTGCCCTTTCCCTACCTGCTGCTCCTGATCCTGTTCGTTAGAGGGGTTTCCCTGCCTGGAGCCTGGGTGGGCATCAAGTTCTTTCTGTATCCTGAGTGGCATCGCCTCCTGGAGCTCAAGGTCTGGGCGGATGCCGCCATTCAAATGTTCTTTGGCCTGGGACCCGGCTGGGGCGGTCTGATCAACATGGCCAGCTTCAGTGATTTCCGGAACAAGCCCAAGTACGATACGTATTTCATAGTTTCGCTAAATGTTTTCACCAGCATCTTTGCCGGCTTCGTGGTCTTCTCCGTTCTGGGATTTCTCTCTTGTAAGTTTGGTGTACTCCTGATTATTTCCTAAAAAAATCTGAAAGATTTTATCCAACAAAAAGACAAGTCTGGCATACCCGTTGAAGATGTAACCACAGGTGGAGCGAGTCTGGCTTTTATCACCTATCCGGAGGCCATTACCAAGATGCCCGTTCCCCAGCTCTGGGGGCTCCTGTTCTACGTGATGCTCTTTCTGCTGGGCATTGACACTGTGGTGAGTTTCGTCTCTAAAAAGAAACTTTAGCATATTACTCTTCCCGGTCTCTGTTCAGTTTGTTCAACTGGAGGCCATTATGTCCTCCATTATGGACGAGATGCGGTGGCTGAGGCGGTACAAGTATGTGATGATAATGGTCACCTGTCTGTTATTCTTTTTGTGCTCCACCATAATGTGCACCAATGTGAGTTGATATCTTAGAGATATTTCTTGCCTTTCCGCCTTACCCTTTGATTCTTTTCCCAGGGCGGCATGTTCATCCTGCAGCTGTTCGATTGGTACTCTTCGTCCTTGTCGGTGTGCGTCATCTGCATGGTAGAGATCTTTATGGTGTCCTGGGTGTATGGCATCAAGAACTTTATGCTGGATGTGGAGTTTATGCTCGGCAAGAGGCCCAGTCTGTATTGGAAGATTCTGTGGCAGTGGGTAACTCCTCTGATTCTAATCGTAAGCAGCTTGTTTATATGGGATGGGATTTAACTTGAACTCAAACCAAAAACTCACAAATTAAGATAAGACTGAGAGTTAAGTCATACTGTAAAGAAAATCCAGAAAAGTTTTTACTACTTTTGATATCCTCTAATAATGCTCCTCTTTATTTTCTTTCAGTTCATGTTCATTACCACCATTGTCTTCATGAGGACCATCACGTACAACAACATTAAGTATCCAGCCTGGGCCATTGTCCTGGGCTGGGCTACTTGCGTGACCTCCGTGATGTTCATACCGCTCTACATTCTGTACATCATCATCCGGAAGCGGTCCACGCTCAGAAGCAGCTTGAAGAGACGCCTCAAGCCCATGGACTGGACGCCGGCGGATCCGGAAGATCGGGCCGCATACGAGGCCTTTCGACGAGAGAGGAACATGCCAGGCTTTATGTCCGATAGCGACTCTGGTGGTAACAAATAGCCACATATATAGTTTTTCGATATATACATATATTTGTAGACTACGTGTCCCAAAATTTGTACAGCCAATATAGGTATTTGTATGGTTGAATCACTTTTAGTTGCATTTAGTTGACCTCCTCGGTGACCTCGAATAGTTGGTGGGTCATCTCGCTGTTGCCCACAAACTCCTCGTACCGCTGCCGGTCCTCCGTGTCCACGGGATACCAATCGGTGGGCCGGCAGGTGCGTTTGAAGCGCTCACAGAAGGTGCCCGAGCTCTGGTAAAGATAGTACAGCCCATAGCCGGGAATGGCGAGCAGGGGGAGGCCCAACAGGAAAAGGGCCAAAACCAGGACTAACACCGAGGAGTACGAGTGCTCGAAAGAGGCCACAAATATTCCCATAAGCTGATAGGAAAAGGATATTATTTTCGCAATAAAAAACTTTAAAAATCGATGACCTACCAAAGTAAAACACAGAATAATTGGCGAGATAAAGCGGAGAATAAACACCTTCCAGGAGGCAAAGGGTTGGCCCAGCATAAACTCAATGTCCCGCTGGAACCTGACTCTTCCGTAGATCCACAGGACCACCAGCAGGAGCAGCAGATGGAGGACACTGTGCGAGAAAATTGAATCAAGGGACAAGGCGGAGAAGCAGGTAATGCCGTGCTGTAAATTGTAAATTGTTAATTAAATTAATTACAAAAAATATAAAAACTAACTCACATTTGTGCAAAAGAGGAAGGAGCACAGGGCAAGTCCTCCAATTAGGCCAAAGGTTACTTCCTGTTTCCGTGCTCGCAGCTGCTCGAACTCGTCGAACAAACTCTGCAAGATGGTGAAGATTTGGGTGGTCTGTAAGGGAATATAAATATATATTTAATAAAGTTTTCCCCTCGATACATGTACAGTCCTCACCATCACTGTAAGACTGGCCATCAAGAGCATGGTATAGTAAATAAAGGTCCACAAGTTGGCCCATTCCATGGAGGCCAGGACACTGGCACTGGACAAATACAACATCCAATGGCTCATCACATGAGTGTCATAAGTAGCCACCTTGACCTCTGCATTCAATAAATTAAGTAAATAATTAATTAAAAATATTAAAGTAAATATTCAAATAAAAACCTTCAAAGTAATGCTCCAGCATGAAGGTAACCATCCCGAAAAGTATGTAAATGAAAACCTGGCCAAAGGAGATGATCCAACTGTAGGCCATGATATTTGTCTGGAACTTGTTGAAGCTGGACAGCGTCATCACACTGCCCCAGCCGGCTCCAAAGGCGTTCAGAACCATAATGAATGTGGATCCTATGCCCCCCAAATCCTGCCTATGCGGCGTTACATAACGGAGGAGTCCATTGATGGCTCCCGGCAGGAAAAGGAATCTTACAAGGCAGACTAAGAGCAGGCCCAGTGTTCCCAGAACCATGTATCTGGAAAGTTTACCAAACTTTGCCGTCTCCGAAAACTTGTAGAAGATCAGGGCAATCAAGCCCCAGACCAGCACAAAGTATCCCACAAAGTGCCAGGAGAGTTCGTAGCCTTGGTCGCTCAAAGAATAAGAATCAAGGTATTCCATTTTCTCAAAGTGGCTTCTAAAAAAATATATTTAGTTGAGGTAAAGAATAGATTAATAAATAATATATATACATACATAAAATATTACTATTACTATTCAACTTTAACAATCAATTCACATTTTATAAACAATTTGCTGACATATAATTGAAATTTAAAGCCCCCAAAGCATATTTAATAAGCAGTTTATATTTCCACAAGCAATAGAGCTCTGGTTTTAAACAAAATATTCATAATAACAATTTAGATATAAACAAACAAAAAACCCACGAGAGCTAATAATGAGCCTTGAAACAGCAATTAAGTTTAATTCGTGCTCTTGCATAATATTTAATAAAGCTTTTCATTTAGAAAATAAACTCATTCAATTTAATTTGTATCAAGCCGGCAAAATAAAAGCCAAATAACTAAAATAATTTGCTTTTACGATAAATTTGAATGAAAAAACTTACTGAAAATACATAACCGAGGGAACATCGAGTATTTTAATATAAAACGTTTCGTTCAAATCGCTGTACTCGCTGTCTAAGCTCTCTTTTCCGTCGGTTACATTGCAGATCTAGAAAGTTTTATAGAATAAAAAAATAAAAAATAAATATATAAATTAGAATTCAATTAAATTAAATTAATTTTTCCAACCGTTGATCTGTCTGAAGATTGATTATGCCAAGAATTCATGCCCTCGCAGCTCCAGGGCATAGTGGGTCTCAAAGAATTGATTATAAAGACCAGGGGAACCGCCGCAAAGATGCCATAGTATATGAGCATGGAGAGGGTGAGGAAGCCACTGACATAGCCCATTCCTGTAAATATTTTAATATATTTCTTATATATTTTATATATTTTATTACAAGTACCTTTGAAGAAGGGCGACAGTCGAAAGGCAGAGATGAAGCCACTGCTGGAGAATTGGCCCATGAAGGAGTGTATGACCAAAATGGGCACCAGATAGATTACCATATAGACAAAGTAGGGCAACATGCCAAAAACTGAAAGGTAAATAAATAATAAATACATTTTTTAAATATTTACAAAGTGAAAGAAATGTGTGTAAAAGAAGAATATATCAAATAAGACTTAAAACCCTTCACAATCATAAATAAAAAACATTTTTAAAATAATAAAACATCAAATATAAATAATATAAAAATATATATTTATACAAAAAGACACCTGCTGATCTTAAATATATGTAAAATTTGATTAAAATGAAACTCATATAGACTTTCTGGCATTCTGTCACATCTATAGGTAAATAATTTGAATTGACAGAGCAACGCCCCCAAAAAGATTATACTAACCCTGGGCGCTTATCGCTCTCTTTGATATATTCAATATGTATTATTCTAAAATATATACTATACTTACTGCCCATATCGAAGAAGAACCAATATGAGGCCGTAAACAAATCCAGTTTCAGGGCCAAGCCAAAGCAGGCGAATAAATAATCCGTTGGCTTCTCCCACTTTCCTCGATTCTGGTCGGGACTAAAGGGCTTTTGCCCAGTGCCATATGATGTCTCGTACACCATATTTGTGGAGCTCCTTCTTTAGATATTTTGTAGATTTTTTAAGGGCTTTCTGGCGGCTTTAAATAATATATATATATATGGTTTTAGGTACTGCTAGCGATCCGCGTGCGCTGCTGCTTTAAATTGACGGACTAATTAGTAGAACCGATGCCGGCGCACTGAATCCGATTCTGACGGCAAGCCGCTGTTTAGCTCATCCCAGTGGATACCCTGGGCTTGAGTATTCCAGCTTGATGATTAATTGGAGCAGAGAAATTTAAATGGATTTTTAAAAAAGAGCACAAAGCAGAAATGACTTGGAAAATATTTTGGAAATTGATTATTACTTTTTAAGCTTATTTATTTTATGTAAAATATATTTTACTAAACCCTATTGATATTTTTTTTATATTTAAAAAATTGTTGTTTGAAAATAAAATTTTAAAAAATTAATAGTCTTTGCTCGTACTTTACAAATACTTTAATATTTCCCAAGCCCTAAAATACTTTATCTAAAATCTCTTCAGCTTACTTCTTTGTCTAAACCCAAGGTGTTTTTATATGTTAATTCATTTCTTTTCTTTTTTTCAAGTTTAACATTATCAAAGCTCTTATATCTGTCTCACTTATTTGCTCTCATCATCATCATCGTCGTCGTCGTTGTCGTATATTGTGCCAAGTTCATTTCGATGCGGGAACTGGAAACTGATATTTCGCGGAAAATGCGGCGGTATGAGCTGTTTGGGGGGAAAATTTCTATGAGTAATCTTAAAGAAAATATAAATATTACGCTCTGGCTGTTGATTTCAATTATGCATTGACTAAGTCTCCCTTATCACTTTGCACACTTTCCAATCGCGGGGATTATCAATGCGAGAGATGGGGATGCACACCTTATCGCAAATCTGAACTTGCTGAATGTCTCGCAACTAGACTCGTTGTTTATGAGGTTTTTTATGTGTATTTAATTTGAAACATGCAGCTTTGATAACCTTTCTAAGTTTTAAGAGCTTGAAATAGTTAATATGATAGAATGAAAATATAATCTATTAAAAGCTGATTGTTTTTTAAGATTTTGCAACTTTAAAAAAATCCTCAAGACCTTATCTTTTGCTTTGTATTTTTGTTTTTAAAGCAAACCTTTAATTCCTTGAATTTTATTTTCTCAGAAATTATATTCAAAACAATTCAAGCTCAGTTCATTTTCAGATTGTGATTATTAAACTTGAATGTTTGTGTCAGGAAAAACCGTTTCGAATGATTCAATGTCAATGTCAGTATATTTACTAAGATACCAGAGCGGTTTAATTTATGTAAATAATCCCAAAAGTAGACCATTTAATTTTGTAAAATATAAAAACAAAAGAAGGGTTTGAATTACAACAAAATCTAGGTTTTGTGTATGACAACTGGAACCACCAAATGTATTTTAATTTTCAGTGAATAAAATCATAAATGATATTAATATAATAAATAACAAAAATATATATATATTTTCTATACATCCTTAATAAATATTCTAAAAGAAACCATATACCATTATCCAGTACATGTCTAAAAAGGTAAAACTTTATTGATTCGTAACAGTATATATTTTTTGGCCGAAGCTTGTTGAACTCTTAAGTTGGCAACTACACCAAATATCACCAGTTTATTGTTCACTATAGCTAGCATTTGGAAAAATATCAGTACAACTTTCTCAATTCAAAAAACGATCAACGATCAGCAATTGCACCTGATTGGCATCTGTATAGATATCCGTATAATCTAGTGTTAAGTGTTGGTGTTAGTGTGATCGAGTGTGTTAGTATATAAAAGTGAGTTTTTCAGTTCAGTTCAGTTCATTAGCCCTATTAAGTGTTGCGTTTTTTTCTGTTTTTTTGATTCTAAGAGAGAGTATTTTTCGGTATTTAGGCACTAAGTGGCATTGGCATTGGCATCGATCACCAGCATCTCGGATATGCCCATGATTTCCTCATAGAAACGCCGATTATCCGCATCCACGGGATGCCAGTCGTGTGGGGCCAGGCACTGTTGCAATCGCTGGCGTCCAGAACCATTGGTTTGGGTCACCTTGTAGACCATGTAGGAGAGGGCCGTCAGGAGGACCAGGCCCTGACTAACCCAAATGAGGACATCGTGGATCTGGTCGCGCCAAAACAAGATGCTCAGTTGGAACTGAAATGGTAAGAAAATTACTTAACTGATTTTTCTATTGATTTTTAATCTCTCGAATCACTTACCAAACACAATCCCAAAAAAATGGGCGTGGCGAAGCGTATAAAGAATATTTTAAAGCTTGAGATCGTTTTGCCGAGCATAAACTGCAAATCGCACTGGAAACGAACGCGGCCATAGACCCAGGTGGTCATCATTAGAAGGACTCCCGATATAAACAACTGGGTGAACATGGCCAGATTGGGCAGCTGGGTCAGCTGACTGAAGCCCAACTGAAAGGGAAATTTTTATAAGTAACTAAAAAATAAATTCTTAAAAAACCAAAACTCACCTGAGTGCAAAAATACACAGACGAGGCTGACAGGCAAAAGACCAGAGAGCCAATAACAAGGATTCTTTTCGAACGCAAAACCTCGAACTCGTCGAATAAGGCAGTCACTACGGACATCATTTGGATGACCTAAAAAAAAAAGAAGAATAAAATTTAAATGATTAATTTATTAATAGTCCAAAAGTAAAGTCTCACCAAGGCACAGAGTTCCGAGAGAAAAATCATTCCAAAGAATAAAAAGGCCCACAGATTGGGTGTTGTACTAAATCGGCCAAAGAAATAGGAGAAGCAGAGATACAGGAACTGCATATGATGCTTTTCATCCACATGCAAGGGGATCATGCCCACATGATCTGGAATATATATTATTACAATTAATTTTAATAATTATTATTACTAAAATGTATTATTATTTGTTTCCAACTCACCCTCAAAGTGATCATGGGCCACATTGCAGCAGAGCAGCCCCATCAATCCTATGGTCACATGCGTGAGACAAACCCAAACGCTCAGTCTCTCGGCATCGCTCCGGAAGCTGTTGTAACTGGCCAGGGTGACGACACTGCCCCAACCGGGTCCCAGGGCCACCCCAGCCATCAGGAAGGCACAACGACTCGTGGCAAACAGACTATTAAAGCTATCCAGTTGGGGCATCAAGTAATAGTTCAAGGTTTCCAGATCAATGCGTTCATGTATAGCGGAATAAAAGAACACAGCCACGAAGAAGGCAAACATCAAAACACAGGCACAGCGCAGGGTCTTGCCAATCTGTAAGAAATATAATATTTTATTATATATATGTACATATATATTTTTTTTAAATACTAATAGTCACTCACAAAAGCCACTGGCTTAAGCAGTAGGCCCAAAACCACCAGCCAAATGGCTAAAACCCCTATGAGCATGGACCAGGATATGGTCATGGGTCCCGAACCCTCGATCGTTGAGGCAATGGTTGACCTAGAAAACAAATAAACTTTTAAAATCAGACTTTAATTTAATTTAATAAAAAACCCACCTAAAGAACTCTACTGTGGAATGAGGATCTATTTGTATGTCCTGTAAATATATCAGAATTATTATTAAATAATCTGTTTATAAATCTAACCAAAACCCACATCCACATCGTAATCCTCATGACGGGAACAATTCTCCGAGTTCCATGTATTATTGCAACTCATCCAGGGCATTGTGGCATGCAGTGAGTTAACGGTATAGATAAGGGGTACCACAGCACCGATGCTATAATATGTGAGAGTGCCCAGATTGAGGAGCAGTATGGCATAGCCGATGCCTGAAAGTATGCCAAAATATATGAGATTATTTAGGTAAATAAATAAGAATTAGATGTTGCTATGTTATATTATAGTAAATGTATATTTATATCTATATTTATGTTTACATTTTCTTACCTTTAAAAATGGGCGCCACACGAAATGCTGATATGGAACCGGAAGACGAGAACTGACCCAGAAATGCTTGGATCAGAAATATGGGCAGGGAGTAAAAGATCATGCCCATCAGGTAGGAGATAATGAAGAATACTAAAAGAGAGAAGAAAAGGTAATTAAAACTTAATTAAATTTATCTATGAATATACCATATTCATCTTAATATTATAAAATACATAAAGAAGAATACTAGCAAGGGTGATAAAAGTTAATTCAAAATGTATTCAATATGTCTATGAACACTTAATATATGTATAATATCTTCATATATGGTATTGATCTGTAATTATTTAAGATAATTTCTATGATATAATATTCGTATTAATTTAATTTTATTTATATAAAGTATTTGACTATATTCAATTATATAAATAAATTATTGTATTAATCATAAGTACAATATAATATCTTAAAAAATCATCACAATAGTCTGACTAATACTAACCCTACCCCTATTATTAATCCATTACTAAGCCTTATAAGATATTGTATACCCTTACAATGATTTATCGTGTCGGCGGTAGCTGTGTGTCATTAACTTGGCTTATCTTAAACATAGAGAACAGTGCAATTATGTAATTAACTAATAACCCGACAATGGCCTGCGATTAAATCTGTTTGAAACCTGTTTTCGACTTGGCTAAAGTTCAGTTTTAGGGAAAGTAGATTTAGTTATATGTTATATATAATAGATATATATATTTTATTTTTGCGATGACGACAACCCTGGGTGCTGCTCACCTTATCGCTCAGGAAAATGGCAAAAAAACTTAAATCCGTCATTAAGGCAGCTGCGATAACCTTTGCTTTAGTTAATTGAAATATATTTGATAAGGAAATGGCAATGGATTCCTTAGTGGAATAACCCTCGCAAATATGAAAACTAAACAAAACAAAACAAAGCAATTGTAGAGGTAACATTGAGACTGTAAACTTTACAGTGTAAAGTATCCCTCATTGAAGTTTTGAAGGTGAAATTATTCAATACGTTTTAGTTTAAAACAAAGCTAGATGAAAAACAAAGCTAAATTTAATTAAATTAGTTTTTTCTTTAAGAAATTTTAAAACCAACTCACACCATCCTCCGTGCAGTAGTCCAAAGGTGCCCAACTCCGAGAAGACCAACGAGCTAAAGGCGTGGGTGCAACTGGCAAAGTAAAAGTCCGCCGACTTGGCCCACTTCCCCCGCAGCTTGTTGTGGCGATAGGGTCGTTCCAGGGTATCATAGGCACTGCCCGATCTTACGGCCATGCTGTGCACCTGTCGATTCCGAACGCGGCGGGCGGCAAAGGCCAAAGTGCCACCTCTTCCACCGCCGGATTCATCAGCCTCCACTGGCTCACCCTCGGTGGGGAATCCCCCTGGACCATTGTCACTGTTTTCGCAGTCACCGAGGAGCATGCAATTGTTGAGCTGCTCACCGCAGATGCCCTTCATGGTATCTGTGGCCAGTTGGGGGGTCAACTATAAAAGCTTGGCCCGTTTGCGTTCCAAGTTCATGCCGTTTGGTTGACGCTTCTGTTTGGCTTTTCTTTCTAGACTCTTTTCTCACAATATTTTCTTGTCTTTTTCTTGACTCTTTTTTTATTTTGGCACTCTGACCCAGTTTCCCGCACAGTTCCAGCTCTTTTCTGGGTCACTTAAAACCGCAAAAGTCACTGAAATCGCCTCTGCCGCAGATTAGCTTTAAAAGCACATTAAATAAAAAATTAACAATAACAAGCGTGTTATTGCCGCTGGCGGATTAATTGAAATCGTGAGACCCGACGCGACACTTCACCCCGGCGGAGTAGTCAACCCAATTACGGATTTCGGCTTGCGGATTCCCAGCTCACGAGAGTTCTCCAGGCGCCAAGCAATCAGCTTCGCAGCTCGGCGGCAAGTGATGCGATGTGGCGGCGATGTGATGCGATGCGATTCGATTCAATGGGGATTGCCGTTCTCGGCAACAAAGTAATAGCAGAGTAACAACAAAGCGCCCAGGCAAATCACGAATTTAATTAAAATATATTCGTCTTTGTACGTCTTTTTTTTTCATGCGTATGTGAGTGAGTGGAGAGTGTGCATCGATTATAGACTGAGTGATACAGTGGGGCAAGGCCTAGCAAAATGTAAGTGAAATAAGGTATAAGTTAAATAATAATATATTACTTATTACTTATTTCATTAATTAATTAATTTATTATTTTATTTTGTCTTTTAAATTATTAATGAAATTTTAGAAATATGTATTTTTGCAAGCGGACATGGCTAGATCGAATCGGCTGTTGATGCTGGTCAGAAATAAATCCTTTACTAAAAATTGTAATGAAAAATAAAAAATAAATTAATTAATAAAAAAAATATTCAAAATAACTTATAAGTCATTCTATAAATAAAGTTAAAAAAAAAATAATAAGGAAATCTTAAGCAATCATAACAAAAACGATATTTTTTTAGACCCAAATTCTAATATCTAAAACCAATGTCCAATAACATTTTTGCTTAGCCATTCTGAGGTTGATGCCGCTGCAAATAGCCCATACCTAACCCAAGCTATATTATCAGTAAAGCCAAACAAAGAAAGATTCCAACTGATGGGAAAAAAAACAAGACCAAAGGAAGTCCATTTAAAATAAAAACAAAGAGGAATGCCATCGAACAGAATCGGAATCGGAATATAAAAACAATGCAGCGGCCAGTTCGGGGAAGGTAAAGAAATGGATGAACGGGGGCAATGGACAGCTGATGTGCGCTCTCTCTTCTCTCTCTCTTTTCACGCCGGTGGTCCAACAGAGCGTATACTTGACATTGCTCATACGTCCGAGTGGCTCTCTTTGCGCGCTCTCTCTCTTTCGGAAATATTTCAACAAGTAAGGCGGAGAGGTGGAGGGGAGGGTAAACCTGTGCAAAAATCAGCTGTTTTTTGTTTTGAACCTCCCCCTTCGGAATTGTGTAATTCGAGTGAAATTCGCCAGTTTTCAGTTTTATCCCTCACTTTTACACTAATGTTTACGATGACGTCGATAATTTGGTGTGGCTCCGTTTTATGAGTAAAAATGAGTAAATTAGCGAGTGCACCGAATGCGGCGAACGTGTCCAATTAGTCGAATCGAAATGTTTACAAACAAACACTCAAGTGTGCGCAATAAATTTGCAAAAAAAAAGAGAGAAACAAAATAGAAATGGAATTGGAAATGGCCAAGAAGAAAGCACACACAAATATATAGGAGGGGTACGATGGGGTTTAACTTAAGAAATTAATTTTAAAAAGGTGGAAGTGGGTTTTAAAATGTGGAAATTTCATTATAAAATATTTATTTATTTTTATTACTTTAACTATAAATTGTAGGGAAGATTAAGGGTCTATTTAAGAAACAGAAAAACTAATTTGCTTAAATTATGACTTTAAAAACGTTTTTTTAATGTAAATATTTCTGTAGGACGTTATTTTTCTGGTTTTACACATTTTTAAATATTATTTCAAATCATTTAAAGTAGGCCCTATTTTAATATAAAATTTTAATAAATGGTAAAGTTTTTCTCCCAAAATTCCAAATAATCCATATATAAGCTACTATTCCAATCCAAAATTCCATATAAACAACCAAATATTATGGCCAATATTTTCTCTCCCTGTGCATAAACATTTTGTGTTTGTTTGTGAGCAAAAAAACGCAAAAAGTTGGCGTCTCAAGTGTTGGCCAAGTCCGTGTGGGCAGTACCAAAGCCCTCCCCCCGCAATGCCACCACTTATCCGCCCAAGCCAAGTACGTATTTATATATATACATATATGTATAATTGGCGATATTGGCGTCGCTCCTTATCATCATCATCCACTGGACGTAATCTGGGGAATCTGGCGACTCACATTTCCATTGCACTGGCAATGAATGCACTTTACTCTTTTCCTCGCCAAAGGCGACACTTTTCGCAATCACGCACGAAACTCCTGCTAACATATATTCGACGCGGCGACAACAAATTTCGATCTGAACCCGAATCGGGGAAACGGGGCGGAGGGGAATCGGTGGCAACTTCGGGACTGCGACTGCGACGCACGTTGTCGGCGGCGCGTCTGCCAGCGAGCGACTGAAAACTGAAGAGCAAAAAACTCAGCCAGATAGTCGCCGAATGTCAGACACTGCTGCGAATGCGAAATTTTGCTGCTGTTTGCTGCTGTTGCTGATGCAGCTGTTGTTACTGCAGATGTTGCTGTTGCTGCTGTGCTTGTTACTGTTGCTGTTTTTTTGGTGTAATTGCTGCTGTCTCTTATCGCTGGTTTCCTGCTCTTTGGGGGAAATGCTAAAAAAAGAGTGACAGCAAAAAAGAAAGAGCGAGCTTTAGGCAAGAGTACGCTTTAAATGCTCTACAGGTAAAGTGACTCACTGAAAAGGTAAGGAAATTTAATAAATTAAAACTAATTATCAATTATTACATAAATTATCAATAAATTTAACTTTAAGTTCGATTTTATAAGGTTAAAAAGCTGTATAAAATTGTATTCTAAATTAAATTTGTGGAGAATCATAGAAGGAATTTATATATGTAGTGTGCGCTGCAAAATATGTCCGTTTTCAAATAACCTGTGTAACAAACACTGGCTACATATTCAGTATTCAAATCGAACTTCTACGACCAAGTCATGGGCTCACCACCCAGCGGGGACAAAAAATATATTAAAAAACAGTTTGCTCAACATGTCTCAGCTTTCTTACTTGCTTTTGTTTTGATTTAAAAGGTTTTATTTAATTTTTATTTTTAATTAATTTAATTTTTATTAATTCAAAATTCACCACAAAAACCATATCCCTAAGATCACTATTATCAATGGCAGCATCACAGTTGGATTTAATTTTTGTCTCTTTCCTATGTGCGCAGATTTTCGACCTTCGGAGCATCGAAAACTGCTGAGTTAAATCCATAACATCCGGATTATCCAAAGGTATCATCACCTTTCTTGGTGGATCCGGATCAAGTATAACTAATTCTATTTCTTTCTCCCAGGGGTCATCAGTATACATGTTCGTCCAGAACCTCTCCAAATCGATTGGACTATATGCCACATCAAGAGCTTCAATACACAGCTTGTAGTGTTTCCATGGGGCATAGGGAACATTGGGATCCATAATGATGGACACTACCATTGTGCTTCGCTTCACAATACCCATGGGAGGGAGGGTCGTCAAGGAACAAGCCTGGTGGTGTATTGGTTGTTAGTCTAAAAGCCACCAGGTTGTTATCGCTGGAGTTTCTGAGCTCCAGAGGCTTTTGCAAATCGTATTCGTTGGAGAGGTCAAAGACGGGCTTTACAGAGAGTACATCCAGCAATGCCATTTCGAGATTCAAGGAAAATTTAAATAACATAATACAAACTAAGATTACAGTCTGCTACACGAGACAGCTTCAAATCAAAAAATATTTATATATTTTTATAGTAACAATATATATTTTAATATGCTTTAAACTTATTTTTCATTTCTAAATATTTCCAATATATATCTTAAAAGTAAAGTAGCCACACATTAAGTTGTTATAAACCTCCTTAAGACGCTGCAATTTCGTTGTTGACCCCACAACTTGTCTGAGATTTTCTCTTTTTCATTGCTTTTGTTGTTGTTGTTACCGGTCAATTACCGGCTATTGCCAAAAACGAAGCCCAGTAGGAAATTTCTAGCCATTTTTCGAGCCGGGCCACCAAGTAAGGAGTGACTGTCGACACGATTGACGGTTGACTCTTTGGCCGCCGGCGTACAATAAATCAATGCAGTTGCTGGTTCACTGCTGCTGATTCAATCTCCAGGAGTTACACAGAGAAAACATAAACTAAAGCTATGGAAATTATAAAAATATATTTGATTATTGTAAAACAAGAAATAATTCACAGAAAATTACACAGAAAATCCATTGTAACTGTGGAAATAAAAAATGTTAAATTCTAGTTATAATAACTATTTTTTGTAGTGCCTTTTCTATAAGCTGAACTGTGTGAAAGAGCTCAGAAGGTGTACTGTTATTGATACACTCTGACGCATTTCATTCAGCGGCCAAAGCCAAATGCGGCAACAAACGCGAAAACATGAAAAACAAGCGCGAGACTCTGTAAACCGCAGCTGGGATTGTTGGTGGCGTAAGGGGGGCGCTTGGCGGGGCGTGGAAAGTCACGCAACAGTTGGGCTCTACTGTAGTTATAGTAAGCAAAAAAAGAAAAACATAGGGAAAAACAAGTGTGTGAGCCAAGGGAGTGGCTGATCCACTTTGATTTGTGTGATTTGCGGCTGCATTTTGCATTTCGAACGCCGCTGGCGACCGTGCGCATGCGCATGAACTTGACATTTCAGCTCTCGATTCAATTGCGTCGCTCTAATATTTTTATATATAGATTTACACACATTTGCGACAATTTCAGTCAATGAATCAATCAAATGTATTCGAAGGCGTAACGCTGAGATAATAGTTTCCGAGCCAACGGTCTTTGTATACTAATTGACTCTGGTCACTGGGGAATTTATCACCAATTGGGTTTTATTTTATACTCAGCCATCAGAGCTGTGTGTAATTTGAACTCGTTTTAGTTGCAATTATGTGTAGTCAATTGATCTATTAGTTGGAGAGAAACAAGTTCAAACTGACAAAGTCCAGTGAGTTTATTTTCAAGGAGAGTAGTTAGCTACGATTTAAGTGTACATTTCTAGGAAGAAACACGTTTATTGATCAATTTATGCGTGATTTATTAATTTATTTGATTTGTTATTTAATAAATTTAAATCTCTACTAATTCTCTTTGAAAATCATCTCTTCAATAACTACTCATCCCTAAATCTGCATGTATTTATACAATTCTTGAACTAAATCTGTACAATATTTTTAAATAAAATGTTATTAAAAGAAAAAAAATTCCTGTTACTTTCAATATATATATATACAAAATTAGAAATGAAAAATATGTTTTAAAGATATTAAAATATATATTTCGGCTTTATATATAAATATTTTTTGATTTGAAGCTGTCCCAGTAAGCAGACTGTAATCGTACATTCGTATTGTGTTATTTAAATTTTCCTTGAATCTCGAAATGGCATTGCTAGATGTACTCTCCGTAAAGCCCGTCTTTGACTTCTCCAACGAATACGATTTGCAAAAGCCTCTGGAGCTCAGAAACTCTAGTGATAACAACCTGGTGGCTTTTAGGCTAACAACCAATACGCCACCAGGCTTGTTCCTTGAGGACCCTCCCAAGGAGATTGCTGAGCAAAGCACAATGGTTGTATCCATCATTATGGATACCAATGTTCCCTATGCCCCATGGGAACACTACAAGCTGTGTATTGAAGCTCTTGATGTGGCATATAGTCCAATCGATTTTGGAGAACCTCTCCTTAGTTAAATAAATAAATAATAAAAATAATAAAATAAAATATATATATAGTTAGTAAAATTAGTAAATTAATAATAAATAAATAACGAATAATTTTAGATAATAAGAATACGAATTGTTAGACTAAATAATAATTTTTTCTTGACTAGTGCAATAACTATAAGCTAATAACTTGTCGCACTAGGATAAAAACAAAATAAATGAAAAAAATGAAAAATAAAAAAATGACCTGTTCGTAGGAGTTCGATTTGAATACTGAATATATAGCCAGTGTTTGTTACACAGGTTATTTGAAAACTGACATATTTTGCAGTGCACACTACATATATCGATTCGTTTTATGATTCTTAACAAATTTTATTTAGAATAAAATGTATTTCTATATATAGACTATTAGATTATTATTATTATTAACCTTATACAAAAAACAGATTTTCGGATTGAATTTAATGCATTATTGGCTTAGTTATAGATTTTTAAGAATTTTTTACTCAGCTATCATTTGCCAATCTTAACGCTCCTCCCCATAATTCCTCCAAATAAAACCCCTTTAAATTTTATTAACATTTTCTTTATTTGCAAAATGTTCCAACATTTCCTCGTCGGCAATGCTCTTGGCACTTCCTTCGAAGGAAAGTTCAATGCTGATAGGTTTTCTTCTCACAGGAAAGCTTGGAAAATGTATGCTAAATAAATAGGTAAGCGAGAGAAGGAGTGCTCGGTTCGAAAGGGAATTTTGGTGGCTGTGGAAGTAGCTCCTGTTCAGGTGCTAGGTGCGAGTACCCTGTCTATATATAGGACTATATATACAATGTATTTACAAAGCAGTGGTGTAGGCGATGGCAGTTTCCAAAGGGCAGCGGCAGGGGTCCGATCAGTTCAGGTGTGGATTCAGATTCAGAATCCTCCTTACAGAGTTCCGGGGGCAGGAGCAGCGTTGATGGAAGCCACCGACTGGATGTGTCCGGCCAGAGGAGCGGTGTGGATGGCTCCGCGGGTCTGGGCAGTGTAGACGCCCTCATGGGCAACGGGAGCCACAACCACGGCGGGAGCATGAGCAGCAGCCACCACAGCGGGGGCATGAGCGGCAGCCACCACAGCGGGGGCATGGACAGCTGCCGGAGGCCAAGAAGCCACGGAGACGGCGGCGGGCCAGTGGGCAGCGGGAACAGCCCAGGGGGAGGCCACCACAGCGGGTCCAGAGACGGCGGTGTAGGACAGACCATGTCCGGCCACTTGCGACAGCAGAGGGATCACGGAGGACTGGACGCCCATGGCCAGGGCCAGGGTGAGGACAATAGCGACGGCGAACTGAAGAAGGCAAAAAATAAAAATTAATTATTTCTTAATTTTTTAAATATAAAATAGAGTTTAAAATCCAAAGAGTTTTTCCAGAATATCGTATTTTCTTGCAGAATAAATTCTTTAACTTTTTTAATTGTTTCTTTAGACTTTATAATGTTATAATAAAAGGATCAGGCTTTATCCTTGTAAGCTAACTCACTTTCATGATGCTTGGAGGTGGATTTTTTGGGTTGGCGCTCTTGTTGAACTCTTGTTCTGAACTGATTTGTTAACGTTGCTGGCGGCCAGCTTTATACCCCGATGCTGAGCTGACCACATCAGCTCTGGCAACGACTGACGTCGGAGGAGGGTTCATGAAAGTGAGAGTTCACACACCATGACACCGCCCTGACACTGCTCCGCATGCATATATGATCAGCGCTAATGACATGCCTCGATTCTGGACGGATCGGATTCGATTGGACTCGGGTTTGTATTGAGATCTAACGGCAGTAAGATATCTCATGGTTGTCGCGTTAACGAACTAGTTCTACACATGCCTTTATTTTTTTATTAACAATTAAAACAATGTAGAAACTATAAAAGGTATATTTATGACTAGGAAACTTGGAGCAAAGGGGTTTTATTTTTATCTTTAAATGAATAAAAATTGATAAACTTCTCTTATTTAATATTTTTAAAATAAAAATCAGCATTTCAGTTAATTTATTTAATTATATTCTATAAAAATAATCTATATTCTTGAGAAATATTTAACAAAACCCACCAAGAACTAGCTCTTGGCTGACTTGCGAACTTGCCTTGTCCCAGAAATGCATTCTTGTTGAGTGCCACATGTGGTTTCTACCCTGGGAAACCTACAGAACTATCCAACTATCTCAACTATCTCAAGTGTCTCGGCCAAGTGAGTGGCCCAACCCACTTTTAAGCTGCAGTTCCGGTAAGTTGCATTTTCACTCCATCACACCGCCACTTTAATTACTTAATTGTTGTTTGTGTTCGATTAGCATTTTCAGTGTTCAGAGTATATATAAATATATGATTTATAACACGAAACCAATTATGGATCGATCGATATCCTGTATAAGGCCGGCTAATAACTGATTTATGAGTTCTTAAGGGTCTTAAAGCTTTTGTAATGTCAGGAAACGCCCACATAAGTGGGGCATTAATGATGTATATTTATGGGAAATGTTTAGGAAATATTGAAGCCCGTTTTCTAAGCTTTTTTTAATAACAAAATCTTTAATTGAAATCCCTGAAAAAAGCCAAATCTCAGCTAAATTCCATTACAGCTGCATATTTTGTTGCCAAGCCAAAGTAGTCTTATTTCCTTAATGATTTCCACCTCCGATTACCTAATGGATTCCGGCACTAGGCATTGCCTTAGGCATTGTGCAACATTCACCTGGTCGAGCGTGGGTGTCCCTGCACCAACCCACATAAATCTATGGAAAAACCATTACGAGACAGCAATTAAATCCCAGACAAAAGCCGGCAAAAAGACAATTCAATAATCCCAAAAAAAAAAAAGGCAAGGAAAACCCCCTGGAAGAACTTGTTTTGCAGCCAATGTGGGCGAGAGATCGAATCTCTGGGCCAAAACCAAATAAAGAGTTCAAGTTGAAAGAATTAAGGCAATTTTTGCCAAAGCGCTGATAATCTGTAATTAGCGGCTGCTATAATTTGTGGCAATTATTTAAGCCCAGGTGCTGAAACTGCAACTGAAACCGAAACTCTGCCATCTGTAATTAACGCTAAGCGTTTGCATAATTAAGCATACGCCCTGTGCTCCCAATACGTGACGCGATCGAAAGCCCAGGCGTTATTAACTCGATCTAATGACCATTTGGACTCCAACTTGACTGCCGTTCAGCAGAGTGGACTCTAAACAAATTAGGACTGCCAACTAAGATAATCATACACAGCTAGCACTTGAGTCAAAGACAAGCCAAAGACACATTCTTGGCAGATATGGAATCAATTGAACAATTTGTCGGCCTTTCAAGGTCGAGCAGGTGCAGCATCAAGGTTATTATTAACTAATATACCAGAGCTTTGTGTGATTTAGTTTGATTTAATTGGAGTTTCGAGAGGGGTGAACTTGTGACTAAATCCATTGTCTTGGCGATAAGGAAGGTATGGCAAGGTAATGGCAAGTTTTTATGTGGAACAAGGAAATATTATAGAAAAATAAAAGGTTGTGTTTAAGTAAGAAAATAATAAATAATTAAATAAAATAAATAATAAATTATAAATGAATAGGAAAGATTTTTTTAAAGGAAAACGAAATTGTTAAAAAAGTAAATAGTATTTTAAGACAAAGTTCGAAATAAGTCAAATAAATAAAATATTTTTTAAAATTTAAAGGAAATTTAAAAACAAAGTTTTTTTAATTAATTAAAATCTTTAAGCAATTAATAAAGTCTTTAAAATATTTTATAAGCAAAATATAAATATTCTTAAAGGAAATTTGGGAATAAAACAAGAAGGGACCGCAACAAAAATTTTTATGTCCAGTTTATTGTATTTTTCTAAAATGTTAAATACCAGTAGCAACATTGCGTATACGTAATATTTTGTGAATTTGCTTTAAATGTATTTTTAATTAATGAATTTTACTTATTTACCAACTTTATTATTATTATTATTGAAAAAGAAGATTTTATTAAATAATTTTTTAATAATTTCGTGACACTTTCTGCACTCCAAACTTCACCATAATATTAAAAAAACACTCCACATAATTCGTTTATTTATAATATTATTTTAAAAATATTATTTCATAATTTTCAACAACATTTTCCCCATTTTCCGCTTTCCAAACAATAAAAACCCTTCATAAAATTCGTATAAAAAACGCTGTTTGAGTTTATTTATAACGCTTTCGTCAATCTTTACATTGTTTTGCAGAGAGTTACTAGATTACAATGGGATATTTACAGGCTGGCAGGGACATACATCCTCAGACGATATGCCCGTGTGATAGTGATAGATCAGAGAGATATATAGTATATAGCAGAGATAGATCTAGGATAGAGACAGGATAGATAGAGATAGAGAGAGTGGAAGGCATTTGAAGAATAGTTCTCAAATAATAAAATGAACATGCTGTCGTTTGTTGGTTGTGGTTTTTCTTTTCTTTTCGCTTGTTGCAGTTGTTGTAATTGCTGTTGGACTTGTATTTGTTGTTGTTGTTGCTGAGTGCGTTGGGATCTTGTCCAGAGGATATGACATGGACAGGGGACCCAAGATCAGGATCGTGTTCGTATCAGGGGGGTGGGCGTGGGGACTAAGAGCTCGGTGTGCTTAACAAATAAGTGTACAGAGAGTGAGAGAGATGTGGCTGTGGGGACTTATCCGGAGTCGTGGAGCGGCTGGCCAGCCACTCCATTTGGCATCAGTTGGGATCTGGACTTGGCCCGCTTACAGGGTTCCCGGGGCGGGGGCCACATTCACGGACGTGGCCGAGTTGATGTGTCCGGCCAGGGGAGCGGTGTGGATGGCACCACGAGTCTTGGCCACATAGACACCCTCATGTCCATGAGCGCCGGCAGCGAGTCCGGGTCCCTGGGCCAGACCAATTCCGGGAATGGCGGCACCATGGCCCCAGCCGGGTCCGGTCAGACCCCAGGGAGCAGAGCTGGCATGGACGGCAACGGCAGCTGGGGCGCCCCAGAGGCCATTGTTCCAGGCGCCATTCCAGGCACCGTTCCAGGCACCATTCCAGGCTCCATTCCACAGACCAGGTGCGCCATGGGCCACCGGGCTGACATAGGACACTCCGGGCGAGATCTGGGCCCACGAGGCCTGAGCTCCGACCAGGGCGCACACGAACATGACTACGGCAACGGCGAACTGTGTGTGGGGGGGAGAGGAAGACAAGGATTAGTTGGGGGAATCCCCTTTGGGTCCTTTGGGGTTTCACTATCCTCACCTTCATGTTGGCTTTGGGGTTGGGTTTTGAAGCTGGGTTGAGTTGAAAAGGAGAAGTGTTGAATACTCAGCGAACGAGTTGATTCTGATTTCGACTACCAAATTGTGGCAACTTTTATACGAAAAGCGCAGCGCGGACTTTGCTTGGATTTTCCGAAACCAAAACCGAAACCCAAACAGAAACAGAAACCTGCCTTCCAAAAGAGAGGCGAATGGCGGCGAGAGAGGCTCTGGCGCTACGCCGACGCCCAAGTCCAAGTCTTGGCCAGAATGGGTGCACTGCGCCAGGTTTGTGGCCTTTCACTGCCCAGCTGCTGCTGCTGCGGCTGCTGCTGCTGCTCGAAGATCTACTCTACGCCTGGGGGTGATGCTTTCCGCTTCCAGTACAGCCCAGCCACACCCCTCGCTCCCACGATCAAGGGGGCGGCGGGCGTTGATAGTTGCGCAAATTACCACAGTCGAACTTCTACTAGTCGGATGCCAATAATAAATACCAATAATATGTACAAGTTATAAGCAATCTGTTAACAAGAAATGCGAAATCCATAAGGTATGTGATTTATGGGCATTCATTTATAAAGGCAGTTAGGTTACATAGATTTTAAATTGGAATAAAGTCTAGGATAATCTTTCTACCTTTTAGATTATTACCTATTTATTTAATAAATAGAACAAGAAAGAAAGCTAACTTTGGCCAGTCAAAGTTTGTAACAATTAAAATATATCATAACTTAGCCAAAAATGCATTAATTTCGATTCGGAAAGCAGTTTTGTGTTAGTTTTTATTAATTTAAAAAAACTGCATACCAAATTTAAAATTTTAAGGAATCAAAATTTTTGGCCATTTTTGCTCATTTTAATGATGTAACCCCTTATCAAATTTTGCAAAAATGGCCAAAAAATCGATTTCTTCCGGACATGTCTAGAAAGATTCGCATGTTAATGCTGATCAAGAATATATATGGGTTATGGGGTCGGAAATGATTCCTTGACTTAGAAAAATATTATTTTGTATTATAAAATCTGATTTTTTATATTAAAAAACTTCTTGATTTTTTTTTAAATTAAAAATATCATAACTCGGCCAAAAGAGCATTAATTTTAAATCGAAAATCTGTTCTGTGCAAGATTTTCTACAGTTAATAAATCTGCATACTTCATTTAAAAATTTTGAAAATTCAATTTTTTTTATCAAAATCAAAAATTTTATACAATTTTTCAAAAATGACCAAAAAATCGATTTCTTCCTGACATGTCTAGAATGATTCCCCTGTTGATGCTGATCAAGAATATATATACTTTATAGGGTCGGAAACGTCTCCTTCACTGCGTTGCAAACTTCTGACTGAAATTATAATACCCTGCAAGGGTATAATAAGAGTTAATAAAAAAAACGTCTTAAACCTGTTCAGTACTATTATTAAAAGGTCTTTCTATTATTTAGATTTTGTATTAATTATATTTCTTAATCTATAATAATATTTAAAAATACGAAACTAATTAATAATTTTTAAGAAAAATCCATCTTAATGAAGCCCCATTGTAGAGTCAAGAATTTACAGCCGAGGGTGAAACACGGACACACATAAACATAAACATAGATATTTCAGAGCCAGACACAATCGGCTTGGTCCAATCAGGGGCCTGGAAATTGCCACAAACACCAAATTATATTGATAAAGAGCACAAACACATTTAAAGAGTCATAAGCATGTGGCCGGTGTTGGCCCAAAGCATTCAATTTGCCATGGCACACCACCGACTTTAAGTCACTGGCCGGGGCTTTGGATTAGCTTTCAGAATTCTTTGGGGCAATTATATATATATCGTTTATTCGTATATTCTCTGGGCATGAGTGCTGGCTGGCTGTACGTTGCAGCTTTGGGGGCACACGAAATGGAATTTCAGTGGAGCCCAGGTAACGTCGCGTGCCTACACTGCAATTACAGGTGCCTGGGCCCAAGGCTTGACTTGGCTAGAACTTTTTGCCACTGCAATGACTTAATCAATGCAATAAAATGAATTACCTTTTAAATGCCTAATGGCCAGTGAAGCGTCACAAATCCTTCTGTAATCGCTGGTGGTTTTAATTGTGAAAGGAAGAGAGTGTTTAGCTTATAAGGAAATTGATTTTAAGAATGGTGAGTATGTTTTTAATAATATATTAATAAAATAAACATTTTAAACCATATAAAAATATCTTATTCACGCTTGAATACATTCATCAAACACTTTTCTTTGACTAAAAACAAAGCAAGCGAAATTTAATGACGTCAGCAAGGTCGTCCATTTCCTTTGTGTTTGCTCAAATTCCCCAAATTCTTTTGAAATTCTTTCGAAATTCTCAACTTTTTCGCAGTGTTTTTAAATAAACAATTAGCCTGTGCAATTTTGCCTTGTTTTTCCCCATTGCGGCTGCCCTCTGCCTGCCCCCTGGCACCGCCAGAAATAGGAAATCGCATTGAAAATTGTGGCAGGGCAACGCCCAAGAATAAATATAATCAAAGGCTGTCAGAGAGCGCATTGGCAAACAATAAAAATGCAAAATAGCATTGCAAAAAACGAATTGAATTGGTCCACATTTCCATGTTTGGGCCAATAGCGGGCTCAACTTGAAATTTGAAGTGGAAATTGTCGTCATGCAGACACGTTTTTCCGCTTTTCCGCGCGAGGGTCAGAGTGTCAAATTAATCGTGTGGACTTGGACACTCTCGGGAAAACCATTTAGAAGACAGCTGCAGCTTACAAAAAATACGATATTCGTATGCGGACCATTAATCATGGCCAATATTTATGATTATGCATAGGGTCTGGTCAAAGGAATGTCATACTTGGACTCTCGAACTCGTCTAACTGGCGCAATTAGACCAACTGTGCGAAAAAACAAGAGCACGAAGGCCCTTCACCTAGGCTCCATTAGAGCTTCATTAACACAAAAACCTGCCAGCGCCTAAAATATGAATTATGCATTATGCATTATGCCCAATACCGATCGATGGCGAAATATATCCAGCGTTTTATTGCCAACTTTTCAGATTTCTCATTACGATGACCGGGCCAGAGAGCACTAGACAATGCAGGCCAATATATATTTCGTTTTTTCAGGGCGTGTTCTTTTTGCCTATTTTTACTTTAATTCCAACCATTGTTTTACGCTATCAAGTGGGCGGTCGCTGCTCCAGTAATAATCTTGTCGGTTTGGTAATGATCGGTCAGTTTATCGCCCCGAAAATCAAGTAATTGGTGCAGTTTTTATTTTTTATTTTCGACCACTTTTCAAAGCAATTATGCAAATTTTTCTAAACACATTTTTGCATGGCAATATATCAAGCACACCAAATGGCAAAGCTGGCTTGTACATGCTAAGTTTAAGAGCGCTTTAAAGTTTTATTTAAAAATATATTTTGGTATATTTAAAAATATGGGGAGTTTAATTTTTGTATAGAAATAACAGCGGGAATTTTCAGTAATATTTTCCTATATTTCTTTCCATTATTAAAACCTTTCTTTAACACTCATCATTAAATTATCGTGTAGAGCCTTCCTTTGTTAAAAACGTCAAACATTTGGCAAACTTTACAACTCTAGTTTTGTGATAACTTTCTACGACAACGACTTGTCATCCTGAAATTGTGCTAAAAAAGAAATCCAACGAAATTATTATTTCTGTATTTTATTTTCACTAACAAAGATGAGTCAATTAGTGGCCAAGGTTCAGGCTCTGGCCAATAGTGAGTGTTGAACTCCTAAAAAATAGAACCAGAAAAATACAGAAGCAATGTACTACATATTTTCCCATTTTCCCTAGAAATGGTGGTGGCTGCTCGTCCCCAGTTGGCCGAGTTCTGGCGCTATGCCAAAGTGGAGCTATCTCCACCGCTGCCTGCCGACTTCCAAAAGCTGAAGAAGACCGCCGGGGAAACCGCCTCTGCAAAGGATGTAAAGGCTCGGCTGGGCAAGTTTAGTATTGGCCAGGTGACCGTCAGCGAGGCTTGGCTTAATATTCTGGTCACCGTGGAGGTGATTACCTGGTTCTACATGGGCGAGGTCATTGGACGTCGTCATTTTGTGGGCTACAAGGTCTAGGAGAAGAGAAGAAAGGAGTTCCTGGTCTTTTTGTGTTAAATGTAAATGCTTTGTTTTGCATAAATATGTTTTTTGTGACCAGGTCATCTCTGAAATAAATGCATTAAATGAACTTAAGCGGGAAGTTGAATCTCTAAAGAAAGAGAAGAGAGTACTTGTAGTTCTAAAAACAAACCAAATTCCTCCTTCATTGTCTACAATTATTTACATAAATATATGCTTTATGTGGCCAGGTGCTCTGAATACAAAATAAACACGAGTCCATAGAGAAACCTCCCACTCTGGTTGTCTATGGCCCCGCCTCGAATTCCGGAGAACCATTGGCCCGGCATGAGCAGCGCAATCAATTCACATCTACGATCTGCGATCTGTGATCCGCGATCTCCGCCTCGCTGGCATTGATCTTGGACAAGAGAACCAGAACTCCGGCTTTGGTGCAGGCGTCCAAGCGGCAAGGCGTTATGTTTCTAAGTTGCCAAGACAGGGGACACGGGCTGCTGCCGGGTCCGGTCAAGTGGCATAAATCAGAGTGACGCCGTGGCAGTTGCACAAGAGCCAAAAAAAAAAAATATAAATAAAAATAAAAACTAAAACAAAAACAATGCAACACGAACGTGGACGTGTGCCCCAAGCTTGCGGCCAAGTTGCAGGTACAGTCAAGATCTCAGTTAGGTAAACTATAATGGAAACTATAATATTAAATAATATTTATAGTTGAAAATATGTATTTTCAAAGTTAAGAAAAAATCTGTAAATATAAAGACACCCCTATACATCACTTTTATTTTTTTAAGGAATTTTTTAAGCTTTAATCTTTATAAAAACTATTAATTCTCTATCATATCTTACCTTCTTGATACATTTTAAACCCCTTTAAAATTTGTTAATTTTCTTGTTTGTTTATTAAATGCTTGCCTGCGGCTTTATTTGTTTGACTGCATATCGAATTTACCGTTTGGCCCAATTTTAATGGCATTTTAATAACACAAAGCCAAGCTGCAAAAGCCTTTGTTGCAATCTCACCGCCCGATTGCATCATGCTTAAGCCAAGCTTATAGTATATAGTTGGTCCTTATCACAGCTCCCAGACGGACAACGCCCACATTTTGGCCCAAAGACCAAAGCGAATTCCGCATTAAAATCGCATAAACAGAACAAAACAAATTATCGAGTGGCGAGGGGGGCAAATCGATCGGGTAAAGAAATCAATGTTGGCCACGTTTAAATTCAATTTGGCGGCCTGCCGATTGTTGCAACTCTCGCAGAGCCAGACTTTTGTGGCAGCCGGCAAGTGGCAGCGCGAATTTGGTAACCAGCATTTCCGCCCACACCGCCAAACACCTCTCTGGCTTACAACTCATTATTTAATTTGCTCTACATACCTACCCTACCCGGCACTACATGTGAAATGGAAAGACTATGGGCACTTGATTTTTTTCGATGGGATTAAAATAAATATTTGAAATAAATATTTTCATGAAATATTTCCATGAAATATGTTCTCTTAATAATTTTTAATATAATTAAATATATAAAAATATATATAATTACCTTTTTAATAGATTTTAAATAGATTTAAGAACAAATAAAATCTCTAAAAATAAACAAAATCCCATTCTTTAATTAAGAGCACCTAAAGTTCGTCTACAAACTCCCCTTTATATTTACTTTTAATTGTTATTCGAATTAATTGAATCAACTCCGCCAAAAGGCAATCACACTTGGACTGTGGCAAGGAATTTCTCGAGTGGGCAGCCTCCAAAAATATAAGAAATCAAATAAAATAAATTAAAAGAAACCCCCGGCTGATGCAATTGCAACCAAATCGAATCGAAAATAAAGTCAATTGGCCACCCGATCGAGAGATATGCGATCTCCTAGATCTGCGGGTAATTAATCCAATTACAATTAGTATGCTAAGCGGCCGACTAATGGTCATTAGAGGCACTGCTCTGCGGCTCTCAAGGCGGTAATTAACCACTTTTGTGGCCGCGCTTGTCACTACACAACTGTCACAACTAACATGGCTAACGGAGAGCTTTTCAGCATGGCCCATTGTGAGGGTTCTTGGCCGGATCTTGGGCTCTATAGACTATAGTGTGTGCTCAAGGCGTTAGCAAGTGGCCAGGTGGAATGCCTGGAATTGTGGGGCACCTTTTCCAGCTGCCACACAAAGCTGAAAGAAAAATAATAAAAAAAATCACAAACAAAAATCTGAACGAGTGTGTGCGCTTAACAAGTTTGTAGTTTGTTTGCCGCTCATGCAATCCCAGAGATACTTGTCGCTCACTCACTCTCTGCAGGCTGCAGGTTGCAGGTTGCAAAAAAAAAAGATCCGAATTAAAGCCAAACTGAACTATATTTAGGCCAACAGCCAACCAGTTGTGGGTGCGGATAAGAAAGCTGCACGAGGTAGCATTACGAAATCAAAAAGCCAGCTATGGCGTGTGCTTTGAGGAGGTTTTTTATTTTTATTTTGTAACTAAATCCATGCAAATCGATTGTCCAAAAAGTAAACGCCCTGTTCTGATCTCTGGTTGTGAGGAATGAATCACGCAGCGCAGAACCCGTTCGATCCTTCGATGGAACACTGACCTTATTCTATAGCTCATCGCCCACACACGCCAAGTGGTTACGCTAAGACATGATGTAATAAACGTAAGTGCACTTGAAGAAAATTATTTAAGAAATTGTGTTTACATTTCTATATTATTTTATTTTTAGTTTAAAGAAATTTTTAGATATTTTAGATGAATATTTAAATTGTACAATCCAAGAAAGATTTTAAATTGTAGTTTATCTCTATGGTTTTCGGCCATAAACTCTGCGTTTTTAACTTAAATTTAAGATTTTTTGTAACAGTAGTTTCGGTTTTAGCCAATTTTTTGATTATTTTGTATTTTTTATTCCTTATTTTAATTTAAAAAATTGTATAGCCTTTGTTATAAGCATCATTTTTAATCAGAAAACCTTTTCTAAATACTCTCACTTAAAACTGGAAAACCTTTAGCTAAAAACCAGAAGCTGCCTCCAAAAAATATGCGAAATGCGTAAAAAAATAGCAAAAAAAAACAAGGTGGAAACCAAAGCCACCGTAGTGGGCCAAGTTGAGCTTGATTCTGCGTGGCCAGAAACCAGAAATGCGCAATGTGCGTTCAGGCCAAGTGCGTCGAGTCGGCGCATTGAACCCGTTCGGAGCAGGAAGCCGCAAAGTGCGTAAACTTGAACTTGCAGTAGAAGAACTTGGAGTTAAAGTCGTTGGCGTAGCAGCAGGAGGAGGAGGAGGTGGCATGCGTCATGCGTTTCATGGATTTGCGTGCACCCAACGATCGCAAGTGGGCCTCAACTCTGCGAATATAAAGAAAACAAGAAGTGAATGGCGGTGGCTTAGATTTATGGCCAATTGCCATGGGGCTTGGCTGCTGCCGACACGACACCAAACAGTGCCGGCAAAATGTTTAGCTGCTGTTTGTTTAGCTGCCACTTTGCCCCGGCCATTCCCCGGCGCCAATTGACACTTTTATTGAAAGACCCGGCATTTTTTTCGCTTATCATGTCTTGTGGTCAAAATAGATTTTCAATCAAAGATCTTTGGTCATCAAGAGAGCAATATTATTTAAGAATTTTCTTATTCCCCTACTTGCCTTGTTTCTAGTTTAATTTATAAATTCTCTGGACGGGACCCCAAGCCGCGTCTAACGGCAGTCAGAGGCGTCTAGTGGGCGTTAAGGCGGATCTCAGCTGCATTACATTGCATTGGGGGATGTGTGTGTGGGGTGGGGGTCTCATTACTTAACTCCATAGAGATCTAGTTTTATGCCACAAACACACATTTATTTTTCTATTAATACTTTGCAAGTGCGAGTGTGCGGCGATCAAGGCAAACCGCCCCTGCTCCAGATAAGCAGCATTCGCGGCACTCTCGATTTCAGATTTCTGCGACCTGGGCGACCAGTTGCCAAGCTGCCAAGCTGCCAGTTTCCGAGCTGGAGCAACAAAGTTGTCCACAGTCCACAGCTGCCGCCATAAGAGATCTCTCTCTCGGTTTCTGGAAAGGCTTTGTCAACGCCCCTGCCTGGGCCCCAGCCCCCCGGAATTGATTAATTACTTTGGCATCGGTTAATCGGCCATCGATCGAGATTGTTTGCCAGGCTTTTAAACGTTTCTGGTTCAGCAGGGTGGGTCTGGGCTTCTCCTCTAGCCAGGGGTCAAAAGGGTATTTACAATCCTCTATTAATACCTATGTATATCTAGAATCAAAGGGAGTGCCGATGTTTTGTGGTATTATTTATATTAATTGCTTAGAAATTAGCAAACTTATGAGTAAACGAAACAGGTTGCAGGTTTTTGTAATTGTTCAAATTAAAGGTAATTATTAAATACCACTAGAAAAATAGGTATACACTGAAGCAAAGATTTTATGGAAAATTAACTGAATTATGTAAGGAAATTCAATGATTTTCTCTATTGTAATTCACAAGTAGTTTCTAGTTTTCATTTAATTAAATTCCCCTAAATGAGTTCCCCACAACTTCCTCTTATTTTGTTTTAATAACATTTTTTGTTTTTTATTCAAAAAGAAACAAATTTCCAGATGATGACAACAGTAGGTAAGAGGGGGCGGGGCGGATAAATATAAAGACCAGAGAGTATACAGCGGAAATATATATAGACTGGATAGTATTGACTTAGATAGCTGAACAAAGGAGATCCCTAGATCAGGATCTCACCAAACTCAGGAGGGAAAATCCAAAGATTCATGCTTGCGAGTGGTGGTATGGCGGTCAATATCGTTATTCCATTGATGCTTTCCAGGTCTTTACCAGGTGCCTGGTGCTGGCTCCAGGTTCACAGAGGCAGCGGACTGCACATGGCCGGGCAGAGGAGCCACATGGACGGCACCGCGGGTCTTGGCCACATAGCTGGCCTCAGGAGCGGCCACGGCGACCACGGCAGGAGCATGGGCAGCCACCACAGCGGGAGCAGGAGCAGCAATCACGGCAGGGCCAGACTGAATGAGAACGGGACCGGCAGGGGACAGGGCAAGGGGCACAGCAGCAGCAGCAGGCACAGCGGAGGCCTGGATGGCCACCGAACCGGCAACGGCGGGGGCTCCAACCACCACTGCTCCGCCATGGACGGAGGTGAGCAGGGGAACCACAGAACTGTTGACACCCCAGGCGAAAGCGAACAGGACTACGACGACGGCGAACTGTGAATGGAAAATGGTGATGAAGGTTAGTCCTTAAAAATGTAAATATTTTATTTTTGGTTTAAAATTTAGTTTAATTTTTTAAAATATTTTTTTGTTATTTTCCATATTTTTTTATTTTTTTTTTTTTATATAGATTAAGGCTGTTCCACATGTCGTATACTTGATTTTAAAATGTCTCGGTATATCGGTGCGTATACGCAATTTTTCTAAATATACATATTTCCGAAATTTAAGCCTTCTAACACAAAAATGTAGTATAAATATCGCCTTTATGATTATTAAAAATATTTACATAGCATTTTCTATATAGATAATATTGCTAATAATTTTTCTGGCTGATCTAATAATAACTTTCATAGGGTTTCCGTTAAAAAATGATTTTTAATCTTAAAATATATATAAAAAATTATTTAAAATTATTTAAAAATATATTCCAGAGTTGCAGAACCTTTTAAAATCGAAATTCTCACAGTATCTAACCTCTAGCTATTTTTAATATCCACTTTATCATTATCTTCTGACTCCTCCTATGAAGTTTCCTTCTCCAAGTCCAATGTCCCTTTGCTAACTCACCTTCATGTTGGCTTCTGTGATCTCAGCGACGCTTGAAACGTAACTAACTGACATCTGCCCATGGAGGCTGGGCTTTTATAGCTCCGATCCGATTCGATCCAGGTCGGCTTCCGAGATCCATAATTCCATTTAGCATATAAGGCCAGTTGCCGCTGATCAGCCATGTGTGTGGTGGCTCGTATGTTTGCTGCACAAATGCGGAAACTGGCCCAGAGAACAGAGGCTACGTAATAGCCCCTTGACCTTCCCCCCACCGATATCTATATATCTATCGATATCTGTAGACCATAGACCATTGACAACTATTCAAGTGCGCGACAATTAGCCACGGCGGTTGACAAGGCGAAAAACAAGACAGACAGGGCCAGGCATTCGATTCGGCCAGTCCATTCAGTGGTAGCCATGACTTCTATAGTTCATATACAGTATAGAATATAACGTAACACAATGGATAGGCAAATTACAAGAGAACCAGAGTACCACATAGCCAGCACCACGGGCTGTCCATTAAAATTTCATCATCTGCGGAAACGTAATTAAATACACTTCGGTGAGTCTTTGCCCTGAAATTAATGCGAGTGCCGCCAGTTCTTGGCAAGATTGATCCATTTTAGGTCGCCAGTCGACCGTGGCTGGGTTCTAGATAACATTTTTGCATTTGCATATAGCGATAGAGCAGCCAACGGCGATTTGTGGCCAAAGATATGATCTAGATGGAGGTTAAAAGAACTAGAAAATTCATATTATCAAATAAATAATTCATATAAAATATGAAAATTATTATTAAGGAAATTTATAATTACATTAGTTGTTTAAAATATATATTTTTAGGTTCTTATAAGTCATATTTTGCATGAAAATCAATATCAGGAAATTTTTAAAATAAATAATTTGTTTATAATAATATTTTTAGTCATTATAATTTATAATCTCTATCAAGGAAATTATCAGAAAAGGTTTTAAATCATAAAATTTTTGTGTAATCTTTATCGTTCTTCATTCTTAAAAGTTTTTAACAATAAAGAATAATATTTATGGGTTGCTAGATTTTAAATTAAAAATGTAATACTTAGAGTATTTGTTTAGTAGGTTTAAAATAATTAAACCCTAAGCAGTGTACCTATAGCTAACTGGCTTTAAGATAAACATTGTTTTAATTAAAAATATCATAATCCACTAAATAAAGCCACTTTCGTTTTCTAGCCGAGCACTTAACCAACTTATATTTTAGCATTTAAATAACAATTTAAACAAGAAAGAAAGCTAACTTGGCCAGCCAAAGTTTGTATACCCTTGCAGGTAACAATTAAAATATATCATAACTAAGCCAAAAATGCATTAATTTCGATTCGGAAAGCAGTTTTGTGTTAGTTTTTATTAATTTATAAAAACTGCATACCAAATTTAAAATTTTAAGAAATCAAAATTCTTGGCCATTTTTGCTAATTTTAATGATGTAACCCCTTATCACATTTCGCAAAAATGGCCAAAAAATCGATTTCTTCCGGACATGTCTAGAAAGATTCGTATGTTAACGCTGATCAAGAATATATATGGTTTATGGGGTCGGAAACGTCTCCTTCACTGCGTTGCAAACTTCTGACTGAAATTATAATACCCTGCAAGGGTATAAAAATGTATATATCTAAAAATCACTGACAAGAAAATTGTAAAAATATTTAAAACAAAACTGTGAATCACAAAACCCCAAATCATATACTTTTTTCAACAGTCACCCCTGTGACAATTGTCAAAGCAAAATCTTCAGTCTAGTCTACACAACAAAGATCTTCCATTATCCTACAAAGCACTTGGCTTAATATATATTTTATACGGTCTAGCCTTGAGATCAGGGTTTGGACACCATTAAATCGCGATTTTGCCTGGATTATGGCCCGTCTGATATTTTCGGAGAAGGATCAAAATGCCTATGATCCCAAGAAGTATAAGGTGATTGGCGAAATACAATTAATATAATATATATAAATATAATATAAATATATATAGGTGGTGCACAAGAACCATTGGCGCCAGGTGAGCCTTCTGCTGCAGCCCTCCAACAAGAAGTGGTGGGAGGATCCCGATGTGGTCGTTGCGTGAGTAGATACCATTGTATGGATTGCAAAGCCACCTTTATAGGTTGGGTGGAAGGGGGCTGCTCGCACACGTGTGCCAGCTCCCATTGCCATCAAGTGTTATTCGTGCGGTTTATGGGTACACAGGGAGAAAAAAAACAAAGTAATTAATTTGTTTACTAATATTTTTAGGAGGAAGTCTTGAATATTTCAAGGAAAATTGTTTTTAAAGTTAATTTTGTTCCCCTCTCTGCTCGAAACCTTTTTATTAGCGTTATATTTCTTACCAATATTGATTCTTTCTGTGCAATCTGATGGCTCTCCGACACCGGTTGGCACTGTTGCTGCCTGCCTCTGCCGATTCAATTAAGATTCTTTGCCACAGTCGCGGTCGCAGCCATAATATTTTATTGCATCCATCAAATTGTCAAGTCAACTCATAATGTATTGCCCTGCCGCCGCGCCCACAAATATTTTCATGGTAATTAAATTCTCGCAAAGGAAATATTCGCACTTAATTGCATCACACACATCTTTGGTTAGAAAAATAATCAAAATATATATAGAAATATTATATATTTAGAGCCTCTTGAATCCTGTCCAGATATCCACGATGGTTTCAGAGTTCGGTGCTAATTTCCGGGCCGCGTTCAGTCACGCGATGCTAACGAAGCCTTTGATAGATGGCTCAACTTCTCGAATGCAAATGAACACCCGCGAAAATGGAGGGGATTCCCCGCCAGTGCAGCCAGTCAGCTGTCGGCGAAACTTTGCCAAGTAATTGGGGAAAAGGAGTGATGGAAACGGGAAATTGGCTTGGGTTTTCTCACTGGGTCGCACGGCTGACTGAAGTCAAGTTTGTAGGCGGTGGCCAAGGTTAGGATCCTTGGGGGACTTTAAGAGGGAAAAGAAAAGCCAAGGAAATGAATGTTTTCACCTAATTTCGGACTAGTTTTGTAGTGATTTCTCAAGTGGTTAGAAAACTTTTACATTGAGAAGAAGATATTTTTCTGCTGGCCGTTTGGTTACCTTAATTTAAATTTATTTTTATTTATCCCTGCAGGATTTTTAAGTTAACTGATTTTATATAAAGATACTTAAGGCTAAACTTATTAGGAGAGGGTAGAAAATATTGGTATGTCGAGCCTACAAAAATATATACCATAAATAATATACAAATTCTACAATCAAAAATATATTAATATCATATTCAGCCCTATGTATATTTCCTCTCGATATTATCCCTCTCCTACTATGTACATTTTCAATTACCTGAAACCAACAACCTCCCAGAACCTCTAGAGGGGAATGGGAATCCCCTAAGCTACCCCAAAGAACCCTGCCTTTTACCCGAGGCCTGCGTATTCACACAATGATGCGAGGTGCCAGGCAAATGAACCGAAAACAAAACCAAGCGGCGGGTAATGAAAGGGCGATACTATAAAATATATATAGTATATGGTACACACTTACTACTACCCAATGCAATGCCAACACTTTGCGTGTTCAATAAAAAAATAAAGAAAAAAGAAAAAATGAAAAGGGAAATCGCGGAAAGGCGGAAAACGGTGTCAGTGCGAGGACAACGAAGAAGGAAAGTACTTAAGCGGCGCGTCACTCAATCAGAATGATATTATTTTTAATGGCGCAAAATGGATACAATAAACAGCGAGTACGAGCGCGTGGCTGCCACGCAACGGACACGGACACGGACAGGCCGCCGAGATCCCACCCAGAATTCAGCCACATGCTATCCGTACGTCCCAGGATGAGGACGAAGTTTCTTCACAACGGAATCCAAGTCGGAAACTTAATTACATTTCAATTTTTTGCTTTTTTTTGGAGCCCTAAACAAACGGCTCGCGCGCGCTCCGCATATGTCACTCACAGCCGTGAAGGCTGATCCCTCCGCCGGAATCGGCGTGGTGGCAGGCGTGGGACGAGCTGTTGCTCTCTCCGAATCCCGGGAATGGGCCCCACCGCCGCCGGGCAAGCGGTGTGCCACGGTGACGATGCTCCTGGCCCAGCGGATAGCACGCAATGCCGGTTGCTGGGCAGTCGACGAGGAGCCCTCGTACAGTTCAAACAAGATGAACGTCTGGCAGACGCTGGAGTACCTCTCCGGGCTTAGTCTACGCAAGAAGTACAACTACGAGGGCTATGCGGATACGCACAATGTGATCAGGACCCTGACACCATCCTGGCGAAGGGATAGCTTTGCGGAGAAGGCCAAGGCCGAGGAGCTGACGGGCGGTGCCGCTGGCGCAGGAGGAACATCTGTGGCCGGAGTCGCCAAGTATACCGAGGAACGTTCATCGACGGCTCCATTGATAACCCAGGATGCTGGCATTCAGAGCAGCTTTCAGAGCAGCGATAATGTGGCCTTGGCCCGGAGTGGCTCCTCAGGACTGGGACGGAGGAGGCAACGCAGCAGGAGCAGGAAGCGGATTGGTCCCCAGTTGGATCCCGAGTATGCCCTGTCGCCGGAGGATCTGCAGGATCTGGTCAAGTGCAAGTAAGAGTTATTATATCAAATGGTTATATCAGTTGGGAAAAAATAACCATAAACATTAAATTATTTTTCTTAAATATTATTTTATTTTTATAAAAATTGCAAACCCTGCAAAATTGTAATTTTTTGCAGTGTAGTCACGCAAAAAAGTTTTCAAGTAAGCTTAGCGGGTACAGCAACCCGTGTGAGTAGCCAAAAAAAGTTAGCTAAGACAAAACCCTGTTGGTAAACATAATTTTTTCCTTTTTCCTTATTTATTTTATTTAATTTTTTTAGCCACTTTCTAGGCTTCATGCTTTTTATTTAAAATGAAAAATATTACTTAAATTAATTTTAAATATTTCCAATTTTACCTTTGGCTTTATTTCACTGCATAAACCCACCCAAGGAAAAGCTAAACCCCCACAAATTGCAGGCGACAAACCAATGAAAAGTGGGTGGAAGTTTTGTTGAAATAAGAGTGGGAGCTGGAATATATAGGGCGTTGTGACACTCATTCCGGTGGTGTTAGCAGACACCCAGGAGACTGTCTAAGATGACGCACAAAACCGCAAACTCAAACCAAAGATGACGCGGAAATTCTTTATTTTTGTTTAAAATGAAATCCAAGAACTCAGTACTCAACTCCGATTGTTGGCAAAGCTTTCGCGTTGCCGGAAGACATGGCAATTAAAGTTGGCGGCGAAGCATGGATGGTGGAGCAGGTGCTCCAAGTGGAGGCGGAAACGGAAATGAAGTCGTTGCATGACAGAATGTCGATGACGAGTTTGAAAGGCCGCCATTGCAATGTGTGGGCTTTTTGGTTAAATTTTCGTGGTATAAATTTCAAGTGGAATTTATTTCCCAGAAATTCTTTTTAAATTAAAATCCATTTATTTGTTTTTATTACAAATTCTTTGGTGTTTTCTCTGAAATACTCTCTAAAATATATGCATCTTTCTATAGAGGTTTTCAGTCAAAAAGATTTCTTTATAGATTTTTATAATTTTTACTTTAAAAATCATTTTTATAATTGAAAAACAATTTTAGAATTGACTCACAAATAATGCCAACTTTATTTGAAAATATATAGTAAAAGTGTCAATATTTGTGAAATGTCAAAGTCAAAATTTTGGCCACCAAGGAATCGAAGCATGAAGCCATCGAAGCCACCAAAATCATCGAAACCCCCTAAGCCCCCCCAAAAGTAAACCAACTCCGACAGCCGATACAAAGTGTTTGCTCAATTTCCGCGCTCCGAGTCGATTATGGGAAATTATTGTATGTCTCGTTGGCATGAAAGGCGGCCATAAAGCAGGAATTGTTATCTGGTTTCACGGTAATGTGAGACTGCCCCCCTGCAACTCCATTCCCATTCTCCCCCCTAGAACCCTTCTCTAGCCCAATAGTTTGCCCTTTCCTCGGGTGAAAAACTTTCATTCAGTTCGTGGGTTTCGTGCTGAAGCAAAGAGCAAAAACGAGATCTAACGATGAAATAAACACCGACAGTTGTTGGCCATAAACAAAGGGCCGAAAAAGGGAAAGAGCCAGAAGCGGGTTTCTGGACAAATGGAGGTGTCGCCACGCTAAGAATCCCTCCTGGATTCTCGAGCCTATTTTTTTAAATTTCAGAATACCTACAAGTTATTCCTTAAAATAAATTCTGGTTAAATTGCAATGATAAGATAAGGCGACTATAGGAAAAGTATATTCCGGTGTATGGTTTTTAAAAGTTTTCGACCTGTGTAATACTTTATTTGATAGATTGGGTCTATCAAATAATTATCGCTGACAAGTAATTATTGATGTAATTTTGTTTCAAAATTGAAATTTATTAAATACTTTCATTGTCTGATTGGCAAATATAACCATTTTAAGAATTACAGATCTATTATTTCCAGGGACCGTAAATAATGATTATCAATGTTTTCTTTAAACAAAAAAATCATTCACTTAGAAAAGTCGCACAAAGAAACGAATTATACCAAACGGCTACAATTTGGATGCTCTTTCGAGAAAACCAATGATTGCTGAAATCTAGATTTTTTATATAATAAACCAATTTTAATTATTAATTTTTGAGTTTTATTTACTCGCTCAAAGAATAATAATTATTATTTTGAGCGAAAAAAGTTCGATCAAAAAATAATGATCATTTTTTGAGCGATATTTTTTCGCTCAGAATTTCGCTCAAAGTGTAATATCTATTTTCTCAGCGGGGTCTTTGAAAAAATTTGTACATGCTTCTATGGATCAAAAACGTACGATTCGATTCATAGAAGCATGTAAAAAATTTTTCGAAGACCCCTCTGAGAAAGAAGTTATTACACATTGAGCGAAATTCTGAGCGAAAAATATCGCTCAAAAAATGATCATTATTTTTTGATCGAAATATTTTCGCTCAAAATAATAATTATTATTCTTTGAGCGATGAAGTAAAATAAAATTATAATTATTAATGGCAAGCGAAATATATTAAAATCAATAGATAATCATTAATCGTTGATTTTTATTTTTTCACTTAACAGGTTGGCTGATAAGTCCCCGGTCTAACAAAGAAAAACACATTTTTTTGTCAAAATTCGTTATTATTATTTAACATAGTTCCCTTCAAGAGCGATACAACGATTATAAAGACCTTCCAATTTTTTGATACCATTTTGGTAGTACTCCTTCGGTTTTGCCTCAAAATAGGCCTCAGTTTCGGCGATCACCTCTTCATTGCAGCCAAATTTTTTCCCTGCGGGCATCCTTTTGAGGTCTGAGAAAAAGAAAAAGTCGCTGGGGGCCAGATCTGGAGAATACGGTGGGTGTGGAAGCAATTCGAAGCCCAATTCATGAATTTTTGCCATCGTTCTCAATGACTTGTGGCACGGTTGTTTTTGGTCAAATGTGAGCTCGCGCGGCACCCATTTTGCACAGAGCTTCCGCATATCCAAATGTTGATGAATGATATGACCAACACGTTCCTTTGATACTTTAAGGCCTATGCTATCTCGATCAACTTTATTTTACGGTCATTCAAAATCATTTTGTGGATTTTTTTGATGTTTTCGACGGTAACCACCTCTTTCGGGCGTCCACTGCGTTCACCGTCCTCCGTGCTCATTTCACCACGATTGAATTTTGCATACCAATCAATTATTGTTGATTTCCCTACGGCAGACTCCGGAAACTTATTATCAAGCCAAGTTTTCGCTTCCACTGTATTTTTTCCCTTCAGAAAACAGTATTTTATCAAAACACGAAATTCCTTTTTTTCAAATTTTTTCACAATAACAAAAGTTGCTTCACAAAAGACGCTCTATCTCACAAACTAATTGACTGACAGACGTCAAATTTTGAGACGAATCATTTAAAGGTTAGTACTATATAAAAATAATATGCATTCAATACTAGCGACGTCATCTATGTGTCAGACCGGGGACTTATCAGCCAACCTGTTATAATGATTACGTGCCCTGATTATTTCGCAAGGGAGAACCTTTGGCTTGATATTATTGATAATTGTCTGCAGTTGGTTTTCGATTTTCGTCAACACCGTCTGCTGGCCTTCTACCCTGGACTGTATCGCAATGAGATTCCTTTCCAGCTTAACTTGGATGCGATTTTGTTCCCCTAGATTGGCTTCCAGCCTGTATTGTACCGCGAGGAGATTCCTTTCCAGCTTAGCTTGAACCTCATCCACCTTGGTCTGAAGTGCGTGATGCTGGTCCTCCATCTTACCATGGACCTCCTCCACTTTGCTCTGTATTGCATGAAGTTTACCCTTTTTTTTGTTCGCATCCGCCTGATGCTGGTGTCTCAGCATGGTCTCCACCGCAAGGAGATTATCTTGGACCTCATCCACCTTAGTCTGATCTGTTTGTGGTTGGTCCATCAGCTTGCCTTGGACCTCCTCCACTTTGCTCTGTACTGCCTGAAGTTTACCCTCTATTTTGTTCTGAGCCGCCTGATGTTGGTTTCTCAATCTTTCCTCCATCTTGACCTGCTGACCTTCAAGTTCGTTCAGCTTCGATTTAGTTTCGATAAGGATTGGTCGCAGTGCATTGAGGCAGAAACTTTCACATTGGTTGGGATGTGGTTCATCAATCAGGCAAACGTGTCCTGACTGAAGATGCTCCGCCAAGGATCCCTCCCACTGACTCCAAGCAGACAGCGCCAAAAGAAGACAAGTTCCGATTTTAAACATTTTGATTTTTGGAGAATAAACAACCACTGAAGGTGAGACCCTATGATGAACTGATTCTGGGATTCATGCGACGACTTTCGAAGAGGCATCCGGTTTCCGTTAGGAGTGATAAGAGACATTTATGTAGAGATGAAAGCGCTCTGTTGGCTCTTAGGGATTCTCGAACGTTTTTATGTATAAAAAAAAGAACGTTGAAAAACAAATCTATTGTTGTAGTTGATAAGACAACACGAACATGACAACAGAACTAATCAGTGGAATCCCCAGGCGTATGACGTTCTGATTTTTAAATTAAATACTTGCAGGTCAAGAAGGCAAAAGCTTCTTCTCGGAATAAAAAACGCTGGTCAAATTTATTAGGAATTGGAAAACAATAATCACATTCAGGAATTCCAATTAAAGCATTTATTTTACATATAAAAGATCTGAAATTGATATTAGCTCTCTCTGAACTTGACTTTCCTTAGTAATTATTATTGTTCTAAAATTTAGATTAATCTCCATGGCTTAAAGTAAAGTTGTTCAAAGACTTTTGCGTTGACATCTCTTACACCAAAATACCTTTAAAAACATTCCTTAGACTGTGAAGTAAACCACCACGAATCCCTGTGGCAGGACTCGCATTGCCTGTTGGGAACTTGTTGACTTGACACACTATACGCCGTGCACTTTGTCACAATATTGACATTGGTGTCGTGTCATTACGCCCAGCATTAAACGCTTTAACATGCGAGCCGAGCTCCGGCTCCCCGAGGGGTAGCTGGGGATCGGACTCGTACTCGGATTCCGATTCGGAATAAGAACACGATATACTCGGGCATTAGGTGAGCGAGAGTGAAAGTTTTTTGGGGCAGGGCTTGGGCGTGCCACTCTTCCCACGTGCCACTCGACGCCGCACACACATGTGTGTAAGTCAATAGCGAAACAACTGAGAAGCCGGGGGTAAGGGGGTGCTGGGGCCAAAGAAAGAACCCAAGGAAAACCCAAGGAATCGCATTGAATCCCGTGAAAAGGGCGCCACATTCGCCGGTCGCCTTTGTCGAGTTCGGGTGAAAGTTCCGCGGAATACTTCCAACGTTCCCGGTGCGAAAATGAGGAACTAAGGCCAACACCTGCCCGGTCTATCACCTGTGCTCGCACCTGTCCCCTGTCTCTGTCTCTGTCCCTGGCCAGTTGTCATGGCCGGCAAGTTGAAAAGGCGGCGCTCCAAGAAGCCGCCGCTGCCCTTAATGGAGCTCTCCGTTGAGGAGGACTTTCTCATTGACTTTGTCCAGTGCAATTTGGAGCCGGAGGAAAGGTATGGTGAATTGGGAGTACATAAATTGATTATAGATTTAGTAATATCGCGAAAGAGATAGTTAGTTATATTATTTTAAAACTTCTGAACCCTATTTTTGTCAATAAAAACTCTTCAATATTTTTATTAATCAATAATATATGTTTTAATAAATTATACACATGTTACCCTGCTAAAATTCCCCTTTTTGTACAGAAATAACATCATTTTTCGTCTTGTTTGTTGCATAAAAAGAACATCAAGAGTTACGAATCACATTTCAATATAGCTTTTCCTTTATTGCACTCTCATTGCCTCACAAAATTGATGGCTCTGTCGCGCTACGTGTTGCAATTATCAATTTTAATGGCCGGAATGGCAAAAGCAAAGGGCATAAATGTCAGCTCTTCTGGAAATTTATGCACGTTCCAGGCATTAATTAGCGATGCACACTTGCAGGAGCCCCATCGTCGTCGTCGTCGTTGTCGTCGTCCTCGAATCTCCTGCCTCATAGTTCGCCTTCAATTAGCGATGACAAGGCGTAGCAGGCAAGGCTGTAAGCTTATATGGTTCATGCGCCAGAGCCGCTAATTAAGTCATAAATGTAATCAATGGGACTCTCACTGTCCGACACATTACGAGGGAGAACAAAAAATAAAAAAAAAAGGAAAATTGATAAGGTTTAAGTTTTGCCTTATCCTAGGGAAACCCTCACAGAACTCAGCAGACAAAGAGCGGATATAGAGCGGATGGATCCGAAAAATGTACGCTAAAAATATAAAATACGAACAAAGAATCGGATCTAACGTTTTAGTTTCTTTAGGTGCTCAAAAACGGATGAGCAAACGGATGAATAGCGGAAGAGTATCGCAAATTCTCAGTATTATACCCGATATTGATGTCGAAAAAAGGTCCGCAATCGAAATCTTATTAAAATTCCGAAAATTACAGCGTTTTCTGCCACAAAACCCATGACAGGTGATTAACTTTATTATGAGCCTGAATCGGACGTTTTGTCCTTTGGGAACCCGCAAAACTATCGTTTTCAATATCATAAACGAACGTTTTTGTCTGCTGGGAAGTTGAAGACTTTAACCTGATCCCTTTTTTGGTGCTACATTCTCTTGTTGAAAAGTTCAAGAAGAAAGAACTTCCTCACCTCAACAATAGTATGTGTATTTCAAGGAGGGTTTTGTATTATTAAACTTTATCTGTGATTAACCTAACAGATGTACTACTTAACCCAAACAAAGGCATGTCATTTACTATATCAAATAATTCCATAAAAACCAAACATTTATAACTCCATTCTCATAGACATAACATATGTATAAATAAGCAAAAAAACTCACAAAAAATATAGTCCATTTGTAATGGGTTATTGAGCTGTCTAAATGGCCATTGGAAATGGGTTAAGCCCACGCACTCCCCAGCAAATGGGTTAATGTCGAGCGGAGGCCAAAGAGGAAATACCACAGGTGGGAGAGCCGTAAATCAAGGACCCACCTGAGCTGCAACGGATGCGATTTCAAGGGAGTTGCCAGTTTCGCGGAAGTTGCAATAAAACCAAGGAACTGCCATATAAATCCCCTCTTTCTCCTCCAAAGAGAGAGAGTAAAATATAGGGGGTTCTTTCTAGGCCAACAACGACATGACAGATTGCTTAACCCCCTTCCCCCCTTTTGGGTCGTAATTTATGCATGCGAGTTCCCGAGGTTATTGATACGACGACAACACCCATTGATGTCCTGAAAATTTCATTATCAATGTCAATGCTATGTATCTCTGCTTGCCGCTCACCTTGCCGGGGATTGGAAATTGATTGAATTGAACTTTGACGACTTTGAACTATTGCTGTGAGTTACACACAGAGAAAAAGAGGGGTTGATTTGAAGGAGAAATTCTAGGGCGACTATAAGAATTTTGGCTTTATTTAAATTTTAAATATTATTACTAAATTATTATCCTTTCAAAGTCAATTCAATTCTCTTTGCTTTAGCTAATTTTTAAACTAATTTCCCCCAAATTGCTGTGCTTTTTTTCTGTGTGTACGATCGTCCTCGTTGCTTGTAGTCGTCGAGACATCAAAGCCAGACAACAAAGTATTCCTAACAACTTGTACATCTCTGTTAAAAAAATATATATATCTATAGTATAAACCGAGTTACGTGAGATGGTAATGGATTTTTGATTGAGTGTTCTTGGCTCTAACCCAAAAAAAAAAAAAAGGTAACCACAGTCAGGCAAACAATCTGGATCACAACTATAAACTATATAAGCTGTCCCTCTAATTGTCAACTAAACGACAACCATTAACTAGGACTAGGTCTAATCCCTGCCGAGTCCTAAGGCAGCCGCACAGAGCTCGCGGCTCTCATGACCTGACTGCATTAAGTTGCTTTATGGCATGTAGAAATAAAATACCTATTTACCATATAAGAACCGCAAAAAAAAAAGGCAGAGAGTCGGGCCATGTGAGTCGCTGCTGCTGCTAAAAAGCCTAGCGAAAGTCGGCAAGTCTGCAGGCAGGCAGGCAGGCAGTCTTACCCCTCTAAGACCGCCACCCCTTTTACCCTGCATGTCTAAAATTACGCTACATTTTCTAGGGGAATGGGGCAAGGTGAGGGCTAAAATGTGTATGGCGGCTGGTGTGCATATCACGAGAAACATATACACATATCTGCAACGTTTAGGGGGACAGTGGTTGGGCTTATAAGATATTTAAACCGTTAAAAATTAAAAAATAATGGTATAAAAAATCATTAAAAATATTTAAAAACAAATACAGTGACTTAAAATTCGATCAAGTCCCTCAAACACAAAAAAAAGTGATAATTTGTATTCAAAAGTTTTTATTCAACATTTTTAAGTCACTTAATTCAGTTAAATACAAATATAACTTATTTCTGGCTTTTAGCTCAATCATAAAACGTAGTAAATTCTTTAAAATTAAATTTTAAAAACCCAGATATGTTCAATCCTTTAAAACATAAACCCCTTAAATTAATAAATTGTATTAAATATTTTTCTAAAAATCCACAAGTCTTAATTCTTGCCCATAGTGCCAAAAGGAGGTATGTGTGTATAGAGTAGTCACAGCCAGAAACGACTCCTTCTTGTCCTTGTGTTGTCGGTTTCGGGTGTTTTTTTTGGGCAACTTTTGGCAACCAAAAGAGAACAAAAAAATATACGAATACGGCGGCAAAACGCAGCGCTCGGAAAAGCAAAGAAAAAGCAAAGGAAAAGCGCTATAGTAACCGGCCAGAGTGCGGCCCGACCTCATTCGTTGCCCGCAGTTACAAGCGCTAAAACGCCTTCAGCGGATTGGATTGGACGCCGATGTGGGATTAGCCCACCACCACCTGGCGGGTGTGGTGTACTAACCTCCCAGCACCTGTGGGTGAGTGCCAGTGGAGGTCTCCCGTGTCCCGTGTGCCCGTCCGTAATTAAGCGTGAAAATTATTGACTCACATTTTCGGGTCATTAACATGGTCTTGTCTTTCATTTGTTATTGTTTTTCTCCTGAATGAGGCTATCAATTTTCTCTACATTTTCTTTGGGTTTTCTCTAAATATTCTTTGAATTTTCTCTACATTTCATTTGAATTTTCTCCTACATTTTCAGTTTCAATTTGCCGCGCATTAGCGCCCGCTTGGAGCGTCTGATGGGCACCAATGTGGTCAAGCTGACGGACCGCGCCTACATGAAGGAGCTGCGCGAAAGGATCGACGAGGATTACCGCAAGCAGCTGCTGTCCCGCATCCGGGCCAGGGAGGTGAGTTATATTATCCACCAATCTCGACGGCGGTTGGACAACCAAATTAGGGACCCCAGAAAGCCACAAATGCTACCAATTTGTCCTCTTGCCTGGTAATTCAATTTTCATAAAGTTAAGCGGGGGAAAAGAAAAAAAATATGAGAAGCCGGAGTCCTAAACAAATTTTGTCGCTAGGGTGAGAGTCACGTAGAATAACAAAAAGGAAGAGGGGGAGGAACCTCTCGAAAGGGTTGTGTATTTGGTTTCTGGGGGAAATACTTAAGGTGTTGTTTTTATTGGGGATTCTAGAATCATGAAAAGTTTAGTAATATAATATTATATGACATTTTATAGAGGGTTTTATGCAAAACTAAACTTTTGAACGCTTTAATATTCAATATTTTCAAAAGATATATACTTAATGTTTGAAAGAAATACATACTTGGGGTATTGTTAATTAAAAAGATTTGGGATAAAAATATAGTAACATAATATTTTAGAATATTTTTTTGATCTGATATATATTGCTTTTCTGAAGGAAATCCCTAGGGTTTTATTTACTGAATATTTAGCATATATATATAGTTAGTTTGTAAAATTCAGGATTTAAATATATTTAAATAATTTGTTTATATTTTTTCTTTTTGTCTAAAATTAACATTGCAATATTTATCGTATTCTGCAGTCAGCGGAAAATCAGTGAAAATTCTTACTAAAATTATTTTTAAATGAAGTCTTAGAAAAACATTTATACAAATATTTTCCCAAAAATATTATTAATATTATATTAATAATACATATTATACCCTCCCTAAAATAACCCAATTCTGTTAGCCCTTAATCCCCAATATCCCTTAAAATTTCTCCTTATTTATTACGATTTTATTTTGTTTCTGTTGGCCATACAACATACCCTTCTCAAGATTTTCCCCTTTTTTTTCCTCTTGGCAGCGAAAGTGTCTCAAAGTTTTTCAATGACGCCGACACCGCCTACTTATTCTTCTGCCTATCTCCCTGCTTCGGGGGCACAAACAATTGAATTCAATGAGGCCCCGACATGAAAATGGCAAATCCAAGCCGTCAAAGTAATAAAAATTAGACCAGAAACAGAGGGAGAACAGGGCGCTGGTTGCCCTTTATGTCTGCGAGACATGCGAGACATGAACTCCGAACTCCGGAACTCCCAACTGTGAAGTACAAAGTGCTCCACTGCGGATACGGATACTTAGAGATCTGTCTGTCCGATATGCCTCTAGCTGCAATTGCAGTTGCCTCAACTTTTCGAATAAAAATAATAGTAAATAATGGAAAATAAGTAGGCGCTTCCGATTATTGTATTTCCATTCGTCGTCGAGGTCTGCGCAATGCGGCGCTCGAAACAGATGAAAAAGGTGTCAAAAGTGCTGATGGGCTTGGGAAATTGGCAAATGGAAGAAGCACACACTCGTAGGAGTTTCTTTAAGGACTCACATATATCAGCCACTATTTGCAGTATTTCTGTAGGCCTTCGCCTTAGTATTATTAAAAAAGGTAACAGCTTGTCAAGTCGTTAAAATATATTAATAGAAAGAAAAACTAATAAGAGTCTTGATGATTTTATTTCATTTATCATTGACAAAGGACACAGGCTTTTGGGAAATAAAAAGGAGCCTAAGTAGAAGATTTGATTAGGTTTTTGATTAGGAAATTAAGCTTATTTTATTTATGAAATTATTATATATAGAAGATAATTTTAAAATATATTTTTTGTATATTTATTTTTATATTTAAAACCTTATTCGTATTTCCAGCTAAAAGAAGTTGAACGCGAGCGTATGCTTATTATCGAAGGCAAATCAGATGTGATACCCGATGAACTGGCAGACGATCCCATATTTATGGTCAACAAGGATGCCAATATGGAGATCCAAAAGGAGCGAGCCAAAGTGAGTTGGGAAAAGAAGGAATAGGAGGAGGAAGTACCCTTTTCTTGACCATTTACACCTCTTCTCTTCCACAGCTAAAAACTGCTCGTGAGAAGAATGCGGAGCGTTTGAAACAGCAGGGCGTTAAATGGGAACGGGAGCGACTCCAGCATGCCGCCAAGGAGGCGGAACTTTTGGCCCAGAAACGGGAACGCCAGCGCCAGCAGAAGCTACTTGTGGAGCAGTACAGGACCGAGGATGCGGAAAGGGGAATGGATCTCTTACGGTGAGTCTTATAATTTAAAAGAAAGCTAAAGTTAAACTATTGTATGGAAAAGTCCAATATTATACATATATTTCTTATATATCAAAAGTATAAAAAAAGTAAAAAAACCCTGTTTAAGCTGCTCCTCCGATTAAGGCCAGTAAAGAAATTAAAAATGAACAGAGCTCGCGTAACAGCAAAAATAACAATACATTATATTTTCCGTTGACGCTCAGAGCCAGATTCTTGGAAGCTCTTTATCCCCAAGTGAGTTGGGGGGGCCAGGAACAGAAAAGCCTGGCTAAGTTGCATGCATTGTAAACGACCTTTGGAGGGGGGGAAGAAAATATGAGGGAAAACTCCTCCCACAAGTTTGAATGCTCTATAGATTCCAGGAAATAAGATTAGCTATTGAAATTTAAGGTTTCTCATAGGTTTCTCAAAGAAAACTGAAGCCAACTTGTGCCCTCTTTTTTAGGGTTAAATTTCATAGCAAATAGTTTTCAAGGAATTTTTGTATAATTATTTTATTAGAGCACTAAATATTAATAAGCATCTATTATTTATTTATAACTATCAACATTTAGATAAAGCTTTTCTGATTAAACTATATTAAGCCATCCTTTGTATCTAAATAGCTTTGGCAAGCTAAAAATAGATGGGTTGTTTAGGGAACCTAATAGATAATATTTATAATGGATGATAAATATTGCAAAAATAAACCAAATATACTTTCATTATATATTCCCTAAACACCTTTGATAAAGCCATCAAATAAATGTATTATAAATTAATTTAGATATTTTTGTTTTGCTATAATAAATTTCGAGGTGTTGTAATGTTATTTCCAGCTTAAAGATTTCCTGGTAAATAATTCCCAAACCCTAAAAGAGTATCACAAAAATATAAAAGAAAAATTTCTCCCTGTTCCTTGCCTGGGCTCATCATTAAACGTTTGGGAGCCAGGCCCATTAATATGCATGAGTTGAATGTTTAGCGAGTTGGCTGCGGAGCATGGAGACTAATGAAAGGAAAACTCCTTTAAACCCGCTTTTCCCCCTGACCTTTTCCAGCATTGAAAACGAAGACTGGCGCGAGTGCGAAAAGAGCCTGAAGGAATTCCTGGAGCAGGAGCGGGCCAAGATGAAGGAGCGTTCGCTGCGCGTTTCCCAGCCCTTCTCCTCGGATCCGCTGGATATACAGAATATAGTGAGGGCCAGGTGAGGCTCAATAAACTAATTAATATATATTTTAAATATATATTATTTCTACTTAATTTATTTTCATTTAATTTTATATTTTATACCTTTTTTTGTAGACAAAAATTCCGTGAAACAGAGCTACGTATACGCAACCAGCTGGAGGACAAGCTGAAGGATGTAAAAACTGCGGTCACCACACAACAGCTTACGGAATTAATCGAGGATGCCCACCGTGCCAGCCAGGAGGTGTTTCGAGAGCCTTCGATGGAGGACGATGAGTTCCAGGGCGGCGCCATGCATCCCAAGTACCTGGACGATGTAACCGATGTCTCCGAGGAGACGGTGGTCAGCGAGGATGCCATCAGTTTGACTGTGGCCAAGCAGCAGTATGCCGAGGAGCTGGAGACCGAGATGGAGGATGAGTTCAGTCGAGGACTGCTCATCTCCAAGCAACAGTACGATCAGCTTCGATTCGAGGATGAAAAGATTCTGGCGCTCAAGAATGCCAAGGTAAGAGAGTCCACTTTATTATTTTTCTATTAATATTTAAAAAATCACCTGTTCCAGGACATTCGTGAGCTGTACCAGCTGGCCGAGGAGATCATCACGGGCGAGATCTTCGAGGAGGCAGTGGAGGAGGGCGAGGAGGAGGATGTGCCCGAGGAGGAGGGCGAGGGCAGTGACGATCCTGAGCCACCGCCGCCGCCACCACCAGCTTAGGTCTTGGGAAACATCATCCAGTTGGAGGGCAGCAGGAGGAATCGTTGTTCCCCCTGCTTTTCGCTTCTTCGAGTTTTACAAAGTTTGGCCAAATATTTTACGTTTCCCTTCCCCCGTTCGGAAACCGAAATATTTCACCAAATTGTGCAAAAGAAAATAACAAAAAACAGTCAGGACTAGCCACATTTGTTGTTTGCTGTTGCCAAGGAATTGGAACCTGTCACTCAATCACAGCAATTCCAGTTGATATCTGTCCATTGGGGTTTAATTAAGGCTGGCCAAGTGGCGATAGTGCCCGCATTGCAGGGTGGCATTAATTATAATAAAGCGTCTAAAAAAAAGAAATCCATAAAAATCAAACGCGTGACTCAAATTGCACATTTCAATGCCTTGTCAGCCGCCGACAAGTATGCTACAAATATTTGCTTAGTGATACGAAAGCCGGAAAAAGTACGTACGTACATATGCGGGCGGGCGAAATTGGGGTGTTCCGGAATTTGATTTCGCTGGGATTATTTTTCTGGCAAATTATTGTATTACTTATTCAGTTCATAATAAATTTTCGTAAAATTTTAATTGAAAATTGTTACAAAAAAAGCTTTATTAATTTATTTATATTTAAGTGTATTTTTTTTGCTCAAAATTAAAATATTTTATAAATAATTATTTCTGTAATGAAGAATTTTACAAAATTAAACAAATAATTAAAAAAAAAAACATTTTCAAACAAAATCCATTTCCCGGAACGCCCCAAACAAATCTCAGCGTAATTAGTCGCGCTAATTTGTTTATCAATTTGTTTTTGGCTTTGAGCGACGCGCCAGGCCATGCCATGGCACACATGTGAGGAGATTGCACAAACGCTACCAGAAGGGCGTGACGCACTTGGTCGGATAAACGGATGGATGGATGGTTGGACTGAATGGATTCGATGACACACCCTACACCCACTCCGCATGGACTTTGGTCTGCTGATGCAACTTAAGTCGCAAACCGCTTAACCGGAGCCCCAAAAGAGTGGAAAACGAAAGACTAAGGGCTAAAAATAGCCTTGGTCTTGGCCAAAAATATGACTTGCTGTGGGGCTTCCTCACCACAAACTCCTCCTTTCCTCTTTTCCTCTTTCCCTTTGCCTTTTTGAGCACTTAAACTTTTCAGAACGGCTATTATTGGTTTTTTTCTGGGGGTAAGTGTCATCTTCTGTGGTTGCCACCGGCAATGTGGCAGGAAAACCCTATATATGCATATTTTTTCTGTGCCGCCTTTTAGGCCAAAACAACACACACACCCTCGAAACAATAACGAAAACATCGATGCGAATGCAAATCGTATGGATTGTCCTCCATTACTCACAGCTATTTCACAGCAGAGTGTCTTTATTTTTGCAAAGGCCTCGGGGGGCTGTCACGGGCTGTTGACATCCTCAACTTGGGTGACCCCTGAACCCGCGGATTTCCAGTGGAACTGGAGGAGGACGAAGATTCAATGAAGAAGCCAGTCAGACGATTGGGCAAGGACATGGTTCAGGTTCAGGTTCAAGTAGGGGAAAGATTCTATTTAAAATAAATCTCTAAGTGGAATTGATTTGAACTTGAAAATTAGTAGTTGCCAGGGTAATTGATCTTGTTATAAATGCACTAAAATGTATTTTAAAAAGAAAAAGAGTTGTTGAAAAAAAATATATATACCATATATATAAAATTTGTACGTTTTGGGAAAAAGGGCCACTTGGCGTATGAGTGATATTTCTCTTAAATCACTCATACGCCAAGTGGCCCCGATTATAATTTAAAAATGCCAGAAAAATCCACTTAGACTTTAAAAAATATTTAAAATAGCCTTTAAATTTTGGCATAAAATAATAACAAAAAATATTAAAAATAAAAAGGGGTTCTTATCTAATTTCAAACATTTAGTAAACATTTTTTCTTTGAATGGGAATTTCATAGCATTTCAAAAACTCCCACAATATCTGTAAATTTTCTGATAAAAAATGTAATATCATAAAATATGGTATTAATATTTAAACTAAAAATTGGTCTTCTTTTGTTTCCAACATTTTATATAAAAATTTTAAAGCGCTTTTTAAGTGATTTTAAAACTCCCAAATATGTTAATCTTCAAAATAATAAAATAATAAATATAAACTCAATATATTTATGATGAAATTACACCTGCGCCCATTTTTTTTATCAGCCTGACCCAAATAAACACGTCTAACTGAGATTTATGAATCGTCACGCTCACATGTCATATAGCAGTCACGATTCCATAAATAGAATAGTTTAACTCGCCAACTTCATTTACATATCGCTTCAAAAAAAAGAAAGACAAAAAGAACATAAGAAAGGAATTTACAGAAAAGCCAATGACAATGCAAGGAAAAGTTAAGCTCTCTCCCCTTCGGATTTTCCGCGGAGCGTAAAGGATTTCCGCGGCGTCACGGAGCTCCTTCCACAGCCCACGTTGTGGCCAGATTCCGGGAATCAAATGACGCGTCCGGCTGCCATATACCGTAAACTGTATTGTCAACAAATGGCCCCGCCTCCGTCCTTCTCCCCCTTATTATTTATCACCTTTTCTGCACGTTTTTTTTTTATTTTTTGGGGAGTGTGAAGCCGCGAACTCGTGACGCCATTTCGCGACTTGTTGCCTACTTAGCGGGGCCGCATATCTTGGCACCCTGAATAATTGCCAGGGGAATATTTCATGGAGAATAATATCGCTGGGCTAAACTTTTTAAATGTGCCGAAAATAATTCATTGATAAAACCCAGAAATATACATGTTCTAGAAGCGTAGAGAAGTGAAAGCTTGCCGCGAAGCTTTTACGCAATTTTTTCCTTTGGCGCGTCTCGACATCGACATCGGCTTTTTTTGAATCGCCTCGGCCGATGTTGGTGACTGTTGGCCAATGGCAGTCGGCTTTAACACCGGATCGGGCCATATAAAAGGAGGCGGTTAGGCGAGTCAGCCACGCAGTGCTCAACAAGTAGCAGGAGCAACAGTTGACACAGTTGAAAAGTTCAGAAAAACATATATTCAGCACAGTTCCAAACTGTTTTTTCAACGGCATTTTAAAGTGAGTGTTGATTTACCGGAAAAGAAATCTCTTAAAAAAAATATGTACACAAATTCTGGCTAGTGCTTAATTGGAGCCATACGAAACCCCCTTGAAAAAAGCATACGAAAACGCGTCGCGAAATCTTAGAAATGCCGTCGCTTTCGTCATCAGTTTCTGCCAAGACCAAAATGAGTGCCTTATAAATAATAACACAATTAAAGGGATAATTTAGTGTGATTTAATGAATTTTTAAGTACAAATGAAATGCTAAAGGATAATAAAAATAGTGTAAAAAAAACGTATAAAAAATATATAAACTTTAGATCATTAAATGCAGCAAATATATAGCCAAGTGAATACGTTGTTTTATTTTTTATTACATAGTAAATTAATTTATAAAATTTAAAAATGAATTTTACAATTCCTGAAGGCTTAAATATATATTTTTTTAATTTTATATATTTAAAATATTGTCATGAAAGAGTTACTCAAGGATTTTTAAACATTTTCAAGGCCTTGTAGTAACTTAATCTTTCTCCACACATTCCTTTCTTCAATTAATTTAATTATTTATTATTTATTAGTTACATTTTATTATTAATTCCCTTTCTCCAAATCCCACTTGACAACCTTTAATCAAAGTAATTTGCTTTCAAACCGCAAGTCAAGTCAAAACCCAAATATCACTCATACGCCCCATATGTCGCCTTAAGTTAGTTGGCTAAAAGTTATGTGCTGTTTTCAAACCTCTCAACTTGAATTAGTCCTGAACATATTTTTGTGCGAAAAGTGCGCCATAAATACTTTATCAATGTCAATAACTCGAAGGAATTCCCCCGAAGGCCAAGCATAAATGTCAAGCGTAAATAAACCAATGAATGTCTTTGGGAAACAAATAGAAAAAAAGCATCAATATTTGCGGAAAATGCTGTCAAGCAATTGTGTTCGTTCAACTTCCTCTCTCTGACGCCTTTCCCCTTTTTTTACCTGCAGAAGAAGAAAAATTCCTTTTCTTGGCAATCACAAGAAAATATTAAAGAAATAAATAAATATCGAAAGCATTCAGTAGAGAACTCAGGTGCGTTTCAAAGGTATTTCGATGTGAGGACTCTGCATCCCACTGGAATTTATCCCGAGTCCTTGCAGTTGTTTACCAAAGTGTGTCAGCATTTTTTTCTTTTCTTCTCCTTTTTTTGTCTGGACCTTAGCAACTGGCTAAGGTAAGTTATATACCCCTGGCTAGAGCTTTCTTTAGTTACTGGAACAAAACACCTGAATTTAATAGAGAGTTTGATGACTTAATATTTTAGTAATATGGCAGAGAATGGACTTTCTGATAGGGTTTAATTGGAATTTGTTAGTTGTTATTAGCTAAAAAAGTTGAAAATTATAAAAAAGAGAGTTACTAGATTTGTGAGAAATATATATATGAAGTGGTGTCACGGTCGCCACTAGCAACTTATAAAAGTTTTAAATTTTTTATGTTTAATTCAAAGAAAATCCTCGAATCCTTTAAGAGGCTTCTTTAAATATATATATAAAATAGATCCAGAAAATGTATAAAAACTTAAGCTTAACTAAAAAGAGTACTTCATATAAAACTCAACTTTATTCAACTAAAACTCCCACCTTTTTCCAACCCTCCATTTCTAGTTAGACATCTGGTTTCCCTCAAACCCATTCGAAAAAAGAAACCCTTGGATTGGCATGCTCTTTGTGTGGAAAAGTCGACAATTGTCACCAGCTGGCTGGCAACCAATTCAATAAATTTGGAATAAATATGAAAATTATGCAACAATGTCCAATCTCCCCCCGGGCTATTACACAAGGAGACCCTGTCTAATTGGCCCTAAACCTAGGTACAAATGTCAGATGCACTTGGCCAGAACTGTCTATCTGTTCCCCAATAACTAATTAACCAAAGTTTTTGCACTATTCCCGGACACATGTCCTAACAAGTGGGTGGACATATAGTTAAGGACACTGCCTATATATCCATTTGGGACTCTGGGCCCACTTTCGGTTATATTTCAGCTCAATTTAGCAATTAGCCAAGCGTTTATTGCGAAAACGTAGCCGGACACGGGGACAAAAAGGGAAAAACAGGTGACAGGTAATGGACTCTCGTGTATATACAGTCCCCTGACCGCTAAATTAATTTTACTTCACCCTGGGGACCCAGAAATGTGGGTGAAACTTCGTGTTGAATTCTTTTCTTTCCTTTTTTTTTTGTGGACTCAGTCCCCTCTTTTTGACTTTGTGTCAACAAGTTAATTAAAGCATTTTGACAACGATTCGTGTTTGCTTTGTTTACTTAGCCTCCTCCTCCTCTCCTTCCTCCTTTGGGTAATTTTCGGCTGAGTTTCACTCCAAGTGGCAATCAAAGTGTAGTAATTGAAAAAGTTTTAGCTGTTCAGGAAATGCCCCAAGCGTATTGCAATTTCTGTTGCAAATTAGCTTAACAAATATCTAAAAACCAATTGCACTCTTTGGAATAGAAATCCTGAGCGAATAAAGACAAAAAGTATAAAAGAAATGGCAAATATTTAGACTAAATTATATGCTTCACAGTTGAGTTGAAAATTTTCGCAATCAAACTCAATCAAAACGTGACGGAAAAATGTCAAAGGAAATGTCTAAAGGAAAAAGTTCTTTCTTAATGAACTAAGCAAAGCGAAGGCAGAAAATTTTCATTCTTTTTTTGTTAGGGCGTGACTGAGTTAAATTATATTTTTTGTGAGGTTTTTTGAGCCTAATTAACCGTGTAATATTTGAGTAATTTAAATGATTTACATTATAAATGAAAAACAAGAAAGGAAGCTAACTTCGGCACGCCGAAGTTTGTATACCCTTGCAGATATTATTTCATTACATTTCAACTATACTTATAATGTTTACAGTTTGACAGTTACAGTTTTACATTCACACCTTTACATTTTCTCTACATCTACCGATCGCTCCTATGGCCGCTATATGATATAGTTGTCCGATTTTCATGAAATTTATACCAAAATTCTACAATAATAAAATAAGCTTATATCTCAGAGTAGATGAAAATACGTTGAAAAACAACGAAGTTATAATTTGTTTCCTATTAATTTCCCGATCGTTTCTATGGCAGCTATAAGATATAGTCGTCCGATTTTCATAAAATTTTTACCAAAATTCAGAAATAATATAGAATGGCCATATCTAAAAAATGGTGCAAAAATGTTAAAAAACAGCAAAGTTATAATTTTTTTCGAAAAATTTATCGAACATTTGTATGGCAGCTATATGATATAGTCGTCCGATCCGGCCCGTTCCGACATATATAGCAGTGAGAGTATATAGAAGACTATATGCAAAGTTTCATTCAGATAGCTTTAAAACTGAGGGACTAGTTTGCGTAGAAACAGACAGACGGACAGACGGACAGACGGACAGACGGACAGATGGACAGACGGACAGACGGACATGGCTATATCGACTCGGCTGTTGATGCTGATCAAGAATATATATACTTTATAGGGTCGGAAACGTCTCCTTCACTGCGTTGCAAACTTCTGACTGAAATTATAATACCCTGCAAGGGTATAACCAGGAAAATAAGTCTTTAACTTGATAGAATTTCCAAATTGGTTTTTAAAACCCTTGAAAATTCCCCTAAAATCAAATATTCCAAATTTAAACCCAGCCCTTAAAGATGAATAATGAATTTTCAAATTTAATTATAAGAAAATCTTCACACTTTCGTCTTGTTTATTCAAATTTTCCAAAGTAAACAATATTTTTCGCTCCCTTGGCTAACAAATTAGGCAGATTCTAGACATCATCTCCGACCAGCTCAACCGCAAGTGCCAAAAGTTTCCCTGCAACTCATTTATATATGAATTTTTTCTTAAGGAAAAAAGAAAACAGTGAGGGAGGCTGGATTTTCTGCCTGTATCCACGGCTAATGGCCTGCAAATCCGCTGTGAAAGAGTTAAGCCAACCAGGCTCCTGTTAACCCCTTGCCATACGGTGTTTTTTTTAACCCATTGCCACCCACGTCAGCGACGGGGCCATACTTAATTAAATGAAACGGCGGCGAAGGCAATAAAAAACCCACTGCAGTACATGACAAAAAAATAATAATAATATTAATAATGGGTACACCTAGGCTACCGTGGTTAAATTTCAAAGAAAAAAGTACATAAACCCTAATGGAACCTGTCAATTTCTGGGTAAATAAAATATGTAGAGGCATACAAAATATAAAAAGGGTTTTATTTAATATTCAGAGTAAGCTTTTTGAGAGTTTTTTAAGGTTTAAATAATTATTTGAAATATAAATATTGAATATTTAACAGTTTGATAAAATAAAATATTTTAAAAGGCCAGAGAAACCCCTTTAAAGTAAACCGAAAAAATTCCCAGCTTGTTCTTAATCAAAAGGGATTATTTTCTCTCACAAAAATCATAAATTCTTGAATTTCTAAGTAATTATTTTTAACATTTGGCATCACAGTGCCAGCGAAAAGATTAAGCCTTCTCACAGAACAAAAGCCCCAAGAATGAGCAGCCCAGTTATCTAACCAAGACGCCTTTAGCAAGCCGATGATGTCCCCCAACCGAAAGAATTCTGATATACCCCTGACACCCACTGACTCCCACCACCCACCTCATCCTCCTTCGCGGTCTTCACTTGGGGTGTTGTTGGGGTTCCTCGGTGCCCTTGTTTGCGTGTTTATGTGCGTATTGTTTGCTTAAACACAAAGCGTCGCCCACGCGCAGATTCGAGGGGGGGAGGGGATCCCTGGCCTAGGTGGTAGTGATGGTAATTACCCTCATGTACATACATCTTTCACTTGCTTACAGGATACGCCATCGACGGAAGACAACACAACCCGCGCCTTAATCCCGAGGACACCCAGAGAGGCTGTAGTACACACCGTCATGAAGCCCGACATCCTGACACTGTGCATCCTAGCAACCGCGATCCTGGCCAGCGGGACGCGTCACGTAGCCGGCTTCCTCACCGCATCCGGGCAATCCTCTGCCAATGTTCCCAAAGTTGAGGGTGGAGAAGACCTACTCCCGGGCAATGTTGTTGCATCGGCGCCGCAGCGCCTCCACTTGCCCCCCATTTTCGGACGGCACGGACCATCGGATGTCCAGGATATTCAGAATGTCCAGGAGACGCAGGAGCGAGCTGTTTACGATCCCGGCGATGGTGAGTCGTAAACTTTCCGATTAACGCTGGCTCTTGCAGTAGTCGCGGACTTAAGGGACCATGACTCTTGCCCGAGATTTTGCTCGCTAATCCTAGTGCATCCTTTAAGGACTCTAGGGGGTTTCGTTCTTGATTTAAAGTATAGCATAAAAGCTGCTATTGAGAATCTTTTGAAAAAGGAGTTTTTGTAAATTAGTTTGAATTAAGTTGATGGCTTTCTTTTAGAAAAATTAATAATATTTAATTAAATTATATTTTTAACATAAATTAATATGCATTTCCTCTTCTAATACTTACACCTTTAACAATAGGAAGTCCCCAACTTCTAGGAATATATTTTATTGTTAAATTTCCAATCCATTTACTCCCCGTATCAAATCACTCGGAAAACAAGACCCAAATCCGATATGGAAAGTAAGGAGTGAGGGTCGAATCAAATTCATCAAAATATAAAAAAAAATAAATAAATGTGAACGATGGGCGTGTGTTAAGTGCTTGGCGCAAACACTGAATATTTTGTGTGCAGGGACAGCAATTTTGGTTTCCAAAGCCACTAGAAAAATTGTGCACTGACCGAAAATGCTAGGCCACCATGGGCCCTGGCGTGGGTGTGGTTACGGCTAAGTGCACGCCATGTAGTGTCACCCCTGCAGAGTATATGTAACCCCCTATTTTTTTACAACAGAGTCGCCAAAAAGTCGGCTATGAAAACGATTGCCGGTCACAAGAGATTACGCGGCCGGTTGACTCTACTCGTTACTTAATTGTCTTTTCGATGGGTTTTAGAAATTAAAAAATTTTGGTTTAAGAGTTTAAAATGCTTAAAAATTATTTTAAAGAATATATTTATTTATTACATTAACTTATACTAATTTATTAATAATTATTAACTTAACTTATATATTTTTAACCAGGTTACCACAAAAAGGAAACAATACATAAATCAAAAGATAAATCCCTAATATAAACGAAAAGAAAAACCGCATTTAATCTAAAACATACTTTTGGTAGACCAAACAAATATATTTAAATTCTCTAAAATAGTTTAAAATAACAACAAAGTTTAATACTCTTTTCTAATCCTTAAAATAATTATTTAATTGGCAAACAAACGAAATTTTGGCTTCAGAATCAGTGTCTTTTTCTGTAAAACTTAACTTGTGACATTTGTCAATGGCGGCTTCTCGTCTCGAGAGGCCTGCTGACGTGACAAAAGTCCTGCGGCTGCAGTGAGTCCTCTGACTGACGGCAATGAAAGGGAAAAGAGAGACGCGGGCTGAGTCCCTGCGACCACAAAACCCATTGCCGCCAGTCAATTTCCGTTGCGTTCATTGAGGAGACAGCACCCCGCGCTGCCAAGGGGGAGAAAATATTATGTTTAAGCAGACGGACAGACAGACAAACAAACTATTCAAACTTTCAAATATCAAACGGCGGAAGTTTCTCCTTCATGAAAGCAAAACGCAAACGGATGGTGGAATAAGCAGGAAAATGGGGCAGCTGGCAATGGGGTTTCTGTGGCCAGATTAGCAACGGCATTTTCTTCTCTAAACATTAAAATCGCAAATAATAATATCTTTTTTTACTTTTTGCTCATTTCACGGCAGAATTGCTACGCGCCCAGGAGCTGGGATTGGGAGTGCTGGGAGTTCCGCCGCCTCTGGCCACCGATTATGCCGACGCCGTTTACAACGAACTCCAAATGGCAAGCAACAAGTTCGAGGTTCTCAAGAAGATGGAGGAGGATTTGCGGGCTGAGCAGGAACTGGTGGACAAATCCGCTTTGCTCATGAAAATGCTAGAGGTGAGTGGTGGCAGCCAAAAGTCGAATTTCAAGGAGAAAGAGAAGCTGCAGATAGAGAAATTAAATGATGAATATAGAACATAAAGATTGGAAATTTAAATATTTCAATATTTTATAATAATTTCAAAATATAAAAAATAAACAAATTATAATAACTACAAAAATTTCTTCTAAAAATCCTTCATCTCCTGCAGGATCCCTCCCTGGAAACTCTACCCCTCGTCTACGTGGAGGAAGAGGAACCGGAGCCTGCTGGTTCTGAGGATTATGCTGACTTGGAGAATGCCGTTCAGGATTTGGTTTTGGGCCAGAGCAAGCCCAAGCGTTCTCGTTATTATCGCCGGTATCCCTGGAAGCGCCACAACAAGAATCGCGGGTAGGTTGCTCTCCATTTTCATAACTCTTGGAATACCCACACTCCACCATCACCCACTCCAAGTCCACTTTCCCCAAAAAGAGCACATTAATAATAACTAGAGAGTCCTTTCCGAACCTCAATTATCATTTGTAGTGTAGTGGATGTTGTCAGTAGTTCCTTTCCCGCCTACACAAAGCAGCCTTAAATCCTTAATCTGGGATATTTTTCGGAAAACCTCAAATTGCCAAGAAGAAGTCAGGGGAAGAATTTCGGAATAATAGGAAAATATTAATTAAAAATTGTTGTTTAAATTAAAAATATCTGCAAATCAAAATAATAAAATAAATTAGTCAAAATGTTTGTAAATGTTTGTAAAACCTTTTTTTAAAGCAAATATAGTCCCAAAAATAAAACCCTATCTCTGCTATTAAAGCATCCCTTCCCCAAACCAACCTGGCAATTTGTAGAGCAACCTCCCTCAAAAAAAAATAGAACCTACCACCCAAAACCCCTAGTAGTCTGTAATACCTTGAATAATTTACATTAATAACCATAATGTAATGCATTTATAAAGAGTTTCTTTAGGCCCGAAAGACAGATACACCCAGAAATCCCCCCACAGAGACAGAGAGAGAGATTGAATTTATATAGCCGAAACGTGAACGATTTTGCTAACTACATAACCATTACCATTATCAGTTCTTACATGAATTCTATCAACAGCAACTATGAACCGGAGCTGCGTTATGCCTGCACGCCCAGCAAGGAGGACATATTCAAGCTGCTGGTGAATCTTCACGAGAATCGCAAGGGCAATCACAGCAAGACGGTCAACTTCTGCAATCGTAAGCGTCCTGCCAAGGCGGTCTTCACCAACATACGCTTCCTGGGCTAAGGGACAGTCGAAGGACACTCTTCACACAGACACAGACAGGGCACTAAGACGGACTCTCAAACACACACATATGTATACCAAGCCTCAATTGTACATTTGCTGACCAAGTCGAGCGCCAAAAAACCATTCTGGAGAACAACAAGCACTAAAAATTAGCCTAAACTAACTAACTAATCCGCTGACTAAGCTAACCAGCTAAACGAAGTGAACTAAAAATAATACCTAGCGGATGATAGCCCCCTTGTAACTCTAATTGTAGACAATTAAAACTTTTATAACTCTCTCTCAATGTGTTGTATATAAAAATAAACAAAGTTCCAGTAGTAGTCCTCTCCCCTTTGGTTTCGTTGTTGTCGTTGTGCTAATCCCAGGAGTTAATTACCACTAAAAACGTTGCCATATCATTAACAAAGTCTCGTAACGTCGTCTCACTCGGTCCATGACATTAGAGTATTGTGCACCATGAAGGGGAAGTTTATAGTAAATGGAATTCTATATCAATGTGTACATACGAGAATATTGAAATAATCATTATAATATATACATGTTTATTATCTACTTGATGAAAAGTATAACTATGTCTAATGTAAAGTCGGGAAATATATATACATATTTCAAAAATAAACTTATAAAATACGACATTTCTTGTGCAATTCAAACGGCGACGAAGCGTCTTTCAATTGATACGTTCGAGGGATTGGGGAAAGTAACAGGATTACGAAATTTCTTTACTAAATCTCTACCAAATCTTTACTAAATCTTAACCAGGAGGTGATGGCCTGCGGCTGCAGTCAAGTTTATAGAACCCATGACATTGTCATAGAACCACTTCTAGAACCTTTAGAAGCCATCTTCCCAGTACCTTGACTTTCCATTTTCACGCCATAAATCGCTGGCTTTGTTAATCCCGCATAAGTACAGCGATTGTAAGGGAACCCACAGAAACTAACACCTTTGGCAAGTGCGAAACCTAGAAGATATATATACATGTATTTATCCATGACATTGAAATTGGGCTCAGGTCTGAATGGGACAGAGATTCCTCCAGCCAAGTGTGTGTTTGTTTGCGGAGACAACAACGTAACCATGTGGTTATCTCTTCTTGGAGAGCATCTATGCCTGGGCATGACGGATCCAGAGAAAGGGGGAGGTGGAGGCCAAGATGGGGCTGGGGGGGTAAACTCGTGCCGGGAGCTGATAATGACCATCGAGCGTGTAACCAACCCGCCGGATGACTAAGCGCAGTGAAAAGGCGTTTATATATATTTCATGCGCTCGCTATGACGTCAACACAAATGCTGCAGATACAAAGATAGAAAGATACAAAGATACAGAGGAACTGAGACTAAGCTTTGATCTAAAACACGGAAATCATTGTCATCTAACAAGAGCTAAAAACAATATTCATCTATATTAAATAGGGATTTAATTTATTAAGGATTTTTCTTTAGGGGAGAAAAGTCATAGAAAGTCATGACATGTTAAAAAGGTTCTTTAAAGATTTATAAAACAATATTTATATTAAAAAAAAAACTCTGGCAAAGGTTGAAGAATTTCGTTTAATTATTTCTAGCATTTAAAAATTCTTGGGAATTTCTCTGGCTTTTTAACAAAAAAATAAAATAAAATAAATAAAGAGTTCAAGACACTATTAATTTTTCTAGTTTTTGATTTTATTTGTTTTTTTTTTTTACAAATTCCTCATTCATTTCCTAGCCAAAAATATTGGGAAACCAACTCCTCAGCGGCGAGAAGCACAGAGGCTTGGTCAGCCAAAGAGTGTCCACCGATAGCTTCAGTACCTCCATGTAATCAAAGGAGCAGCTGCTCTGCTCAAAGGCCTTGGTAACCACCGGGGAAGTAGGCTTGGTTTCTATTGGCAGCTTGTCCTCATCTTCATCGTTCTCCAAGGCGGAGCGGGCAAAGGCTTCGTCGCCATCGAAATAATAAAACTCCTTTCTGGTTGAGTTCGTTTCCACCACGCGCGAGGGCTGTTGGGCATCGATGCCCCGGGCATAGGCTATCCTTCTGGCCTGTCGATAGGGCGTGGGACTAAAGGACACTGGATAGCCACTGAGATAGGCAGCGCCGCCGGCAGCCTGCATTGGCCAAAGATTCGGCTGTCCCAGCTGAGGAACCACACCCAGGCCAGGCTGTGGCCACAAGCCCAAGCCCACACCCAAACCCAAGCCTCTTTGAGGCAACTGGGGCTGCGGCTGCGACGGTTGCTGGAGGCCCAAGCCGAAACCTGGTATAGCATCCTGGCGACAGCCATCCGAGTCCTGATCCTGGTAAATCTCTAGCAGAAAGCCATTGGAGGTGGTGCTGCTGGACTGGCCGATCCGCATACGCAGAGCCTTGCGTCCCTGGGCCCAATGCGACTTGTGGACAAAGCCCGAGCGGCAGCCGCAGTAACGCTGGCCATCGACCTCCAGGAAGTCACCATTGCAGGCTTGCTGGCCGGCAAAGCCACCATTGAAACCTGAGATTCCACCTCCAAAGCCTCCTCCAGAGACGCCTCCAAAGCCTGCTCCTCCTGCATTCTGTCCAAAATCAAAGAACTTGAACTGTATCCTCAAGCGGCACACATTCGGCGAGCTTTTCTCTATGTAAAAGACGCAGTCCCTCTGCTGATTGGGCAGCAGATAGTTGAAGACAGTCCTCGGGAAACCCGGACTGGACAGATAGAAGTGGTTCTGATTGAAGCTGCTGGCACAGCAAAGATCCAGCTGTCCGCCAAACTGCTGCAGGCTCTGGGAATCATAATCCTTGAGTGTAACGGCATGGGGTTGGAAGGAAGTGGTCTGATATTGATCGGAGATGAGAGGCAGCTCCTGCTGAGGGTTCTGTATGTTCTGGTTAGGGATTTGGAGTTGCTGGGGGCTCAGGACCTGCTGAGGATTAAGGAGTTGCTGCTGCAAGAGCTGTTGTTGCTGTTGAGGTCTCTGAAGTTGCTGCTGCTGGAAGAGTTGCTGCTGCAAGAGTTGCTGCTGTTGCTGTTGAAGGAATCTCTGCTGCTCTTGGAACTGCAACTGCTGCTGGGAAGGTGCACAAGGTGGCGTCTGCTGAGGAGGATAATAGCCAGCAGGATAGCCCAGACGCTGGGGCAAGCCAAACGGAAATCCCGAAGGATTTGTTGTTTGCTGTGTAAAGTTCAATGATTGTTGGGGGGGAATCTGCTCCAGCTGCTGTTGCTGCTGCTGCTGCTGTTGAGGATGCAACAGATGATGATGCTTCTTGGGCGGCGACTTGGCGTTCACCTGCACTGTATCCCCATCCACTACATCCTCGTCGTCATCATCCCCCAGGCCCCTGGCCACCAAATCCTCCCTTTCGCAGGCCAGACGTGTGATGAGCAGGCGAAAGCCCCCGTTCGTTGTCCACGGCGAGTCGTCGCTGAGGAATCGCAGACGCAGAACGCCATCCGGAGTGTGATACTTCTTGATGCCCAGCACTTGGCCGCACAGGACATCCATGTCATCGCCATCGTTATCCAGGCCAATGGCCAAATAATCCCGACTGCAGTTCTCCGAGAGCTCCAGCTTAAAGTCGAGGAACTGGATGTGGAACTTGGTGGGACAGCGGTAGGGAGATCGCACCACATAGTCCCAGCAGGTGTTCACCGGATAGTTGTCCGGATAATTTGGGGAATCGATGAGACTCTGTCGCTGTCGATAGACACCATGTAGGCCGCACTGGGCCAGGTCATCGTGGACGGCACCCAGTGATCCCTGGGCGAGGATCACGACAAGAACGAGGATTCCCCGTAGCTCCATAGCGATATAACCGTTCCGTCCGTTAACGAAGCGCTCAGAGCGACAACTAACTCGCCAATGTTTGCCTGTCACAAAAATATTAATAATATTTTACATACAGGGCGCGTTGCTCGAAGACAATTTGCACTTTTGTTTGTTTCGCTTCTTCTGAGACCGCCCATTCATGAGTTTTTTAGTTCACTGAACCGCTTCAAGTGGACAGCAGGTTTTTCTTTTCTGAAGGTGCCAAAAGCTTCATAAAACCTAAACTCCATTAGGTGAAAAAATGAAATAAATAAATAAACAAAAAAACTAAATTTCACAGCATTCCAACGCTTGCGGAAAATCTCAGCTGTGAATCATTCAGCTTTTGGGGTTCTCTTTTCAGGTTTATGATCCATCATCATATGGGTGTAATAGAGTTTATCATATCAGTGAAACATAACACCAGTTAAGATGGTTCTATAAATTTTTATGAAGTGCAGTAAATGTTGTTTATAGCATATTTTAGTCTTACTAACATGTTTAAGTGTTATTTGTATAAATATTAACTTATTAATTACCATATAAATATTATTTTAAATATGTATATTAAATTATTAGTTATTTCAAAGTATTTAAATAGTATCAATAAACATTATTAGAACTATATGTCTTATTATTCTTCTAAAAATTCATAAACATATTTATTTTGTATTTTATACTTTCTATAAATGTAACTCTCACCTAACAAACAATGACACCTCATTTCCTCATGCACCCAGTTTAATCTTGAATCAATAAAGCCAACAAAACGGAACTTACATAACTTACAAAACAAAGAAATAAACAAATGTTTGGACCCGTGGGAGCGCATCTTGCATATGAGGAGGCACACACCCCCCACAAAAACAAAACAATAAAAAAAAAAGGCAACAAGAGTGTCAAGCAAATAAACACCTCTTTAAAAAACAGGTATTATCTGCTCTTGGCAGATCTCCTGCCAATGTTTGTTTTGGCCTAAAAAGAGGCTTATCTTTAAGCCAATTCGCTGGAGGTCCAGCGACACTTAGTGGGACAATAATTTTAAAAGTCGTTTTAAATGCGAAATGGAGATTGTTTTTTGACCCAAGACCCATCTGGCATATCTGGGAAATATCTGGAATTTTATAAACTGGATTAACACTGACTTAATTCAGGGGTATTTATGGTTTCCGCTGATTTAAAGTCAAGAAATAAGTGTTTAAATGGCATTGAAAATGTATATATATATTTTTATTCTTTCTTTATCTTATATGTATTCCCCACTTAACCCTTTCATAATATTTAACCCACAAACAAAGTATAATTTTTGTTTTTGCTAAAAACCCACCTCACTCTTATCTTTTTACAAAAATTTAAAACAACAAAAATTTAGAACCAGTTGAGAACGTAAACAAGAGATACAAAGATGCAAAGTTCTGGAGATAGATAGGGCTCCAGACCTTGGCAACGCATTGAGTCTTTGTCATATATTTACCCAATTATTAGTAGAATTATCTAAGACTCCAAGTTAGATATATGGCTTCTGCGAATAACACTGGCGCTGGCGAAATCCCTTAATCACACTTATAACCCGAGATTTCGCCAGGTATAAAAGGCGAGAATAGATGCAGAATGGTCATCAGTAGAGTAACAACTGCAGTCAGTATGTTTGCCACGCCCCTCAGACAACAGCCCCCCAATGCGGCTAGCCAGAGCCAGGGAAAGGCAATGCCTCTCGGTATGGATGGCCACGACAAACCGTTTCAGTACGAGATTACCGATCATGGGTATGGCAAGGATGCAGTGAAGGTGCTTCATGTGAGTCGCCAGGGTCCCGTTCACACCATCCAGGAGTTCGAGGTGGGCACTCACCTGAAGCTGTACAGCAAGAAGGACTACTATCAGGGTAACAACTCGGACATTGTGGCCACGGACTCGCAGAAGAACACTGTGTATTTGCTGGCCAAGAAGTATGGCGTGGAGAGTCCCGAGAAGTTTGCCCTGCTGCTGGCCAAGCACTTTATCAACAAGTACTCCCATGTGGAGGAGGCACACGTCCATGTGGAGGCCTATCCCTGGCAAAGGATCTGCCAGGATGAGACCAAGACCCAAGTCACCAATGGTCAGAGTCAGGGTCAGGCTCAGACTCAGACTCAGGCTGGGGGTAGCTGCAACTTTTCTTCAATTGACAATCGATCGCTGCACAACCACGCCTTTATCTTTACACCCACCGCTCAGCACTATTGTGACGTGGTCATGAGGCGAACAGGTGAGCTTTGCTGGCAATTTCTACCTAAGATCGCAACTATCTGTAGTTTACCCCTCACAGATCCCAAACAAACCGTCATCACCGGCATCAAGGGTCTGCGGGTGCTGAAGACAACGCAATCCTCATTCGTGAACTTTGTCAACGATGAGTTCCGATCCCTGCCGGATCAGTATGATCGGATATTCAGCACTGTGGTGGACTGTTCCTGGGAGTATTCCGAGACGGACAGTGTGGACTTTTCGCGAGCCTGGCAGACGGTCAAGAACATTATTATTCGCAACTTTGCCGGTGATCCCCAGGTGGGCGTATCCTCGCCCTCTGTCCAGCACACTTTGTATCTGAGTGAAAGACAGGTCCTGGATGTCCTGCCGCAGGTGTCGGTCATCTCGATGACCATGCCGAATAAGCATTACTTTAACTTTGACACAAAGCCGTTCCAGCAGATCGTGCCGGGGGATAACAACGAGGTCTTCATTCCGGTGGACAAGCCGCATGGCACCATCTATGCTCAGTTGGCGCGAAGGAATATCAACAGTCACCTTTAGATCTCAACAAATTTTAGGGGATTTTTAAAATTTATTTACTCTTTTTGATGCTATTATTTTGACTAGTGCAATAACGCGCTAGAATATTATCAAAAATAAAATTAAATTAAATTGAAGCCTTTGAACTCTAATTCTGATTTGTTTTTGGTTGCTACTTTTTAATTTTGTTGCCATGTCTTATCAACTAAAACAATAGATTTGATTTTCAGCAAAAAGTTTTAATTTGTATAAATCTCGGCTGTTTAAGCTGGCCAATGATATGCCCACTTGTACACTTAACAAAACACTGCTAATTTCCATGGCAGCTATCTCCCGATTTTCTTTAAATTAAAACCGAAATTTTGAAAAGAAGATTTACATATCTCAGAGTATATATTAATATATTGAAAAATAGAGGGTATAATTTGATTTTATTATTTTTTCGATTGTTCCCAAGGACGCTATATGATATAGTCGTCCCATTTGGATTCATTTAAAAAGCTTTAATTATTTTTTGTTGTGTATAGGTGACCTCCATTTTTATATAGCCACAGCGTGTGCCTTCATCTTTATAAATAAATAGCTCTTATCAATGCCAGCCAAAGCCAGAAGCCTCTTCGTCTTTGAATAATTCGAAAATCAGTTTACCAAAGACTTTCAACTACCGCGGTTTAAAAATCTCCCGGATTCAGGATGCACAGCATTGGATTTTACCTCCTTTGGACGCTGACTGCCTGCGTTATTTGGCAAGGATCAGGGGCGGAGGGGCCAAATAGATGTGAAAGTTTCTGTATGACGGAATTGCGACCCCTCCTGGACAAAGTGATCAGCGGCCAGGATGATGCAGACAATGAAACCAAAGCGAAGCTAGACAGATTGGAAGGGAAAATAAAAGATGTACAGGTCAAGCAGGAAAACCAACTTCAGGCAGCCTTGACCAAATTGAAAACCAGCTACAGGAAATTCTGAATAAGATGGAAGAGACCCAACAAGTAGCTGACGTGGAAGATAGGAATACAATACCAAATGGTTTCGAGAAAATCGGCACGAGGTATTTCCGAATAGTTGAAGAACATGCAAGTTGGGGGGAAGCTGAGAGAAGTTGTCGTGACATGGGTGGTTACTTAGCCTTATTTCGAAACCATCGCGATTTCTACGGCATTCAACCAAAGCTTCGAACGAAGATTAATTATTGGATCAAGACAGAGATTGCGAGCGACAAAAACCACGTGATAAAATGCTTCATATTCACTAAATACGATACTAGAATACAAGTGACGGACCACGATTGTAATGATCGCTTTTATTTTATTTGCCAAACGGACAAATGAAACTTAGTCAAATTCGTATTCAAAGTTTTAAATAAAGTTATATATAAAAATACCATACCAATACTTTCTCTTCCTGACTTTTCAGCAATGAACATTTTTTTCAAGGATTAACTCGACTTTTGGTTTAATAATTTAGTTACATTTTCAACAATATTACTTAGACAATGAATTATTATTTGATTTATTCGGGCTTAGATTAATATATATCCAACTCTTTTGCTTATTCTGAGTTATTTTTTTAAAAGACACATACCTAGACTTTAGACCAACATATCTTTGAAATATTGAATAATCTGCCCGTAAATTTTGCTTTCCATACCCAAAAAGAGGCAATCAAATTCGCAATTTAGGTCGACTTTCAGCAGCGGTTCCTCCGAAGTGGAATCTACGGTGCCAATGTTCGGTGTTAGCTTCAGAGCGCTCATCAGGCTTAGTGCCTTATCCTTGGTATTTGCATACTCATCCGAACGGATTACCTCAAAAGCCGCCTCCTTTAAGGCAGGACAGAATCTCTTGAAGTAGTTGTGGCGATCGCAAAGACGCACAGCCTTTATATTCACGCTGCCGGTATCGGTGAGCTCTTTGAAGGCATTAAAGCACTTCTTGGTCTCTAGCATGGTGTCCCCGAAATCCCTAGTCATCTCCACGTTGGCATCTGGCATTTGGTTCGAGATCAAGGCTAGGACTTCACTGGCCGCCAGCTGGCGGGCATACTTTTTCTTATCCGCCTTTGCATAGCACTTAATTGAGCCCACGGAGCAGCTGGCCACAAAGTCCTGGGCACTACTGCTAGAGCTGCTCTGCGGCACAGCCTTGATGATGGGCTGTGGCATACCATGGAGGAGGCAGTAGTCGCGCAGCTCCTTCAGCATGTCCCGATTTAAAATCTGGATTTCCGTGCTGACTCCGGGATGTACGCTGAGCTTGCGCCAGAGATTTTCAGCTGCCAATTGTTTGGCTTCTCGCTTGGTGCGTCCTGAGATCATTTTTTTAAATTCTTTGTTTACTTTAAATGGTTAAGAAATTAACTTTTTTTACCATTTCCATGGGATTCCATTTCCAGAGCTTTTACCTTGCAGATATAGCCGCCCTCTCGGCCTATGATAAAGTCGTAAATTGGAGTATTCTTGCTGGATTTGGAGCAGAACTCCTTAAGAGCAGTCACAGCTGGTTTGTTTTCCATCAGAAATGGGGGTTGTGGCACAGATATATCTCGACAGCTATTTCAGAAAACGCACAATAACTTTTTAGGTTCAAAAACTCAACTAATTCGACGCCTACTTTTAGGCAGTATTATTAAAATTATATTCTTAATATTATTAGAATTAAATTAAAAATAAAAACTTTTACAATCAACCTGGCTTTGTTAAGAAAATTTCCAAATTTGTCAAAACGTCCTCTCTATATCTCAAAATGAATCAGAGATTGTAGACGAAATTGTAGGTTTTTTGTTTTCTAATAAGTTTTGGCCCTCGAAATTTGTTTTCCAAATTGACAAGCTACTATTAGCGAATCGATAGTCCGCAGAGGTTTAGCAACATGACCCAACGACTGGCATTGCAACACATCCTGACCACCCAACTGGCCAATAACTGGGAGCGGGAGGATTCGGCCAAGGCCACGCTGGCCAAGCTGAATGGCCGGAAGGACAAGTTGAGGCAATCGCTAAGGACGATCCATGTGCCGGCTCGCTACCATGCCATGATGCCTGAAACGAGCAAGACGTACGAGAACATGGTGGATAGAATTCACCAGACCATGCAGTGTAAGAAAAATATTAATAATAATAATAATATTTGTACCTTAACTTTAATTATATATTTTGTATACTCAATTCCCTTGCTTTCCTCAGCGGTTAGACCCAAACGAAGACCTCTGCCAGCAGTTGCCTTGCCTGATGCCGCGATTCCGGCTGGTTCTACCACAGTGTCAACACCACTGCCATCTACGCTCGTGCCCAAGCATTATCCCAAGCGCAGCAGATCCGGTCGAGTCAAGGGCGGTGCCAGTCCAACGAAGGCTCATGGCTCCGGCTCCATTACCAAGGGCAACCAAAAGAACTTGGCCTTAATCCGGGCCGGCTTGAACTTGAAGATGCAGCAGGCCAGAAATGGTGGTCCAGCCACGAAAAACCTAAAGGGTTTGTCCGTACAAAAGCATATGAACGAGGTCATGCGGCAGAAGAACGTCCTGGAATCAATGCTAATGCAGCACAAACGATTGCGACAAGACCGTCAGACCATTGTCATGGACATGCAACGGATGCGGGCGGATCTGGATAGGATTTGCAACAAGCTGGACAATTCCCTGCAAAGCCTGACCTCCACGGTCACCACCTTCAGCATCGCACCGTCGCCGGCAAAGGAGGCCATTAAGAAGAAGGTCTCGCACAGCAGTGTCGTCCCCCGCAAAGCCAAGGCTAATCCTATTCCAGCGATTAAGGCCCAGAAGAGTGGCACCCAGAAGATGGCATCGGTGCGCCGGTCAGGGATTCTCAAGGCCAAAGCCAATCCCAATATGTGGAACCGGCAGCGTCTGCACGCCAATTAGGTATGCACGAAAATAAAAAGCGGCTAGCATTTAAGCATTTAAATATTTAAATTTTAAATTATCGATAAATGGCAATGCTGTAAGGCGCCTACCATTATAGTGTTGAGCAACGTATGGAAAACTATTGCTCAAAAATAGTAATTTATTTTTATACATAATCATAGGAAACCAAATAAATTAATAAAAGTAAAAATACAACTTAAATTTTTGCATTTATTTTAAATTCAATTTTAATTTAAATTTAAATTTGATTTGTCCGACACGTAACCGATATTATCGTGACGCAGCTATTTGTGGTGCCTTTGTTGCCAATCGATATATCGATACACGAGTTGGCCCATCTCTACTTGCTCATGGCGTCTGTTTTTCGCCACTTTTTTGTTTTTCGTTTATTTATGTATATTTGCCACCTTTCCGCCTAATTTCTTAACAATTCGGAGCCAAAGATGGGCTCCTCCAAGAAGCACAAGAAGAACAAGTCGGAGCGTCGCGAGAAATATGAGGGTAAGCTTCGAATAAAACGGGGCTCCGTCTACGTGAGCTCCCCCCTGTGATGCGCCATCTCGCTCTAGCCGCTTTTGCCGCTTGTTGTTGAGCGTGTGTGCACTGGAAAAAAAAAAAGAAGACTCTTTTAATTAATTTTATATTTAAAAAAAAATTTATTTAAAAATAAAAAATTACTAATTACGTTTATTTTAAATGCAGAATACAGCCAGCACCAGGATCCTGCTCAGCTGCAGCGTGGCCTGAAGCTGATCCTCAAGGTCGGTTCTAATAATACTCCGGAGTACAGTGCCAATTCTCCGATGGTGGACGGCGGACCGCCCACAGCTGCCGAGGCCATGATGTCTCCTGTGCCCGAAGATGAGCTGCAGGATCAGCAGCAGCAGCTAGGCCATCGCGAGCGTCACAAAAAGTCCAAGAAAAAGAAGAAGAAGAAGGATCGCGATCGAGAGAAGAAGCACAAACATCATAAGGAGAAGCGCCACAGAAGCCGGGATCGTCATAGGTCAGCGGATGACGACGATATGGTCCTGCCAGGTGCCGATGATGCTGCCTGCAGTGGCTTTGCTCCGCCTTCGGTGGCACCACCTCCGGCCTCCGCATTGGATGCCGATTCTAGTCAGGATGGTTTCAGCTTCATGGACGATGACGACCAGTCGCAGCCGCTGCCAGAGAATATTCTGTTCTATGCTGGAATTACCACGGATAACTCGCCTTCCAATTGTCCGGTGACAAAGCCCATAGCACCGCGCAAGCTGGACGACATACTGATGGGTGGTGACTCTTCGTCGCTGCAATCCTCATCGCAGCTGGGTTTGGGGGGCAGCAGTCCCACCAAGCCGCTGCCAGACGTAAGTTAACACTTTAATTTTGTGAACAACACCAAACATAACTTCTCCTTCGACAGCTACTTATACCATCACCATCGACGCCTGGCGGTACCAACTCCCTCAATGCCTTGACACCCAAGGGAATTCTGGATGCGCCCAAGACCCCCAGCAGTTGCAGCGAGTCGGGCCGGGAGCCCCGTAGCTGTGTCCTCAAGCTAAAGCAACAGAAATCCCCATTGAACAAGCTGTTGGAGCATCTGTTGCGTTTCCTGGAAAAGCGAGATCCGCATCAGTTCTTTGCCTGGCCCGTCACCGATGACATGGCGCCTGGCTACTCCTCCATTATCCACAAGCCCATGGATTTCTCCACGATGCGTCAGAAGATCGATGATCATGAGTATGGTGCATTGACGGAATTCAGCGATGACTTCAAGCTGATGTGCGAGAATGCCATCAAGTATAACCATGTGGATACGGTATATAACAAGGCAGCCAAGCGTTTGCTCCAAGTGGGCATGAAGCATCTGCAGCCGGAGAACCTTATGCGGAGCCTCAAGCCCATGTCCGGTTATATGCGAGAGCTAACGGCCAAAGAACTTGGCTTCGAGTTGAACACCAATGATATGTCACGGGAAACTCACGATTCGGCAGATGAGGGAGCTTCAACGGGGGCCGAGGAGCTACCCACTGCCGCCCAGTTGGAGGAAGAGGAACGCAAGCGGACGCTACGCCTGGCGAATACACCGAAAACTCATTTTGAGCCCTATGTCGATGACTTGACGGGCGAGGAGATCCTGGCCCAAGTGCAAAATGCCGCCCAACAGGCCAAGCAGCGAGTGAATGCCAAGAGAAACGCCCACAAGATGGGCTTCCTGCGACAGGGAAAGGATGGCAGTACCACGCTGAATCTCCTGACCAAAGAGGAGAACGAGGGACCCGAGAGGGTGGTGACCATTGGTGATCTGGTTGGCAAACTGCAAACGGGCAGCACTCAGCTGCAGGTGCGACAGGTGGACAAGCGGAATGCCATGAAGACAGTGAAGCCTCTCAGCTACGGAGCCTTTGCCAGCTTTGCACCCACTTTCGATTCGCGCTTCTCCACCCTGAGCGCCGAGGAGACCCAATTGGTGCTGCGTACGTATGGCGATGCCTCCAGTGCGGAGTACGCGGAGAGCATCTTACAGTTTACCAAGGACTCGAGCTTTGGCACGACCATTGCAAATGGTTTGCTTGACATTCTCACCAACGGGGAGCACAGCAAATCCCTGGAGGAGCTGTACAACATGCAGCTGCACTCGTACGAGCAACGTGAAATCGACAAGTGCTTTGAGCCCGAAACGGAGGCCCCAGAAACCGCCGAGCAAATCGAACAGGAGTACGAGAAATACAAAAATACCCAGGTGGACTTTAAGGGTCTGCACTCACTCAAGGATCTGGGCATCGATGTAAGCTTCTTGGATGGCATGGAGACGGAAATGAAGAACTTCGAGCTGAATCGCCGCATGCACGAGCATCTCAGTCAGAATCTGACGTTGATTGAGAAGCTACGGGTGACGCAACACGATCGTCTGTCGCAGCCCCTGCCGAATCACCTCGGACTAGTGCCGGCGGCTGGCCAGGAGGAGGCGCAAACAGCCCAGCAGCTGACCCAGCAAATCAGTGAGCTGGCCAAGAAGCTGCCACCATCTGCCATAGCCGATCCCTATGCGCTGCGCAAGGCTATGGGCATGTCTTATGGTATGTCTACTCTCCTTCTCTTCCTTTTTTTTTTTTTTGGTTTTAATTAGATTACTTTCCTTTCTAGCTGGCTTGCCACCACCTCGTCCAGCCTCGCCACGTGTCCAGCTGCCGGAGCTGCTGCAACAGCCAGTGGCCTTGCCCCAGCTTCACCAGCCGGTGGTGACCATGGAGATTGATGACGATCAGCCGGATCAGCAGCCAGGTGGCGGTGGCGATCTAGAGAACGAGTTGCGCGAGTTCCTTGAGAGCGGCTCTGGCCTGCACGGAGCAGTAAATCCGGCGGATGACAACAGCATTGTGGCCCAGCTGCTGCTCAACTAAGTGGAGGTCGATAGTGACCAAGACGAGCGCTATGTTTATAATGTAAGATAATGACATTTTTGCTAAATTATTTTCATACTTATAACCCAAAACATGGCAATTGCACACTCTGAATAAAAACTAAGGAAAGAAAAGTAAATTTAACTAAAGCTAGGGATGTTTTTAGGGGAAAATTTATCATTTTAAGTTTCTTTTTCTTTAAATTCTAAAAAACAAACCCTCTTCTAATCTTCTTTAACATTAACAAACATATATTTACTTTTTCAATTTCGAACTTAAGCCTAAACACACACTTTCAACTTTGACTTAACAAGTTAGGTAACATGAATTTTTAAGTTAATCATACACAAAAACAGTTGTTGTGGCGATAAGCTAAACTTCTTCCCCATTTTCCGTGGGCTTGGATGGCTCCGTTTCAGCCTCAGCCTCAGGCTTAAGTTCAGCCTCAGCCTCAGGCTTAAGATCAACCTCATCCTCGGGCTTAACTTCAGCTTCAAACTTAATTTCAGCCTCAGCTACAGCATCAACCTCAACTTGAATCTCCTGCAGCTCCTGTACGGCGTTGTCAGCTGGCGGTTTGGTGATCTACAGAAATAGTTACAATACAATAGGGGCGAAACAGTCAGCATAGCCTTGGCATTATCATAGTTATACGTTTTCCATTCTTCAGGCACATAATACTTATCGGATTACCATGCAGTTAACATGCAGCTGTCTATATATATATATATATATTAATATATCTGCGTAGATGGAGCTCAGCATGCGCATTACCTACAGTTAAGTACGTTTTAGGTCTTAGCCTAGGGATTAGTTTTAGGAATATATATATCATAATATCTTCGTATGGACTTTACCACATTAGAAACCGCATGAAGGGCGAGGGTACGAGTATTTACTTAGAACCTAGACTTTGGAACCCATTTATATATATATATATATTTCTACTATATATCACAAGATGGTTTTGATTTTGATTTAGATTTTGGTTGTCCCCGTTTTGTTTGTTTTTTGAATGTGATTTTGATGTTAGTTGGTGTGATTTCGTTTTAGTTTCAATGGGTTTTCAACGGTTTGATTTTGTTATTGTTCTGTAGAAGTTGTTGAGTTAAATCGGAGCCCGATTGGCTGCCAGTCGATCTTACTTTGAAGCAGCGAATGTGGAAGTGATCGCACATCTCAGAGACCTGCAAATAGTTAACATTTTTAACTAAACATTAGAATATAACTTAATATTACTTACCACACCAAAGCCATAGTGCCAGTGAGCTAATGTTGAGAATATGGTCAGACTATAGAGAATCCATTTCTCAATGTCCTTGGGTAGATCCATGGCAAACACTGTTTGGTAGTAGGGAAAACAGCACACAGCAACTGTGGCGGCCAGGGGCCACATCAGCACATTGAAGCCATCGCATCGCGTATCCGACATTTGGGCCACAATCAGGCGGCACTTTCCATAGGAATTTTTAAATTATTAACTAAAATTTGTAAAGAAAACCAAGACATACAGCAATATTGGAGAATATTGTTCCATAGAGTATCCAAAGAATACGAGGATGCGAGTTAATCAAATCATTCCTGGAGAAGAACGACCAGATCAATGTAATCACAAAGAGCCAAAGAAAGGCAAAGAACGGACGCAGCATCTCCCACATGGGTCGCATTTTGCCCGTCTTGTTTTTATAGGAGCTAAAAGAAAACCATATTTTGTTCTTAAATTATTTAATATACCTTCAAGTCAAGACTGTCATACTCACAGATAGATATTTCTGGCAATAATAGGATGACTGCTGACCATACCAGAGCCAATCAGAACCACCTCAAACATATTGGCGACCGTGAAACCATACATGCTAAAGCGGTAGATCTCTGGGCCAAAAATAGTGGCCACAAAAAGCATGCCACTGACGCCCTAATAATAAATTTAGTTATTAATTAAAAATAATTGATTAAAATAAATTAAAAAGCAATTAATGACTCACCCACATGGTGAAGTCATAGCCCCAGGGCAAAAACATAACTCCCGTGTTATACTTTTCCACATGCGTCAGGTAAAAATTGAGAAACACGTTCCAAATCACAAAGAACATACGGATTGGTGGCAGATCATCCGTACCAAATAGTGAGAATATATAAATGGGTATCAGAGCCGCCGAATAGGAGTCCAAACCATGATCAAAGAGCTCCCCCAAGGGACCACTCGTTCCAGTTCTACGCGCCTGCTTGCCATCCATGCCATCTGAGAAAAATAAATTATAGATATTTGATCCTTGAAATATTCAAATCCCTTTTGAACTCACCTAAATTATAGTAAATGAGTATATTAATGGCCGCCACTGTCCACACCCAGGCTGGCACTGTGTTGCCTTTGGTCATATCATTGGCCGCCTTAAATTCCCAATCGTAGTAGGCTATCAGTATAAAGTTGATCACAGTCATGAGAAAGCCCACAAAGGTCAGTACATTGGGTGCCAGCCATTTTGGAACAAACTAGGGATAATTATTGGTAGTTGAAAATGTTTCTTAATGTAATAAAATATTAATATCTTGATGTTTACCTTCACGCAATAGTTCCAGAAGGGGTGCATCACATAGACACTGAGAAAGCTCGTGTCTATGCTGCTGTACTGGGGGGTAAGAAATTAATTAAGGTATTGATTAGTGAGAAAGTTCTGTGGAAAGTATTTTTCCATTAAGTTTAATATTCTTTCTTTGAGGGAAAAATAATTGGAAAAATATAAAAATTCTAATTGAAAGTGAAATTTGTATAATCAAGCTGATAAAGATTTGAAATTGATAATATTTCAAAGTATAATTAAGCCAAGATCCTTGAAATTCTCTAAATTTAAAGTTAAGATGTTTACCAATCTCTCTCCTGCTGTCTCTTTGTAATCTTTACAAGTACAAATTCCACTTTTGATAGTCACAACCCCATACTTCCCATCCAAACCCCCACTATCTTTCTATCTGTCACATTTATTCATATATATATACAAGACCGGAGCTTCAGCACATTGTAGCTCTCCATTGACAGTTCAATGCCTTCTCATCCTCCTCCTGAGCTAGAGGCGAACGTTTGCAAAACATTTGTTTGCTTTGGAACTTGCTTGGTTATCACCTAATTGATGACCCACAGGCTGTATTAATACATTAAAATTTTGATAGTACAAATTTCGACACATTCCGAACCCAATTAGGCTGTACTAACCGGAACTAGAGTGAGTCGTGAGTGCGATTAGCTATCTGTCTATTACACAGAAAGAAATGTCTACAGAATGCGGGCAGCCCAGACACGTTAGTACAACCATATCTTATCTTAGTAAAGACGATAACAAATAACACAATCTTATGGTTTTTGTTTAGTAATTGTAGCAATTTCATTTGGCATATCTTGGCCATTCCACTTGAATATTTATGAATAGAGTTGTAAGCCCAGTTCCCGGGCACTTATAAAACTCATAGATTTACTTTTTTGGTGTAGTTCAAAAGCTTAAAATCAATAAATGATTACCCATTTACCTAGCAATATTTAAAATTTAATTTAAATTTATAGAAGAGTTTAATAAGGATGTCCTGGAAACTTTTAAAACTTCCAAAATAGCGTTGTTGAAATTGTTGGAAAGTCGAAATCTTAAGAAAAAGGTTCAAAATCAATGAATGGGAATCTCCATTCGCTTTGATATAGTTTAAATTTAATGAAAACTTATGGAAATATGTACTAATCACTAAGATAGGTTGAAATAATTTCCCAGAAACTCTTAAAATATCCAAGTTAATGTTGTTGAAGTTGTTGGAAAATCTGGGAACTCTAAGAACTTCCATAATTTTGTGACTAAAGTTGTTGAAAAATCGAAAAGGAATTAATTAAGAGTTGTTTTACTTCTGTTTTATAGTTAAAGTCCATTAATAATACTTTAGGTACTTCAGAGTAAATATTTCCTGGAAACTCTAAAAACTTCCAGCTTAAACTTGCTAAAGTTGTTGAAAAATCGAAAATGCCGCGAAAATGGTTTAAAATCGATGACGGAGATTTCCCGCTTATTGCTCTATAGTTAAAATTCAATAACAATTGGTGGGAGTGTCCGCGGAGGTGGGTACTTTCCAAATAGGACATTGATTTTCAATGGTGACCCCTCGGTTTGGGGTTTGAGAAGCCCAACCATGCCCCTCCACTCACCTTGTAGCGCTCGAAGCCCCGCAAATGAGCCTCGGACAGATAGCGCATGCAACCCATTTTGTTGATTTGTATTTTGTACTTTTCCCAATATGCAATTTGTAAAATGCTTTCGCTGTTCCACTTGCTAGTTGCTTGGTTACTTTGTCAATACAATTGTGATAAGAGAACTCTCCTCTCTCTCACTCTTTGGCTCGGAGCTTGCACTTGGATCGAATCCCGGGATTATCGCGTATCGGCGGGCTTGACCTTTGAATGGGTCAGATGGTTACTATTCCCGGCATTATTGTATAACATCAACGGATCTACACTCAGCATATACGAGTGTATATGATTTTCCCGCGTTCCGTTCACTCGCGGCTGTCCCCGGAATGACAGTAAATTAAATAATCGCCGCAGCACGCAAGCTGCCGTTACTTCGGCGTGGAGGAGAAGGAAGAAAACCCGGGACGGAGACGTAGGCACGCAGAGTCACACACACAGAGAAAGAGAGTGACAAAACCAAGAAGAAAGAGGGAATATTCCGGACGCGCCGGCGACTGAACGGGAACTGCGGACTTATCAGCCGCTGAAGACCTCAGGCGCTTAATTCGGGACGCCGACTGCGTCGACTTGGGTTCCACAAAAACAAATCCCAGTGCGCAGAGCAACAGTGATGGCAAACTGGCGGTTTGAAAGGAGACGAATCCGGGCTTAGGGTATTTTCAATAAATTTAGTTGTTTTAAATATTTGCTAAACTTAAATATATATATTTTCTAAATAAATAGCACAAATTAGATGATGAAAAATTACTCACTACACTGAAAACTTGGTTTATTTCTAAGGTCTGTGTAGATGATAAACTGTTAAAATTAAAATGTTCCAAGGATTACTACTTTTAAATCATAAAAAGGTGCAAATTTAACCTGAAATTGTTACCTTAAATATCTTATTTAATTTTTAAAAAATTAAAAAACTCTAGAGACTTGTATTTACAATTTTTTCTTAATTTTTTGTACTTTGAAATTTGTATTTCAAGCCTTCTTAAGGAATTTAAAACCTACAAATATATTTTTAAAATTTATTTCGAATTTTATTCTTACGAAAATTTAGTTTTAAAAGATTTTTTTAAACAAATTTTACAAAAATATTGTTTTAAAGGATTTTCTTAAAAACTTTCTTTAATTTGTAGTAAAACCTTCCTTAGCCTTCCAAAAATAATATTTGAGGAGTTAAAAACTTTTTTTGCCTTACCTATTTAATCGTTTTAGTGAAAAATTAGTAATCTCGGACATCACTAGCGCACACACTCTTATCGCAACGAGAGATTGTGTGTATGTACTATAATTTTTTATTTTTTTTTTTTTTGCATTGAATGAATGTGAATTGAAATTTGTAAAAAGCCGAATAGATTGCTCCCACTCCATGAGCAGCAGCAGCACACGGCCGTCCAGCGGCTACGGCGACCGAGGAGAGGTTATCAGCTCCACAATTTCCACAGGCAGGCAGCAGCAGCAGCGAGACCATAATCTCGGAGGGAGCTTGCTTTGTGGGCTGTTGTTTATTACAATTATAAACGTTAATGACCGACTCCGGGTCCCGGCCGGATCCGTTCGGATCGGATCATCATGCTGCGTGTATTATAGGCCCACTAAATTTAGATCGAAGCCGTGTTTTTGCTTAATTTTAGTTCAAGTTCGGCAGATAACCTCCATGGGCAGAGCGGGTTGCTAACGGGGCAGAATCGAACGGAAATCGAAACTTGAAGATTAAAAAGCACGCAAAGGGGAAAATATGAATAAACCATAAGCTAAGTAGTTTAACCTTTTAAAATGATTTATTAAATAATTTAAACATTAAAACTGGAGGAACATTAATTTTTAAAGATGCAAATTAAAATTAAAACCTCAAATATTACCTTTTAATTTGTAATTTCAACCCGCTAACCCTCATAAATTATTAATTTTACTATCAACACCTAGAATTTTTTTCATAAATATTCAAATCTTTTAATCAACAATTTCCACAACAATATTTCACTTAAACGAATACACAAATTTCACAATTTAATCAACTTCTTCGCCACTTCAACTTGTTTACGCACTTCAAGTAGCTCCGAGTCATAAAACTTATTTCTGTATTAAGATAACGTAATGACTTTCTTATCAAACACAACACAAAATTGTTAAATATGACGGGAACTTTCACCCATTGGCAGTATAAGCAGCAGCAAATAATGTGTGAATGAAGACTTAAGCCTAGGATTTTTATTAGGTCGGGGTTTTTCCTCAGTTTTAAGGATTCAGACTCTAATCAATTCAACCATCTGGAGGTCTCCGTGGCAGTCAGACCCTCGGAGCGCAGACGCTGGAGCATCGGGCGGTATATGTCGGGTGTGAAAGGCAGCAGGACACCGCGTTCCTGGATCTCACCTGGGAAAATATATTAACAAAATGAGTAAAAAGATTTGAAGATTTAAAAAGTGTTTAACCTTAATATTATATAGAAAATATCGTTGATTAAACTTATTTTTAAACTTTAAATCCAATATCTCACATCTATCGAAACTTGGTCGATTTATTTAATCGACTTTTGCTTCAAATATCGATAAAGAGTCGATATACCCATATTTTTTCTAAGAATACCTACCATCTAGTATCATTTTGGCGGCTATGGCAGCCGGTTTGCCCACTGTCATGGCCATGGCAGAATGTCCTTGAGGCTGGCCGTAGACCACAAAGTTTATGCCACGCTCCTCGCGACGACCATCGGGCCAACGGATGCCCACCTCATGGCGAAGCACCACCAGATCGCGTTCATCGCGTTCTGGAAAAGGGAGAAAAAATTAAAAATAAAATCTAAATCTTCCTATAATTTAAATTTTAAATAGATTAAAAATTACAAAAAATCTCTATCACTCACCAAAGGCCAGTCTCTTGGACAAATAATGACTGAGCGTGTCCAGGGGAGTGTTGAGCTTCACCACTGGAGTATCATCCAGCAGGCCCAAGCTTTCGATGCAATCCACATCGCCAATCCGCTCGTTAAGCTTCTGCTTTAGATTCTCATAGAAGATACTCGAATCCGACATGCCCAGCAGATGGATGACCAGCTGACGCCATGTGACATCCGGACCACTCGGATGCAGCAGGGCGTGCGGCTCGGCATCAATTAGACCCAGCAGCTGCATGGGCTTAATGGACTCCGAGAAGCCCTTGTAGCGAATGGTGCCACGCAGCAGAGTGTGAACATCCTTGCCCAAGCCATACAGTGAACCATATTTGGTGGAGTCCCTATTCGGGAATCCTTCCAAGGCAAAGCCAGGCAAGAAGTCCAGGCTGCGATTGCTGGACATTAGTTCGCCGCCACCAGAAATCTCCACAATCTGTCCACGACTCAGATATTTGGCAGCCGAGAGTGTGTTGAGGAGGACTCCCCTTGGCGACCACGAGAACTTGTACCGGAGGGCATTGTTTGAGTGCTCCGGCGCAGGAAGACCGCCGCAATAACTCACAAAGGACTCCACAACAGCTCCTTTTTCCTGAACCTCATGGATGCACTCCAAGGCCAACAGATGATCAATACCTGGATCCAAGCCCACCTCATTCATGATTGTCACACCCTTGGTCTTGGCCTCGTCATGCAAGCCGGAGATCTCATCGTTGAGATAACTAGCTGTGACCATGTGGGTGCCCTCCGCCACGCAATACCTGGCCACCATGCCATGGAGACTGTAGGGTAGCAGGGAGATCACCACATCGGCCTTGCCACACAGCTCCTGAAGGTGTCCCGTGCTCTCGTTCACATCCAGATAGACGCTGTCCACGCCCGCATATTGCTGGGCCAAACGATCGGCCTCCTCCTTGACCTGCGAGCAGACCGTGATACTCACATCCTTCTCGCGATGCAGCCACTCCACCAGGGGGGCAGACACCATGCCGGCACCCAGGACAAGGACATTCTTGTTGGACTCGGATCTGCCCTCCATTTTGTGACGCGATCGGTGGTTCTGAGAGTCACGGAGCTCCTGTATGTACTGGAAGCCCTCGGTCAGCTCACCATTGCTGGCGATAATGGCCTGGGAGAGATAGGTAAAGGCTAGAGTTAGCTAACTGATAACAGATCCGCAGATAAGCGGTCACAATGCACTTGAATGAATAAATATAAATAAACCTAGAAACTCACCGACTGAATGGGATAAGAGAACTGCTCCTCCGCCAGCGGCTTCTTGGCGTCACTCTTGATGATATCATGGACATGGGGCGTCAATAGTTCACCAAACAAATCCGTTGCCTCCCTGGGCAATTGCGTGGGCATATTATCAATAGAACAGACCAGCACTCCAGGTCCCTTAAAGCTCTTGGTATCCTTATTCCTATCCGCATCGTACAGGCAAAATGGTGTATCTATGGTCGTGCATTCATTCATGAACTCAATGGAGCCACCCGGATCGGCGGATATGTCACAAATGGCCAGCATGCGATGCGGCAGGGCGGGACTACCCTTGCTGGTGGGCAGCCAGGGTGTATTGGCGGGACGAAGCAGGTTCTTGGCATCCGGAATGCTGATTAACTTAGGACTGCCCACGGCCCAATAGATGCCATTCACAATAACAGAGGCGTAGGGAGCAATCTTGGTGCTAAAGGTGGATATGTAACGCTCGGGGAACTCATCGTACTCTTTGGCATCGAAGCCGCCGCCCTCACGTCGCTCCAGGTGATCCGAGCGACTCACCTCGCAGCCGTACAGCTTGTTTTGGTCTGAAATGTAAGAGGATAAATTCAAGTTTTACTACTTTTAGACAACTTTTTTCATAGTTTTCCAAAAAACCCTTTTAATTCCAACTCACTTCCATGCTCGGCCACCTTGCGCAGCATCTCTGGCGGCACATACTCAATGGGCAGTTCCGAGAACACTTCCTGAGCTCCTTGCGACACATTTCCCGAGCCCGTAAACACAAAAGTCAGCGGGCCAATTGACTTGGGCATCATGCCCAGCGAGATCTCGTACCCACAATCCCGGATAGCTTGTCTAGCCATTGATGAGTTCCGATAATTGTGAGCTGGTCCGATGTGCATGAAGGGTGTATGGTGACCCAGGGCCAATAGACGAAGCCCAATGCCATGGAGAATGTTGACCATGCCAGCCACTCCAGCATATTTGCCAAAAGCCACCTGGCGAGCTCCGCGCTCATCGATAATGCGTTCGTAGTCAATGAGACGGATTTTCTGGAAAGAAACAGAGTTGGACATATATTAAATATATCGGAATTTTCCCCTCTATATTCATCTCTAGTTTGAGATATACCTTTTCCAAAATAGCATCCAACAAGGGCATATTTGATTCCTGTGCTTTTATGGTATGCGAAAAGAAGCAGTACGTCTTGCCCGGAATCAAGGCATCTATGGGCACTTGCTTAACACCAAAAATCACAGAGGCATCGCTGATATCCTCCTGAATATGCGCACCAGCTTGCATATAAGCCTGGGAAAAACAAGGAAATATAAATATATAAAGAAAAAATATTTTAAAAATATTATATATAAATCTATAAAATAAATATAAAAATTTCAGATGGCAGAGATGACATTCAGTGTAAGTAACAAGGGATTTTTAAGCATTATAAGGATTTTTAAGAATTATAATATTTGGCCTAATATCTAGTTAATTAATTGCTCGTTTTAATTTAAATTTGTAGAAGCTAAAAAACTTTAACTTATTTAACTTAAATTCACAAATATTTTGTAGTTCCTTTTCTACAATTTTATCAATTTAATCATTTAATCAATTTATTATTTAATCAGTTGATAATTTATATTTTTAAGTACCACAATTAATTTGAATCACTGTACTTAATACACAAAACTAGTTATTTGTGGTTAGCAAAATGCTTTTAATAGTAAACATCTCTTTTATAGTTATTATAATGCTTGATTGAAATCATTCAACTTAATCGTTGTTCGCCTCACGTGCCTCCTCCTCCTATCCACTTGAGAGATCTGTTGAGCTATATAATCTATACTTTATAGATTCCTTGAAATCATGGTATTTGAACGATAAGCTCAGTGCTTCCCTTATACGCCTTATGCTCTCTCATCCTCGTTTTGTTTTTCACTTGGTTTCAAGGCCAGCCAATTGCCAAATTTAGAGCTCCCATAGAGAGGGGCTTATCATCCAAGTTTTTATATTTATGATGCACAGCACTTTGGGGGGCGTGTGTCGCGCAGTACAATATACATTATAAAGACGGCTGACTACCGCGATATGATTTCTAGGCAGCGATTAGCCGTTGCCAACAGGCCATGGAAAAATACGTCTTACAGCGGAAGGAGATTGAAGGATTAGAAATTCCCATATATGTTACGATTCTCACCTGCATGGGATATGCACGACGATTGGAGGGCTGAACGATGACCTTGACATTCTGCTTGACCAGCTTCTGGACATGGGTGGGCCCAAATGGAGCTCTACGCTCCCAAACCGACTGATCCTCACGGCGAATGGCAATCACGCGACTCTGGGAAATGGGGAATTTAGAAAAATTATTATAAAATAGAAATTGGAGTATCTGTTTAAGGATAATCTTCAGATATTATTAAATAGTTAGCCATCCATCAATTTTTACCATTTTTAAATTGGTTTTCCCCAAAAATGTATATTTTTCTTAAATTTTAGGTCAAATTTTTCCATAGCTGGTTAATGCTAACGGATAGTTTAATCGGATTCAATCTTAAAACTCATTTTTCAGATGTTTTTCCGTTATTTAACATGTTTACAATAAATAAACATAATTAATAAATAATAAAAAATACATTTAATAGAAATATAAAATAAATAATACATAGATCAATAGCTTCCGGGCTAATCTTCACTTTAAATTTAATTGGCACATTTTAACCAAAGCCGAAACGTACTTTATATTTTATTATATTTTAAAAATTACTTTTATTATTCGTTTTAAATTTATATTTATGTTTTTCAACAATTCAAAGTTGTATCTCTTTATATATTATCTTTTAACAGTCTTCCTTTATAATCTCATTATGAATGCAATTTCTGAAAAATCAACACACTCACATGTCGTTGTCTGGCCAACGGATGCGCGATTATTGCGCGCTGTTGAATCGCTCTCCACATGGTTCGTCAGCTTTGTGGGATCAGTTTTGGAGCAGAATTCCTCAAGTGCGAATTTTTTTGGGGTTTTTTTTTTTGCAATTTTCGTAGTTGGTGCTTCCGAATCCGATCCTCCTTCTCTGAGTTCTCGCACTCTTCTAAAAGGCATCGGCAGAGGCGGCTACAGAGGCACCTCTAATCAGCAAACCGCCGTCATAAATCCAGCGATAAGCCGCTCTCCATCGTGCATCTCCTCGGAGCTGAAACGAAAAAAGAATAAAGTTTGTGAAGAGAAGAGAGCTGCTCTGTGTGTAGCCTGTTGATTGCCAAGGGAGCCGGGCAGCCGGAGATCTCAACTTGGATTTTCAGCCTGAAAATTTTCCACTCTGATAAGAGTGGCCCGGAAAATTAAGAGAATATCAGGATGGCTGACCTCTTGGAAAATATAATATTAAAAATATTTTTAATATATATTTTTCAATATTTTAAGTTTAGATATTTATGGCATTTAACTCTTAAAAATCCAGATCTTCCAAAATATAATGCCATCCGATGTTTCCTTGTAACATATTATTTTTCCTGAAAATAATTGCACTGTGTAAACACTCTCCTTTTCTTAGTTTTAAATTCTCTTTTCTTTTTCTGTGTTAAAGCATAAGTTTTATTTTTGTAATTGCATCTTGGTTTCATAGTTTCATCGTCGTTTCACATCATCATCATCATTTTACTATAACAGTTTTTTTGTTTTCTTAGTTGGCTAAAGTCTACAAACTACTTGGAAAAAAATAAATATAAAACAATAATTGCATTGTTGCCTTAAATTTTTCAGGTAAAGCACAAAAGTCGAAAATAAAAAAGGAATAACAATTCGTTTTTGTTTTTTTGATTACGAAAAAAGGGGAGGAAAGCTGGATCCACATCTTAATTCTCTACAGCGCTGGCGCCTCGGGCAGCAGCGATGTGAAGAAGGTGATGACAAAGGTGCGCACAACGGAAATCACAGAGTTATTGGCATTTGGTGGTTCCACAGCCACGGCCATGGCTTCGGCAGACACATCGGCAGCAGCTGCATCGGAATTGGCAGCTGTTGCGGTTGCCGGAAGAGCAGCATCGGGTGCATCCTGCCCAGCAGGAGCTGCTCCCTCGGCTGCTGCTGCTGCTGCTGGCACAACACCCGGCTCATTGGCCGCCTGTGGATCATTGTTCTCGCGCTCCACAGCCGCATCCATCATCCGTTGGATTTGCTGCACGGCAGCAAAGGCGGCAGCAGCATCGCCAGCATTATTGTTACGATTAATATTGTTATTATTACGCTCGCGTCGCACACGTAAGATGCCAATGTGATAGCTGCGGGATATAGAAAACCATTTAGAAGCTGTAAATACAACAATTAAGAGAGTTTACTCACAGATAAATGGCCCCCGCAATTAGCACCACCAGCATGCAGCGCAGCGGCGAGGAGTTAAAGTAAAGCACTGTCACAAATATGGCCAGGCGCGTGAAGCTAAAGAAGCTATCCAGCCAGTCGCGCATCTCAGGCTCCTCCTGAATGTGGGGGAAATTGGGTCTAGCGAGCGGGGCAGCTGCCACCTCTGCTGGAGGAGCTGGTGGAGCAGCTGGAGCCGGTGCAGCCGCTTGTGCAGCTGCTTGGGTCTCGGCCAGGTTTGGAATCCGCGCAAATTGAGCAAAGAGAGGCTGTGCCAGCAACGAGGGTGGTTGTGGTAAAATTGGCGTAGCGGCGTTACTTGAACCGGGCAAGGAAGAGCTGGAAAAAATAAACAAATTTCAGTTAAAGAAACTAATAATAATAATATTTGTTTAACTAAACCAAAAACAATCTAATATTATGCTGTCATTGCCAAAATTATAAAGAAAACAAAAGCAGAGAATCTCAGCTGATAACTAAAAATAAGTCAATGTTGTTTTGCAAAAGTTTGCAGATAAGAAAATTAAAAGATTATTTATTACTGAAATTTCCAGTGAATTAATTAAAAAATATATATATAAAACCCAAAATAAAAGTTTACTAACTAAAAAAACAACTGTCACTTGAATTCCTTTAAAATTTCACTCACCGTAAAGCCAACTCCTGCATATACTGGGCATAGACCTGCTGCATCCAAGCATTGTACATTATCGCCTGCTGTTGGAGCAGGGCTTGGGGATGATGGGCACTGGCAGTGGCAGCGGCCATTGGGCTACCACTGGAGGCAGCCGTGGCCATGCTGTGCTGCCAGTACTGCGTCCAGGGATTGACATTGACTGCCTGCTGTGCCTGCTGCTGCTGCTGCTGCTGGTGTTGATTTACGGCGGCCTGACGCCTTCGAAGCTCATTGGTGTTGTCCAGTGACTGTGGTGGCACTGTGTGCTCCTTGGTCGGAGCTAGCTTAACTGGCGGCTTGGGTATATTCTTGCTGGCACACACCAAATGGAAGATATGATGCTGCTGATAGACATCCTTGTAGCTCCTTATAACCTCCGATATCTTTTGAGTGTCGTCGAGTAGCTTGCCAGAGTAAATCAGTTTTTGATCGTGTATTTCCTGAAGAAAGAAATTAAATAATTATAATTCTAAGCTTGGTATATGTAAGCCAAAAGCTTAATTAGTTCTTATCATAATTAACTTTGATAACATGAACCCTTTATCAGTTACCTAAACTTAATTATAACATTTCTTAACCGTAACTGTCATTAGTTTAAGCTTTAATCCCAGCTGCATGACGCAAGTGCATGACGAATGCTTTAAATTACAGTGTCTAAATTCACTGACGTGTACTTGCTGCCTCTGGGAGCCCACTCGCCATCCCAAGACGCAAATAGCCTCCAAGCACTTGTATGCTAAGCGATGATGATAAACAATAACAAAACAGTTCGATAAGATAGGCTCTCGTCTCGGTACCCTATAAACTGACGTAAAACTATATAAAATACAGGGTGTCCACCCACCGGTTTTCCAGGATAGACCAGCGAGAGTTGCTTCTTCAGGCGCTGCACCGTCCAGCCGAGATCGCTCTCCACATTGAGGTCGTCATACTGCTGATTGGACGATTTGATCAAGAGTCGGACACTGGAGGAGGCACTGGGCGCCTCCGTTGTGGCGGCGATTTTTTGACGCGCTGCAGCATCGCAGCCCGCAGCAGCAGGCGGAGCGGCGGTCTCCTCCATCTCGTTGACCTCCGGGGGAAGCACTTTCTATTGCTAATTAATAGCCACGAGCGGATAGAGAGTGATAGCCGCCGCCGCTGGTCTTGATTTGCTTTCGCTTATTTCGTTTTTTTCGAGGGAGCTCTCAGCTCTCAATTTCCGCAGGCACTGTGTTTGGTCGCTGCGCTGCGCCACTTCCTCTATTGCTCTCGGGATTTTTCGTAATTGTTTTTATACCGACTTTGACATTTGGATTTTGATATATTTTTGTTCGCCAGCTGTTTTGTTGTTTTGCAGCTGCCAGCACAGGAATTATTGATTATGAAACGAAGTAAACGTTCCGCCAGCAGTCAAAAAACTCGTCTCCGTTATATTCTGAGCTGTGGGATAGAGATGAGCGGTGGTCACAAGGCTGCGCCAGTAGCAGGTATTTTTAAAGTCACTGTTTAGGCTTACGTTACAAGTTGGGGTTTTTAGGCACTGGAAATGTATGTTAGGAACTTATTAAGCTTAAATACATTTAAATTTAATTGTTCTATGCTTGAAAACACTTTAAAAACGGTTTAATTTGGTGGTAAACAACTTAATTAATGATTAAAAACAATGATTATGCGCTCATCACTGACAGCAACACTTGTTAATTTCCATGTACTCAGCAACAGGGTTGCCTTGACTCTCGGTGCTGCCAACTTGTTTCAACGTGACGTGTGTTTTTATTGCGTGTGTATAACAAATTAGACGTTGAAATATTTGAATGAAGAAAACAAAAAACTTATTAATTTTCAAATATATAAAATAAACAAAAAATAACCGGAAATATATTTCAAGGTCTGTTTTACATAAGGTTTTCGCTGTTAACTGACCATTAATTGCATACCTCGTATTTCAAAATTATATTTTTTTTAGTATCCAAGGGTTTTTAGGAATATTTTACCCTATATTTTGCATCTCCTGTTTACTTTAAATTATATTTTAAAAATTATATTATAAAATTAATAATTTTACAACCGTGACACGTGAGCACGACCATCGCCGGTTCGTGAGTATCGGTGTCATCACTATTACAAGTGCATCTCTGATAGCAAAAGCAAATTTGTGCAAGTTTGTAAAATTGTCAAAGGAATTCATAGATTTTTAGCTAATTTACGAAAAAACACCTGATGGAAAATAAGTCAGCAGTGTCCGCTCTCCAGGAATTCAGCGCCAAGTCGAAGGTCTGCCCACCCACATATGACTTTATCGACGGCGAAGACGGTGGCTATGTCTGCAAAGTGCAAATGATGGAGATAGAATCCTATGGAAATGGTAAAACTAATTTGTTTAAACTAGCTTTTAGCTTATTTTTCACACCCTTAAATATGTGCAAATATTTCAGGCCGCTCCAAGCGCGATGCCAAACACCTGGCTGCTGCCAATATCTTGCGGAAAATCCGGAAACTGCCCGGCGCCGCCAGTTTGCTAAACGACGTGGAGATCAACGAGTGCGATGGAATTGGCGAACTGGCAAATGAGATGACCAATCTGAATCGGGACATGCTGAAGGAGCTGCGCGACTACTGCGTCCGCCACGAGATGCCGCTGCCCATCATAGAGATTGTCCAGCAGAGCGGCACACCCAATGCCCCCGAATTCGTGGCCTGCTGCTCCGTGGCCTCGATTGTGCGCTATGGGAAGTCGGACAAGAAGAAGGATGCTCGCCAGCGGGCGGCCATTGAAATGATGGCCGTAATATCTAATGATTTGGACGCCCTCCGTCCCGACCAGATGCAGATGGTGACCACAAAGCCATCTGAAGTAAACGATGTGATAGAGGATGTGGAGACGGAGCGCAGGAAGAAGTTCACTACCTACAGAGAGCTGACGGATGCTGGTATCACGGATAACACGGGTCTGCGCCTCTGCGATCGCCACAACTACTTCAAGAACTTCTATCCGGCTTTGAAGGAGGCGGCCTTTGAAGTCATCAATTCGGATGAGTACATGAACACCAAGGACCAAGCGCTGAGCCTGCTGAGCGCCCTGAAAATCACACCGACCATTGGCGTTGTAGAGTCGACTTCCATAGAGCCGCTGATGAAAATCGAACTAAATTGCGAGCTCGATTGCCTGTTTCTGGGATTCGAAAGTGAAATTTTTGGCAAGTTAATCGAGTATTTCAAGGACATGTTGGTCTGAAATCTGGAAAGCGCAAATCCATCAAAGGTCCACTGTGCAAGTGGTGTATATAATAACATTTATTTTTAACTAGCTTCGGCTTACAAACTACGCAAACTGTCTCCTATATTTACACATATTTCGGTTAATAATACAATCTAAACACCACTCTGGAGTGGGGGCGTAAAACAACATGAAAAGGTGATTTTTATTTAAGGTCGTCTTTTGTTAACTTTGTACAATATACATTTTTGCTAAGGCAATAAAGATTTAAGCAAAGATTCCGTTTACAAAATTTCAATAACAATGATGACACATTGTTTTTGGCTGTCACTTTTCAAAAAGGGGACTTTCCCCTGTATTACACAGAACCCATTATAGATTGCAAGTTGCAACCCTGTTTTTTTTTTTTTTATGAAAATTAAATTAGAGATGGGCTTTTGTCGTAAGAAATTTTTAGTATACAAAATATTATTATAAAAATTAACAAAGTAAAATATATTCTTAAAAAAAATAAACAAATTCATATTCATTGCAAATTTTTGCCATTAGGTTTCTGAAATAAAATATACAAAAAAATAACTAAAATGAAATATATTCTTATTCATTGCACATAAATAAATCTTTCAAAAAAATGTCATTATGAATATGAAATAAGATATTCGCCTTAATTTCGCTTCCAAAGCTACAATATTTACAAAGAAATTCATCCCTAAAAATGATATTCTAAATGTTGTATATAGGTATACTTATATTTAATGTAAAAATAATGGTATTAAAGTGATTTTTGTATTGAACATAAAGGTTATTTGTGAAATTTGATTGCATTTGGGATTCTGGAGATGCTGACTCTCTTTCACCTGCCACAAAAGGTAACGAATAATTTTACTATTCAAAAAAATAGATATAGCTATGTAAATAAAGGCAAAGCCAAAACAATTGCTGCTCCTCAGTAGCTGATCTTCTTGCGCAGCTTCAGACTAGATTGATGCGACTGCTGATGGTGTTGCTGCTGCTGCTGCTCCCGATCCCTTTCCCTGTCGCTAGACACACGGCTGCTGACACCTCGAGCCAAGTGATGGTGCCACTGGGAGGCAGTGGCTGACGGCGCTGTGGGCGTTGGAATTCCCGAGTCACCCGATGTTGAAGGCGAGGCCGAGGATCCCGCCGATTCACCAAAGAGCCGACGGGAGAGCTTAAAGCTGCCGCTGGTGCTGCTGTTGCAGCTGTTGTACCTGCTGTTATTACTGCTGCAGTTGTTGTTGTTGTTGGAGATGGGCGGTACCACGCCCGCTTGAGTTGCTCCCGAGGATGCTGTGGCTGCTGCTGCCGCCGCCGCCGCTGTCTTCCTTAGCAGCTTCGTGTTGTACTCGTCGCACTTGTCCTTGTCCAACCTTGTGGAGCTCAGCGATCGCTTGTTCCGCTTGGCCGCTCCAACCAGGCTGTCGTGCTCGATGATTGCCTGCAATTCGGCGGCACTGCCACGCCCACTAAGCCGGCTTGTGTCTGCAGGATGGGAGGAAGAAGAAGGTGGAGTAGGAGGCGGTGGTGTGGATGTTGAATTATTATTATTCAGGCTGGTTAACTTGGTTTTCGGCAGCGGATTCGAGTTGAGATCGAGCGTGGCGGATGCGGACCGTGTGGCTATATTAAACGCAGAGGAGGAGGAGGAGGACCCACCACCACCACCACCAGCACCAAGGAGCCCCATAGTGGGTATGGCGGATACGTCCCGATAATAACGAGCCGTGGCCACCGTACAGGGCTGAGTTTGTGCCGCTGCCGGAGCCGTTTCCCCTGCATTTGGACGCTGATAGCGAATTCGTGACCTTCCGCGGAGCGTCATGTGGTGATGGGAGGCACGAGCAGCACTGCCACGCGTGGGCGGAATGGTGGCCGAGCTGCCGGCACCACCACTGGCAGATACCACGGGTATCTTGCTCTCGTTGATGGTGGCATATGGCCTGAGCACCACCACCGGCTGCTCCTGCTGGGCCTGCTGATGCTGTTCCGCCTTTCGCAGATGTTTTAGCTCCATTCTGGGCGGTGGAGCAAGCGTAGGGAAGCACAAGAAGAAAAAAGGGGTGGGCAAGAGAAGAAAAGAGGGAAGAGATGGTGTACGGGGCACAGGAGAACGGTATAAGTCCCAAAACACACACAGACAGTCTTACCAAAGACCTTATAATAATAAGATGCATAGCGCCTTACACTTGAAATCCCATTTTGGGACAAATTTCCCATAAAAGAGTATGGTGTTAAGCATCTTTTAGCTTATACTGTCTTTGGTTTTACTAAGAGAAGAAGGGCTATGGGGACTTCGGTTATTTCCGAAGTTTTAAGAATAACCTTGCAGATTTTGAGAAACTAAAAATATATTTAAAAAAAAAAAAAAAAAAAAAAAAAAAAAAACACAGAAATAAATAAACATTTTAATTGAATTTTCAATAAACAATCTTAAATAAATCGGAATTTTTACGAAAAAATAAATCGATATACGGTTCGAATCGAATGATACAATTTTTATGATATTTTTCAGATATTTTTGGATATAATAAATATTTTAGCGTTAATTGAGATCGTTTTTGATATTTAAAAATGTAATATAACAATGTGTGCTATATTTTCTATATTCTATTCTCTCCCTTTAAATTTCTATGATATACAAAAAATACAAAAATAATCTGCAAGGATATTATCCAAGTATGTATACTCCATTATCCTCCAAAACTAAAAATATAAAAATACAATAAATAAAAGCAACAAAAACAAGGCCAAAACATATGGACAAAACATTCAAAATACATTTTCAGGCAAGCTGTCAGCAGCATAATTTTGATAATTTGTTGTTTATTATTTTGTTTCTTTTTTTTTTGCTCAACAATAAATACTTTTAGTTTAATTTTGGGGCATGCACAAAAACAGAAATGCAAAATAAAGTGCTGAGTACAAAACAAGTATTTCAAAATGTAAACTAAGATTAGCAGCTAAAACATAATGTTAACGATTATAGAAATAAAATTCAGGATTAGTGTAAAAAATAAACGCCATTCGGGATTAACTTGGTGCGAATCATAGTTGGATAGAGGGAAAGGGGATAATAATTAAAAGGGTATTAAATAAAGTCGAACTCATATCACACGAAATGAATTTAATTTATATTTATTTTATTTTTATGTTCAATCAAAATTTTACTAAAAAGATGTTTAGGCATTTTAAAAATTTTCAGGAAAACCATAAAGGTTTTTAAGAGATTTTAAAACAATTAAAATAGGTGCTTAACAAGAAGCTACGGAATTTTATATTACATACTTTTTAGAGTAATTTAAATTGGTTTTAAAACTTGACAGTTATTTCTGTGGCAAAGTCTAAAATATAATTAAATTTTTAAAATTAATCAATTCGACTGAATATATAAAAATCCGCAAAAACCGTTTAAAAATAGACGTTTATTAACTAAATAAAATCCATATTATTTTTGACTGATTCGAGTGAAAAAAGTTCAACATTTTGTATAATTATAATATATATAATATGTACAACTGCTAAAACGTAAGAAAAAAAGGGACAAAATCAATCAAATATAAAATTTAGGGACAAAATCAATCAAATATAAAATTTAAGTACAAATTCAAATGCAGAGCCGCACACGTAACGAAATCAAGGTTCAAAGTAAACAATAAGAGTTTTCGAGAGGGGAGTTTTCAAGGTACGACGGGCAGGGGAGGGGACTTTCGGGTATCCACTTACTTACCTTTTGCTATAGATCGCCAGGCTGCGGGTGCGACTGCTCCCCGAACTGGCCAATATATTGTTAGTGGTATTGTTGTTATTATAGTTATTCAGGGAGTTGCTTAGATTACTGTTGTTGTTGTTGTTGGTGCTGTTGCCGCCACTGAGGTTACTGCTTCCATTGTTATTTAAATTGTTGGCCAATAAGACGCCTGGCCCCGTTCCTGAACTTGTTGCCAAACCAGTTGAAGCTGCACTAGCCTTTAGAGCGGCTATAGCCGCCACACTGCCACTGTTGTTGTTTCGGAAGGGCTGCGATCGAGCTCTCGTGTGCCGTTGATTCGAGTCCTGCTCGCTGTGGGTGGATTAATAAAATATTTATTAGTATATATAAATTAAATATTATAAATATGTGAAGAATATCTGAGGAATATGTAAGATGTAATGCTTACCTATTGCTGTTGACATTAACGGATCGCGAGTGATGATGCCTTCGCAGCGCCTTGATCTGATTCAGCTTGTCGCCCTGCGTCTGGGCCTGCTGTTGCTGTTGCTGCTTCTTCTCCAGCGCCGTCTGCGTCATTCGCACAGTGGAAGCGATCGTATGACGCGCTGCCTCAAAGACATTAGCACTGGGCTTTCGCAGCTTCTTCTCCGTGCAGCTGGGCACCTCGACGGCAGGTGTAGCACTACTCCTATTCGCATTTGGATTAACCAAACGTCGCAGAGAGGTGGCAATAACAGTGGATTTATTGGCAGCCGATGGAGATTTCCGGCGTCGTGTCGATATGGTATATCCCGAAGTCAAGGATGGTTCTGCTGGAGCACTGAGTGTATCCGTATCGTTGTCATCGCTGCCATTACAATTGGGATCTTCAGCGGCTGCTTGCTGGTACAAGGCATGTTCATCTCGCTCCAGTTGCCGCTGCTCGGAGAGCTCCTCAGCCGTGGGATGATCGGCGCTAGCAGCATCCAGTGTGTCCAGGTCGTGTAGGTGCATGGTATCCACACGTTGCGAGATGCCTTTGACGCGGGTCAGCAGCAAGTCCACATGCTCCGCGGAATTGGCAATTGTGGATACCTCAGCCAGTTTGGTCTTTAGCTCCAGGCTATTGATACCGTAGGTGTGCCGTAGAATGGGTAGATTGGTGCGGCGTCGCATGCGTTCGCCTTCGGACCAAAGCCAGCTTTGTTTGCTGAATTTAAAAAGATATTAAATTATATTGAAAACTAAGAAAGATTCTCTTATATACTCACTCCTCCATCCACTGCTGCTGATGGCCAATAACTGATCCCGGCCTGCAAAGCCTCAGCCAGGCTATGGACTCCAATGCCGTAAACCCATAATGCTTCATTATATATGCTCCAATGAGGCTGCCCGTCCTGCCCAAGCCCGCCTTACAGTGCACGGCAATGGCACCCTTGGTTGTCTCACAAATCGAGAGGAACTTTTTCATAATGGCATCGCTAGGCGTACTGCCATCGATAAAGAACAGATCCTTGTGATCGAATCCGGCATTCTCAAACGATGAGGCATGGTAGACCTTGGCATTCAACCGGATGACGGTTGTGACATTGTTCTCCCGGAAATAGCTAAAGTAGCGTTCGGGTGCATGGCAAGGATAACCGTTTGGTAGGGTTTTGCTCTTCTGATGCGGTCCACAAAAAGCAATAAACTTTTGTGGAACAATCCAATTGAAATCGCCATTCTCCACGCGTTCAAAATACTCATACTCCTCGGCATCAAAGTCGTTGAAGTTGAAGAAACCCGCCTGCAGTCCCTTGTGGACAGCATTCAGACAGTCCAGCAGGGAGATCTTAAAGCTGCTGGGTCCGTAGCTGGCATCACAAAAGCGCGTGTAGGCGGGTATTTCGCCGGCAACAAGCGGCCGATACGCCTCTTGGGGGGTTTTGTTAAGGTAAATGATCTGGAAAAGATAATTTTTAATTAATTTGCGAAAATTCTATATAATCAATTGCTGGAGAGCACTTACTGCATACGAACCAATCAGGTAGGCCGCATTGAGTCGCTTGGCTGGATTCATGGAGGTGTAGTGGACAATCTTCTTGTTCGCATGGCACTTGGCGTTCAACTTGGTGTTGAGTTTCATGCAATACCTGTACAGCATGCAGATATTCAAAGGTCCAAAGTCATTGTAAAAGTTCTCGTAAATGTATTCCTCGTCTACGTTAAAGTAGTGAGTATTTACGGTGTTCTTTGGCTTGATGTTCTTCTTGAAGGCCACAAAGTATAAGCGGTCTGTAAATATATCATATATATATATCATATCAATCAAATGAGAGTTCATTGCCCACATACCTTCCTGCATCTCTGATGCACAGACCAACAGATCTGAGTTGTCATCGTCCAACATCATGGCGGGAACGGGGCGGGTAACGGAAGCACACGAACGACTGTTTGGCGACTGTAAAAGATATAAAATAAAGAAAAAAGAGACACACTTTATAATGGTTTGAAATCTTCAGAGTTAAAACTCTCGCTAAGAATGTCTTAAGTCACTTTTCTGGCCCACACACACTCGCATTGATTCGCTAACAAGCTTCCGCTTTGATATTTCTTACTAATTTAATTTTATAAAAAGTATTAGAGAAGAGTATGTATCTTTAAAAAGACAAAGCTCCGATAATATCTATAAGCATAATTAGACAAAATAAAAACCTAGCTTACAAAGCACGTACTAGTTCGTGTTTCTCTAAAGATTTATGTCTAATGATAACCTTCTCTAAAGGGAATTTTCCATTTCTACTGACACGCTTTCTCATTTCATAAAGGCTATTTTCAGCACTAAAATCAATATAAATCTAATTAATTATAAATACCCTACTAAAAACCTTAATATATAGTTAAAAATAGGTTTATAATACTGTAACCTTTAAATTCAATTAAAAACCCAGGGCATACACAAGTCAACAACGCTATACAATTCCATCTTAATGATTAGTTCTCTCCCAGCGCCCACACCTCTCTACAAAAACCTGACTTTGCCTTAATTGGAATATGACAGTAAATAATGTTTTCCGCAAAGGGTGTTCCACATACAGCTATCCATCCATCCATCCATCCATCTGTCCCGGCAGAACGAGTACATTTAACGTCTTTTATACACATATCTGTAGAGTGGAAACATGTGTTCAGTTTTACCAACTTTATGAGTGTTTCTGTCCCCTCTGTCTTTCGCCACCCCTAAGCACAATTCCCTGCCTTATTTGCTCCACTTTTTCTTCCGCCTAGTGTAATGTAGCTGATGTGGGTTACCATATCGATATGCATATAGCCATCAGTCAGGCACTCATTCTATCAAGTCGTCAGTGGTCCGCAGTCCCATAAACAAAGGCCAAAAAGGTGGGGAAGGAAACCCGAATGGGGAAACACTCTTGTGGAGAAGAGTCTTGGGGAAAATCTAAGAAAGTCACGTCTCTATGCAAATTTATGAGGAACAAAAGGGATGTCCATGACATAATTTCTAACGAGTTTATTGCCCCGAGGGTTAGGTTAGGGATAGTTTAAGTTAATCTATCTTAACAGTACAAAACGAGGTATTAGTTAATATATTATATATTTTAAAGCAACAAAATTAAATATTATGCCAAAAGTACAACCCTAGTATTTTAGGTAGAAATGTAGATATCAATATGATATTTTTTTAAGTTTTTCTTTACCAAAGAATAGTCTTATATTTCAAGTAACGTGAAATTCGCTGGAGTATTTTCTTATCTAACAATCCAACAATCTCCTGAAAATCGCAGCCCGGAGCCTTACCAGGTATATTTTAATGGTCAAAGGTATATTTTAATGGTCGGGGTGTTTACGATGTTGACCCTTCACCAAAAGTGTTACGCACACACACCCCTCACTCCCCATACTCGCCCATATATGTACATATGCTTATGAACACATGTAAATATTCGATTTTATGCTAATTTTTAACCTTTTCCAGCAGTTGGCGTGCCTTTGCAGAATTCTGAGACCCAGGTGGGTCCCCAATATTCCTTCTACCTTGTAGCAGTGCTTTATGCACTTCCTTTTCCTGACTTTAAAGTTGAAAAGTCAAGACGGCGAACGAGCAAGCGCTTTTTATGGCACATTTGCATGTTGGCCAAAAGGCTTTGGATCCAAACTTAGATCTCTATCGGATTGGGAAAGGTGTACGACGAGTGTGTGTGCTGCCAGGCATATCGCATGACATTGGGTGTTCCTAGGCAAACGGAAACTAAAATAGCTAAAGATATCAGGATATATAGGGCAAGTCATGGCCCGAAAGGAGGTGAAGGAAAATGAATTAGTTGCCAGGTCCTCGAGGCGTAATTTCGTCCGTGTAAATCGGTATCGTTCTGACAATGCCCTGCTGCTCGAAGGCTATTACACAGGTGAGGAAGGTACACATTTGTTATAATGACTTCTAAGGGAAATCAATGGGTTCTTCAATGGCTGGGTTTATTTGTCTTGTCTATTTCATTTACATTTTGTTAGAGGTATTATTATTATTATTTTTTTAAGAATTCTTTTTAGTTCCGAAGAACAGTTTATCCACAGGTAGGGAGAGATATACAAAGGTAATAAACTAATTTTAAATACTCGCTGGCCAAAACATGCCTGATGTTGTGGTCTTTATTACCGAGGACGCCCTCTAGCGGCGATTGCCAGCAAACTGTTCAAATCTAACTGTGAACTCCGCTCTTTTTGTGTTGTCTCCACATTTCTTTCTCTTTTACACACACACACACTTTAGTCCCCTTGTATGGAGCATCAAAGATCACTGCTAAATATAGCGGGAATATGCAATTTACTATCACCATCTCTCTTTTACCCATTCACGACTTTTCTGGAGTTGTCAAACATTCCAACACAGCTCCCACGTGACGACACAACTTCATATCAAACGCACATTCATAATCTCTATGTGCTGGCTTATCTCTTTCTCTTTATGTATGTATGTTTGTATTTGAACATAAAAAGTAAACATTAAAATGCGATAGAAAGCAAGCACTGTAGCTTCTTTTCTATCCCTTCTTCAGTGCCAGTTGGAAATTGAGACCTAGGCCATTTGGTCGTTAAAAACAATGGACAAACAAACGAGTTTTTAAAATTAGCCCTGTGACGTCACCAGAAAATAAAAAGCACAAAAAAAATGACAACAAAAGGCGGTTAAAAATAAATGGAAACCAACAGCGATGGAGAGCGAATAGCGTTTATTTTTCTTTTCAGCCAAGTTAGTTCAAATTGGAAGCGGTTTTCACAGAGATTTTTGCCGCGCTCGGAAAGCACAACAAAAACAAGACACACTCACACACACGGTTTACAACGGCAACAGCAGCATTCACCTGCACCCCACCCGCCGCCCCCTCCTATAGTTTCCCGCGCATGCGCTGACTCTCTCACTCAAAAGCGCTCTCTCCTGCTCTCCCTCTCTCTCTCTCTCTCTCGTTTACACTTGTGCTTCGCTTTGGCGGCATTTGTATGGGCGTCCCGCTCGCTGCTGGCATTTATTCATGTTTGTGTGTGCGTATTATTAAAAGCAACCAACGCATTTTTCTACTAAGATCCCAGAGAAATCGAAAAGTTTGGGGAGATGTTGTGTTGTACTGCGTAATCAACTTTTGGGGAATAATTTCTGGACTATTTTCGTGGCACACAAACGTACTTACACCCCCATTCAAATAGGAGAGCGAGTCGTTACAGTTACACAGTTTTTGTTGGTACGTGGCTGCCAGCAACTATCCCCAAAGGGGGGTGGGACGGATATGGTGGGAGAAGAGGGATAGTAAGAGGAAGACTCACCTAAATTGTGGTTTCACACCGTTGTTATTGTTGTTGCTGCGATCCGCTGTGTATGGATATTCTCGAAACGGCAGGAGGAAGAGGAGTAGATGGGGGAGGAGAACGGAGAAACGGGGAAGGGAGCAACAGCAGCACCAGCTAATAACACCCACACCGCTCTCTGCATAACACTTGAAATTTTTACTAAAATTTAACTCGTTTTTGAAGGATTTTGTTGTTGTGTAGGAATTTAGTCAACGAATATTTCACATCGGATTTGTTGTATTTTTTTGTTTCTGTTTTTAAGTTAACAACATTCTCAACGAGAGCTTTTGCACTTTGATTCTCTGCCCCCTCTTCTTGTTTTCTTTTTGAAATGGTAATTAACGGAAAAACAATCAAGGTCTTGTCAGTTTGTCAAGACTTTGTCACTAGATATTGCACTGGATAAAAACACCATATTCTTGTAAGATTTTCCCGGCGATTTGTGTATTTCTCCCGTTTCAAGTGGAGCGACGGATACTGTTCGAAAATTGGGGCTTGTACCAGCCAGTGTTGCCAATTTAGCTATTCAAAACCTAAATATAACGATATTTTTTGCCCAAATATCGAAATCGATACTTTTGTTTGATATTTTTCGGTATTTTCTCCTTGGTCACTCTGAATTTCAAAGCAAACTGTTACTTAACATAGAAATGCTCTCGATTACAGAATTTGGCTCGTTAACAGACTTTGCTTATGGACTTCCCAAATTGAGCGGGCGTTTAACAGAATTTTCTGTTAAAATGAGAGTTTAACAGAATTTGCTTATGGAATTCCCAAATTGAGAGCGGCTCTCTGGCTAGCGACAGTGTTGCCAATTTAGCTATTTTCCCACTATATCTGGCGTGTTTCAAAACCTAAATATAACGATACTTTTTGCCCAATATCGAAATCGCCATATTTTTGTTTGATATTTTCCCCTTGGTCACTCTGAACCTCAAAGTAAAATGTCAAAACAAAGTTTTACATGCTTGGGGTCGAATTCTCGTTTTTGGGGTCGAATTCTCGTGTAGAATGTAAAATGTTCGAGAGCGAACAACTTCGGCTCCGTTGCAACCGAACCGAGAGAGAATGTGTTCGACGAGCTTGTGTTGGTTCAGTTGGGCAGAGTGGCCTTTCTGCGGGGGTGTGAAAAATGCCAGACACACTGATTGGTCACACTGATTCTGATGTAAAAAACAGGTGCAATCTAGGGGGCGCCACATTGGACAGTTTGAACCTGTACGTTTTTTACATAAAAAAAAGGAATAAATTACAAAAGTTAATAGAATAATTAGTATATTTTTATTAAGTTTGTTTTCATTTAAAAATAAAATTCATGGACTTATACGTTGCTTTTAAAATCCTCTACTTTCAATTTCTCCCGCCATAAAAAAAGTATCTTCTACAGGCAGCCCTGGATTTGACTCGTGTTGGCAGCCCTGTTTCGGAGCAATCCGTCAGATGCAGTTTTAAATTCATTCGGATCTCGATCGGACGTTTTCTTCTGACTTGAAAAAAAAATCGACCGGGCAGGAGGATCGAGATTCGGATCGGAGTGCGCCCACCCCCACTCTTTTTTGGAATTTTTCTTTTCCAATTGTGTCGGAAAAGTCTTCTTCGCGGCGAGTGTGTGTGTCGATCGGTGTACCTGTTGCATGCGCGTGTGTGTGTGAAGTTTATAAAAAGAAGTCAAAAAGAAGTGTGTGTGTTTGCTGCATCAACAAAAATAAAAACACCGAAAGACGTGTGTGTGTTGTTGCTGTCTGTATAACAGAAGTAATTTTTGGTAACTTGCAATCCTCCAGAGCGGCGGCGATCAAGGAATAGATACGCAGAAAAGAACCATCCAGTAAGTACTCCATATTCAAGGCAACCGATTTACAGTTAGTTTTTCCACGCGGAGTTTTTACGCAGTTTCTCAGACCAGCTGCAGTGTCTCCTGTCTCCCTCTATGCCTCCTTCGCCTCTTCGCTCTCTGCCTCTTTCTTGAGGTTTATCTGGTGCCTTGTTTTTGTTGTTACTTCGCTCGCCTACTTCTTCTCTGTTTTTCCTCCTTCGCATCCGTTGTATTTGTATTTGATGTTCGTCTTCTTTTTGCTGTTGTTGTTGGCATACTGCCGCTTTTTTTTTATCATGTGTGCACAAAAGTAGAGATAACTCCCAAAAAAAGGGGGAAAGGGTATAGCCGAGGGCAAAGAGCTCATAATTTCCTAGATCCAACCCATTTTTCCGTTTATACAAAATCTCCAAAAAATGCTCTCTATCAGAAATGCTCTTTTTGCATTTTCCTGTTTATTTAACTTTATTTTATTTCGTATTTAAAACAGATATGAAAATGTTATTAAAAATATATTTTTTATTATCATAAATTTGTAAACTCTTTCCCAAGCAAGATGAGCAATTATACAGTATAAATTTTTTATTTTCCTTAAAATAATTCCCATTCCTGAAACATGTGTCATTTTCCTTGAAATCAAAAAGTTCTACTCATTGCTGTCCTATTTTATTTAATATGATGATTTTTATCCCAGAAATACATACATAAAACCCATTTGCTGATCTCTAGTTTCGCTAGACTCTCCTATAAAGATTACCCATCTCTCATAAAAAAAAAAAAACAGACTGTTAAAGATTAAATGTACAATTACTTTGCTAGAAATATTTTGTGGATTATGCATTCACATACTCGGACTCTTACAATATAGAAACATGATGCCATACAGAAGTGAACGACTGGCTGCTTGTGAGGACTGGGGGACTGGACACAAAAAAGTGCATTGCCAAGCGGTTTGTCTTTATTTTTTCCAGCGACAATGGGGGCTCTTGGCTAATTAAAAAGTGAGCCGGGCTTCTGTCCCCTTGAAGATGTGCAGCCGACGAATTAATTTATCTAGATTGGATTGCGGCCTGTGGGCAGAGAAGAAAAGGATTTATTTAGTCGGCGGCCGGGTCTAATTATAGCGGGACTATCGCGGGCTGATCTCATGCTTAGATGTTGGACTTTCTCATAAACATGTGTTCTCCAGACTGAGAATTGAAATTCGGGGCTGTAGTTTGGGGATGGGGTTTTGGAATGGTGCATACATACATATGTGTACTGTGTAAATATACAGTGGTCATTCGCAAAGTGCTTTTTTTTTTGTTTTGCGAAATCTGTTCAAAACAGCGTAATTATTATTAATATTAATTAAAAAATAAATTAAATGGAAATAAGGTTTACAATTTCGCAAGTTTTGAAAGGTAGAACAATTTTAAAAATGATTAATCCATTCCTTTGTTAAAACCTATTGAGAATTTTAGCGTTAAATTAGTGCATAAGTCTTCAAAGTTAAACTTGTGTCTTTGCACTTATTAAATGTTAATATTTAAAATAAAATAAACTTATTATTTCATTTAAAATTTATTTTACTATAGGATAGTTTAATAGTAAAAAAAATTAAATAAAGAACATAAACTTTGATATATCACAGTTAAATATCAATATGATCCTAAAATATTCGAATCTATTTTTCTTTTTTAGATTTTAAATTTAGCATTTTTTTAATATATGTTTCTAGTGATCACTGTTCAGTGTCCCTGTAGTTGTGTGGTCAAATAAGCTCCTCGCCTTGATGAAATTGGAAATATAAACATCACATCTCCGGACCAAAACTAAGAATAAAAAGAAAAAAAAAACATGAAAGAGCCAGGCAATTGTATGAGCGAATATTTTTTTATGAACTGAACTGGTCATAGGCATATGTACAGATGTACGAGTACGAATATAAAACATATATACCGACATGTACACATAAATATACACACTCGGACCCAGCGAAGTCGAGAGAATGCTCCACTGCGGCTCCATTATTTACTCGTTCAAATATGTATATAGTTTGTGTGTGTGGTGTGTGCTTTGTTTATTTGCCAGTTTCCTCGACGAAAACGAAATTAACCAAGCAACGCACAAATAGCAAACAAAAAAATTTAAAACACACACAAAGTAATTAAAGTCTCTCCAATACCCGGAGTCGAGACGAGTTCTTCCCGGGATCCCGAACTGTGTCTGTGAATGAACTCTTATCGGGGTCCCAGTTTCGAATTATGAAATAAATATATATTTTTAGGCCCGGCGTTGAGCATGTTTCCATGTTTTGGGGCCTAGAAAATGTGCTTGGGCCGGTGGCTTATCTCTCTGGGTAATAGTAGCACAGTTTTTGAGTTCTGATACCCTCCGGAATCCTCCCTGATAAGAGTCACATACAGAAGCCGCCACTTTGGCTTTAGGCATGAGAATTGGATTGGTTTTAATTCACGTATAACTAATTTTGAATACTCTTTAAGTTAAAAAGGGTTGCATTAGGTTTTTAAGTGGGTTTCTAGAAGAGAACATCTATTAACTGAGCTGTGGAACAGTATGCTATGATATATTTTAGGTCATATTTTCAATTTGAATTATATTTTAAAGGTGTTTATAAAAATTGTACGTTATTGGTGATGTTTTAATGTTCTATTCCAGTCCTTTAAAAAAGCATAGATATAAGAAATTGGAACTTAATTTAATTTAGAAGTCTGGTAATTTACTAGAAGTAATAAATTGTATATAAATATTTCTAGATGTCAATAATACCTTTCTTATATACATATTTTGCATTATTTTTGATATTTATATATTAAAAACTAATTACAAACAAATGCCAAGAGGTTCCCCTTTGAAAGTTAAAACTAAAACAAAAAAACTGATAAACACAGCTCTCCAACGCACCAGGCAACAACGGATTAAGCTCCATACACACGCAGGCATCTCTCAACTCTCGACATTATCGCACTAGTATGGTATGGTAGCATATGTGGGCAGTCCGTCCCGACTGATGATAGTAGGATCCATTCAGTTTCAGTTCAAGATTTTGTCTGCGGCCTCAGTTGGTGCGTAAGATTCGTGGGGCGCGGATGCCTGTATTAATGGTACGATGAAAATAAATAAGAAAATTTAGAAAATTAGAGCATCTCTCGGGTTGTTGGTTGTTGATAAGCCAAGCGGTTCAAAAGTGGGGGCAACACACAAAGAAGCAGAGTTTGTTTAGTGACTAAAAAAAAAAACGAAATGATTAAAGAAGAAACTTCTTAAAAAATATTTTAATTATTTTTACAGCTGTGGGATTTGTGAATAATATATTTATCAGCATGAATGAATAAACAACGTGGAGGAAAAAGGATAAGGACGACGAAGAAGCTGTTGGTTAAGTAAGTTTTACAAAAAAAAATCGGTAGATTGTAAAAAGTTACGTTAAAATTCATAAATATGCAAAGAATTATTTTATTTAAAATTGAATTTAATTAATTCAATGACAGCTAAATTGTTAATAATTATTAATTGTTTTAGGTATTTATTTTCATTTAAATAATACAATTTTCTATGAATTTTGCTTTTGTAATATCCTCTACATTTTGCTTTTGTGATTAAAAAAAAGTGTCATAACTCCAATGAGTATTATACAACTTGTAAATTACATGAAAAATTAATACATTTGCAAATAAAAAAAATATATATAAGCAATTTTGACCACTTTTAACCTTTTTATTCCTTTAATAATTACAGAATTCCAGAAGGATCACGTGGACTGTAAGAAATATAGAGAGAGAGCAGAGGGTTTCCTCAACGAAACGAAAAGAAAAGCAAAGCATCGAACTGATTAAAGTCCCGGCCGGAAGTCAGTCCCAGAGTGGAACACGACCCCAACAACAACAACCCAAGAGAGAGAGGGGGAAAGCATCAAGAGAGCCATTGAGATGTTGGAGCTGCGGCTTATCGCCGTGGTTTTGGTGCTCGGCCTGCTCGCCAGTGAGTGGGCCCAGCCAGTGGCATCGCAGCGAGCCCCGCAGCAGCAGCAGCAGCAGCATGGCCGTCGGGACAGGCCCAGGAATCCGCCCAGGCAATACATCAAGACACATCCCTGCGAGCGATCCTCCTGCTACCCGGCCACGGGTAACCTCCTGATCGGCCGCGAGAATCGACTAAGTGCAAGCTCCACCTGTGGCCTGCAGTCGCCCGAGCGTTTCTGCATCCTCTCCCACTTGCAGGACAAGAAGTGCTTCCTCTGCGATACGCGAGAGGAGACCCGCTATGATCCGTACAAGAATCATAGGATTGGACAGATTATTTACAAGACGAAGCCCGGAACCAATCTGCCCACGTGGTGGCAGTCGGAGAATGGCAAGGAGAATGCCACCATTCAGTTGAACCTCGAGGCAGAGTTCCACTTTACCCATTTGATTATCACCTTTACCACCTTCCGACCGGCGGCCATGTACATTGAGAGATCCTTTGATTTTGGAACCACGTGGCATGTGTATAGGTATTTTGCCTACGACTGCAAGGAGTCCTTCCCCGGAGTGCCCACCGTCCTGCACAACATCACCGATGTGATGTGCACCTCGCGTTACTCCAATGTGGAGCCCTCGCGAAATGGCGAGGTGATCTTCAGGGTGCTGCCGCCGAACATTAATGTCTCGGATCCCTATGCGGAGCATGTCCAGAACCAGCTAAAGATGACCAATCTGAGGATACAGCTGACCAAGCTGCACAAGCTGGGTGACAATCTCCTGGACAGTCGCTTGGAGAACGAGGAGAAGTACTACTACGGCATCTCCAATATGGTGGTGAGGGGTTCCTGCTCCTGCTACGGTCATGCCTCGCAGTGCCTGCCCTTGGATCCCGCCTTTATGCCCGAGGATAATGAGGATGGCATGGTGCATGGACGCTGTGAGTGCACCCACAACACCAAGGGTTTGAATTGTGAGTTTTGCGAGGATTTCTTCAACGATCTGCCCTGGAAGCCGGCTTTTGGCAAGCAAACGAATGCCTGCAAGAAGTGCGAGTGCAATGAGCACGCCGTCAGCTGTCACTTTGATGAGGCTGTGTTCACCGCCTCCGGCCATGTTTCCGGCGGTGTCTGTGACAACTGCCTGCACAATACCCAGGGACAGCACTGCGAGGAGTGCATGCCGTTCTTCTACCGCGATCCCGAGCAGGATATACGTTCGGATCAGGTTTGCCAGCCCTGTGATTGCGATCCTTTGGGTTCCCTGGACGATGGCATCTGCGATTCGGTCAATGATCCCGAAAATGGAGCTGTAGCGGGAGCCTGTCACTGCAAGACCTATGTCAAGGGACGTCGCTGTGATCAGTGCAAGGATGGCTATTGGAATCTGCAACCCGACAATCCTGAGGGCTGTGAGGCCTGCACCTGCAACATCCTGGGAACTATCAACAACTCTGGCTGCTTGATGCGCACTGGCGAGTGCAAATGCAAGAGATTCGTCACCGGCAAGGACTGTAATCAGTGCATGCCGGAGACCTTTGGCCTCTCGGAAGCCGAGGATGGCTGCAGCATGTGTAACTGCGATGTGGGCGGATCCTATGACAACTATTGCGATGTGATTAGCGGGCAGTGTCGTTGCCGGCCGCACATGACGGGCAGAACTTGCTCACAGCCCAAGCAGAATTACTTTATACCCTCCCTGCCAGAAGTCCACGAGGCGGAGATCATTGATGAGTGCATATCTTACGGTCCAAATGGCAACTGCAGCATTGTGGCCGAGACTCCGGATGGTAGCTTCACGGGCATTGGTTTCACCAGGGTCCCAGAGAACTCTGAGCTTGTGTTCACCGTGGGGGATATACCCCGTTCCATGCCCTACGATGTGGTCATCCGTTACCAGAGCACCAGTCGCGGGGACTGGGAGGATGCCTACATCACGCTGGTGCGTCCCGATCAAGTGGATCCCGATGGTGAGTGTGGTCAGCTGGCGGCAGCCACTTCCTCGGAGACAAGGATACCCTTCTCGCTGCCCGATCGTAGCCGGCAGGTGGTTCCTTTGAATGATGTTTGCCTGGAGGCCGGCAAGGTCTACAAGTTCCGCATTTACTTTGAGAGGAAGCGACACAGCGAGGACACGCCCACGGCCACCATTTTGGTGGATTCTTTGACTCTGATACCCCGCATTGATGTCACCCCCATCTTCACGGGCTCCCCGATGGCCGATCTGCGCAGGCGGGAATACGAGGAGCACAACTGCAACATCTCCTTGTACGACATGAGCTACAAATCGGATGAGAATTGCCAGCATCTGGACAACTTTGTGAGCACCTTTGTCCACGATGGCGCCAGCATGTGCAATTGCAATCCCACGGGTTCGCTGAGCAAGGTCTGTGACTCCAACGGCGGCTACTGTCAGTGCAAACCGAATGTGGTGGGTCGCCAGTGCGATCAGTGTCGGCCGGGCACCTATGGCTTTGGTCCGGAAGGATGCAAGGCCTGTGACTGCAACAGCATAGGCTCAAAGGATAACAATTGTGATCTGATCACCGGACAGTGCCAATGTGTGCCGAATACCTATGGCAGGGAGTGCAATCAATGCCAGCCTGGATATTGGAACTTCCCCGAGTGTAGGGTGTGCCAGTGCAATGGTCATGCGGCGCAGTGTGATCCTCTGAAGGGTACCTGCTTGGATTGTCAGGTGAGAATGGGTCTGGAGAGACTTTTATATGAAACTTGTAGATGGGTAAATGAGCAAAATTGTCAAAGTTATCCGTAGTTTAACGAAAGTCGTTTGGGTATCAAAAAGTTTAACCCTTTGTACTCTTTTCCCTCTCTCTATCCTTCCAGGACTTCACCACCGGCTATAGCTGCGACAGCTGTCTGGATGGCTACTACGGAAATCCCCTCTTCGGCAACGAGATTGGATGCCGGCCCTGCCGCTGCCCAGAGACCGTCTCTAGTGGCCTGGCCCATGCCGATGGCTGCTCCTTGGACACGCGCAACAACAACATGCTGTGCCATTGCCAGGAGGGTTATGCCGGCGCTCGGTGCGAGATCTGTGCGGATAACTTCTTTGGGCAACCGGACAATGGTGGCACCTGCTCCAAATGCGATTGCAGCAACAACATAGATCCTTACGACACCGGCAACTGTGACCGCCAGACGGGAGCCTGCCTGAAGTGTTTGTACCAGACCACAGGAGATCACTGCGAGCTGTGCAAGGATGGATTCTTTGGAGATGCCCTGCAGCAGAATTGCCAGCAGTGCGAGTGTGACTTCCTGGGAACGAACAACACGCTGGCCCACTGTGATCGTTACACGGGACAGTGTCCCTGCCTGCCCAATGTCCAGGGACTGCGTTGCGATCAGTGTGCGGTGAATCACTGGAAGATTGCCTCCGGCGAGGGCTGTGAGGCCTGCAACTGCGATCCGATTGGAGCCCTGCAGGAGCAGTGTAACTCCTACACGGGTCAGTGCCAGTGCAAGCCGGGCTTTGGAGGCAGAGCCTGCAATCAGTGTCAGGCCCACTACTGGGGCAATCCCAACGAGAAGTGCCAGCCCTGCGATTGTGATCAGTACGGAGCGGCGGATTATCAGTGTGATCGGGAGACGGGTCAGTGCGTCTGCCACGAGGGCATTGGTGGCTACAAGTGTAATGAGTGTGCTAGGGGTTACATTGGCCAATTCCCGCACTGCTCGCCCTGCGGGGAATGCTTCAACAATTGGGATTTGATCTTGAGTGCCTTGGAGAACTCCACGGCGGCTACGATCCAGCGGGCCAAGGAGATCAAGCAGGTGGGAGCCACGGGTGCCTACACCTCAGAGTTCAGTGAGCTAGATAAAAAGCTGCAGCACATCAGGGATCTCCTGCAGAATACCTCGGTGAGTCTCGTGGACATTGACAACTTGGATGCGGAGACCAATGCCCTGAAGCAACAGCTTATAGCCTCCCATGGCAAGCTAAGTGAAACGGAAAAAAACCTAGACGGCATCTACAACTCCCTGAGCTTGTCGGGTGTGGAGCTTGAAGGTCTGCAGAATCACTCAAGGCTGGTCCAGCAACTGTCCAAGGAGCTGAAGGAGAACGGCATCCAGCTGCAAGAGTCTAACATCGAGGGAGCCTTGAATCTCACGCGGCATGCCTACGAGCGGGTCAACAATCTGTCCACGCTCAAAGAGGAGGCCAACGAGCTGGCCTACAATACAGACAGGAACTGCAAGCGCGTGGAAACGCTGTCCAACAAGATCCAAGAGGAGGCCGAGGCCCTGGCCAACAATGACAAGCTAATGGCCGAATATCGCTCCGAGTTGAGCAGCCTGACCGCTCAGATCCCAGAGCTGAACAACCAAGTTTGCGGCAAGCCTGGCGATCCCTGTGACAGCTTGTGCGGCGGAGCTGGCTGTGGTCATTGCGGTGGCTTCCTCTCCTGCGAACATGGCGCCAAGACCCACTCGGACGAGGCCCTCAAGGTGGCCAAGGATGCAGAGACGGCCATAACCAGCAAAAAGGATCAGGCGGATCAAACCATACGAGCTCTGACCCAGGCCAAGGTGAATGCCTCGGAGGCGTACGACAAGGCCAAGCGAGGATTCGAGCAGTCCGAACGTTATCTCAACCAGACCAATGCCAATCTCAAGCTGGCCGAGGAACTGTTTGCCGCTGTGAATAATTTCCAGGAGAACAAGACCGCTTCGCCGGCGGAAAGTAAGCAGCTGGCGCTGGATACCCTCGAACTGGACCTTAAACTCGAACCCAAAGAGATTGAATCCCTGGGCACCAAGATCAATGATGCTGTTTCCTCTTTAAAGAACGTGGAGTCCATCATCTACAAGACCCGCCCGGACTTGGACAAGGTGAACGATTTGCAGAGCATTGCCAATTCCACCAAGGAGAAGGCCAACAAGATCCTCGACTCGGCCAACTCGGTGGTGGAGAATCTAGCGGCCGCTGACGACTCTCAGGGCAAGGCTCAGGATGCCATTCAGCAGGCCAATAGCAATATTGAGCTGGCTGCCCAGGATCTGGAGAAGATCGATGAGGAAACCAATTCCGCCGAGGCTCCGGCCAATAATACTGCCCAACAGGTCGAGAAATTGGCCCAAACCCTGCAGCGTCTCCAGAACAACATTGTGACCAACGATCGGTATGCCAAGGTCATCTCCAAGGAGGCGGGCCGCATCAAGCAGGAGGCCATGAGTGCCCGCGGTGAGGCCAATAATCTGCAGTTCGCTGCCAGTGCCACGAACCAAACCCTAACCGATCGAGCTGATCGCTCCGAGAATGCCAGGGAAAGGGCCAAGCAGCTGCTGCAGAGAGCCTCCAAGTTGACCGTCGACACCAATGCCAAGCTGAAGGATCTGAACGATCTGCAGAGCAAGTATCTCATCAAGAGCCAGGAGCTGCTCGATCTGCAGGCGGCGATTGGACCGCTGAACGAGGTGCTCAACCAGCACCTGAAGCACATCCAGGAGCAGGCGTCCTACTACAGGCAGTGCTAGGATTTGGAGAGGAAGTGAGTATGGGAAGGGTATTAAAATAAGCTGGAAATAAATCGATTTTCTAAAAAAAAATCTTTATGATCGATTATAATCGATTTTCTTATAGAATTTTATAACAAAATTTATTAAAATAAATTATTTTTCGATTATTAATCGATCTTTTTTAATCTTTTTTCAGTTTCCCTATGCGCGCGCCATTTGAATTGCCATATTTCATGAACAAATAGAAGCAAAACTGCGAATTACGAGAAAATCGAGTTAAGAACAACAACAAACACAACAACAACCACCAGAAAGGCAACAGTTATTATGTAACCACTGTTAAGTTACCGTTACGTTTTGTACTCTAAGCTTAAAAGAAAAAAACAACAACAACAAACTGCAATGTTAATTTTAAAAATTGATCGAAAAAAATACGAAATGCCTTCATTTTATAGCTAAGTTTTTCTTACACACTCTATCCCCTATACACAATTTTTGTAATACAATTAATGTAATTAAATAAAACTACTTAAATGTGGAAATGTCTTGTATTCAGTTTTCTTTTCAAAACGACCAGATAGATAGAGAGAGTGAGTGCTAAAGAGCGAAAGAAGAGGGTTTTAATAGAGAACGACAGGTGAGAGTATTTTGGGTATTACAGGTGTAGATCCCTAAGGTAAAATCTTAGAGAAAAGAATAGATGTCCACTAAGAATGTACAATCATTGAGATCAAAATTAGATTAATTTTGATGTAAATATTTGTAGCATACTTTTAGGCTTGTTTTCAAGAGTTTTCAAATCTTCAACAATTTCTGCCTGCATTTTTACGGAAATTATTTAAAAACTCTTCAAGAAATTCTCAAAATTGAATATATTTTTCTTTATTAATAAATCTTTCTAAAGAATCCTCACTGTTTTTTAGGTTTTATTCAAGTATTGGTACTTATGCTGCCTGCAAACCATATTGACATTTTATTTTTATTCCATTCCGTTTTGTTTTTAGTTCTTCCGAGCGTCGCGTGCTGCTGGCTTGTTTTTGTTTTTAATTTTCGGCCAATTAATTTTCATATTTATTTTGTGTTTCATATATTGTGAAACCGGAAATCGTTTCGAATGGACAGACGTTACAGGCGACCACTATCTCTACGAAGTTCAGCAGGTATTTAAATTCCAAATACTAACTAAAACCGTTGGTACCGTTGTAGAGAAGCCCACTGCAAGGCCAAAGGTCAAGGTGATGCGGAAAAGTCGAAAAACGTTTCAAAAATCATAAACTTTTCAGTTTTCCCTTGCCATTTTTTGTATTATTTTCTTTCCTTTGACCAACTTCTCCCCAAATTCGTGTAAGCTTTTCGCGGAAAGGGTAACCCTGCCGCCCTATCGATAGCTCAAACCTATCGATATGCCGATGCCCGATTAATCCGAAATCTCAACAAGTGCAAGTTGCTAGTCGTCGTATTTTTTAATTAAAAACATCAGCGGCGCTGCGCTAAATACGACATTGTTTGGCGCGATATTACGGAGTGCAGTGCGTGCAAAGTATACATTAAATTACTTACTTATTTATTGCGACACCCGCCCGCCGTGCGGCAGATGTGCGACGTACGTACATACATATATAGAGCACACGCACACACTCACGCAGTGCGGATGTTCTGATTTTATGCAAGAAAAGCGAGTTTATTTTTAAAAATAAGAAGAACATCTTTTCTGAAAATATAATGCCAAAGAAAGGCGGCCAACAACAAAACCAACAACCACAACGACAACGACAAACGGCGAAAGAGAGGCAGCAGCGTCTCTGAAACGCAGGCAGGAAAAAGGGACAACACGCACACAGAGAGAGCGACGACGACAACGAATAACGACGAAGGGAAAGGGAACTTCCCTTTCCCTTCGTCGTTATTCGTTGTCGTCGTCGCTCTCTCTGTGTGCGTGTTGTCCCTTTTTCCTTTTTCCCTTAGGGAAGAACGAACGGCGAAAAACAAAAACGGGAGCAACGGCGGCAGGCGAAAAATAAATATATTAAAAACAACAACAAAAAACATAAAGGAAAACGACAACTGACGTGCAGCGTCAAGTGTTTTTCCCTCAGCTGAGTACGTTTTCCCCGCAATTGGGGTTAAAGATTTTCCTTTCAAGATGCAAGTTCTGGGCAATCTGCAATATTTTACGTTTTAAAATTAGTTCGCAGCGGAATTCATAAAATTTCAGTTATCCCTCATAAATAATTGCAATAAATTATCAAGTGAATGGAATTTTAAGTTAATTTTGTGCTCGAAATCTGTTACTCTATAATTAGCTGAAAAGTGCAATGTTTTTCTTTGAAAAGATACAGTGAAAAGAAGGCTTTCAATTTAAATAACATTTTAATTATAAAAAACATTAAAGGAAACCAAAACAAAAATTCAAATAAAATAAATACAAATATTAAGCAGTTGGCATTGAAAAAAAACACTTTAAATAGTGTAACAGCTTTGAGATATCCATTTTTTTTTTGTTGATTTTTTACAAGGTGTTAATGTACCTTTTCTGGTATAAAAACCTTGAATTATAGAGTTTTATTTATTAATAATACAATGTTAGCTTTGTTACTTTAAATTGAATATAAAAAAATACTTAGACTTACATTTAAAATTTAAACCAGTTTTTAAAACATTTTAATATATTTTATAATTTTTTAAATTATTAATTATTGGTTTTATTTCATCATAGCAAAAATATCATAACAAAAAAATATATAAATATTTAAAAAATTTATTTGGAATTCAGTTATAATTTTTAAAATATTAGTAACCGGTTTTATTTCATTACAACTTCCCTACAAATAAATATTAAAAATATATTTTCTTAATAAAATGCCAGAAAAAAATAATTAAAAAATAAATTCAATTTCTGAAAAATTTAAGCATCCCATAAAAACAGCTCTTGCCATTTTGGACTTTAAAAATCTTTGTTTTAAAATAAACCTCCAAAAAGAGGTCTTCGAAATCGTAAAATTTTTAACACAGAAATTTTATTACTTCCGATTCGGACAAATTTGATAGAATTTTAAATGGGGAATGAGCTTTGCATACTTTATAAACATATACGACCGCCCCTTTGTTGTTTATTTCAAAATACGTTTTTTATTTCTTGCCAAATACACATATATCTTACGATCTGATCCACACACAACCTATCCACAAACACTCGACGCTGACAGTCTCGCATGCCTTTAACTTGAAAAATCATCACCGGCAGAGGGACACGAGAGAGAAACCAGAGATCGACTGAGTAAACAGCGAGATATCACGGCTTTTCCCCATGGACGACGAACTGGAAGATAGGGTGTTCTATCAGACCTACGTTTCGCACATGAAAATCCTGTCCAAATTTGCGGTGGGCTTCTCGTCCATCAACTCGCCGCTGGCCTACATATGGAAGCTGTGCCGCCTATATGTCCTCCGGCCGGAGGTCATTTTCTGCGGCCTGATTCTATTCGTCCTCTTGCTTTACTTGCAAGCGGTAGATGTGTGGAGTCGCAGCATCCTGGGACGCATTCAGGCCACTCTGGGCCGCCAGAAGGCCGTCAAGATGATGGAGCTGTCGGCCAGTGCCGGTGATCACCAGAGTTGGGAGGAGATGAAGCAGCAGAGCTCTGCCTTTGCGGTGCTGGGACGCAGGCCTAGGATGGAGGATAGGTGAGTTTGGGAATTGAGCTATATTTTAAGGTAAAATGTGATATATTTTCATACTTAAAATTATTTTTAATCCAATTAAATTAGAAAATCAATTAGAAATTCTTTTGCCAATAAATATTTAGCTATTTTGGCGGCTAAATAAATTGTTTCCAGATGTTGTATATGGTTGAACTGTGCCCTATAAAACCACAATATCTATAACATATGTTATTTGCCATAAAAATTTATCTATAAAATTTAAATAAACATCAAAAGAAACACAAAAAAAATTGCATTTAAAGCATCTCCCTAATTATTTTTCTTATTTTTCCAGATTTATCATCGAGGAGAACATTAACAACAACACGGGCATCTCCTTTTTTGCCGTCTTTGATGGCCATGGCGGTGAGTTTGCCGCCGACTTTGCCAAGGATGTGCTGGTAAAGAACATTTACAACAAGATCATCGAGATGTCCAAGCTCCTAAAGTCTGAGGGTGGAGCAGGAGGTGCCTTCGATTACGAAAAGAGTCCTTATCTGGCGCGTAAGCAGAGCCGCAAGGATGGGAACAAGGAGAACACGGAACCCACGGCAACGGTGGCCCGCAAGGATAGCCTAAGGAAGGCGCACAGCACCACGGCCGATTGCAGTGCCATCAAGCAAAAGACCACAGAGGCCTCCATAGCAGATATTTACACCGCCACCTTGAATACGGCAATGCGGGCAAGTGGCAATGTGGGTGCCGCCAAGGATTCGTTCCTGAATAACAACAATAATAATGGACAAAGTGGTGGAGGTAATGCCCCACCGCCAAGCTACGAAGCCAAGTGCTATATTGAAAATGGACGTATTAACTTTGGTAAACTCATCACGGACGAGATCATGTCCGCCGACTACAAGCTGGTGGAGCAGGCCAAGCGAGCGGTTAGTAGAATAGATTTTGTTAAAGTTTTTTCCTATTTCTAATTATATTTCTTACCCTTTAACAGACCAACATAGCGGGCACCACCGCTTTGATAGCCATTGTCCAGGGCTCCAAGCTGATTGTGGCCAATGTGGGTGATTCCCGCGGCGTCATGTACGACTCCCGAGGCATTGCCATACCCCTGTCCTTCGATCACAAGCCCCAGCAAGTGAGGGAACGAAAGAGGATCCACGATGCTGGCGGATTCATTGCCTTTCGAGGCGTCTGGCGCGTGGCCGGCGTCTTGGCTACGTCACGTGCTCTCGGTGATTATCCGCTGAAAGATAAGGTAGGGATGGAATGATGATTAAATGCCTGATTATATTATATATATATAAATGACACACTTTATAGAATCTGGTGATTGCCACGCCGGACATCTTGACCTTTGAGCTGAATGATCACAAGTGAGTGCCGTTAAACGGAAATTAGAACTAGCAAATACGTTTTGTTTTTAAGATTTTTTTAATGTGCTTTTTTTTTAGTCACAAAAAGCTTTTTACGCTGAAGTTTAGTTGAAAAGTAGAAGAGCTTATTTTGAAAATAATACTAATTTAATGTATTAATATTTATTCCATGGAAAATTTCCACTATTTATAGACCCCACTTTCTGATACTTGCCTCGGATGGCCTTTGGGACACCTTTAACAACGAGGAGGCCTGTACCTTTGTCCAGGAGCACCTCAAGGAGTCGGACTTTGGGGCCAAATCCCTGGCCATGGAGTCTTACAAGCGTGGCTCTGTGGACAACATCACCGTTCTGGTGATAGTCTTTAAGAACGATGTCTATAGGATTGGCAGCAGCAGCAGCAGTGCGGCGACGGCAGGTGGAAAAGTTGCAGGAGAAGGCGGAGAAAATGCGCTAAAAGTGCCAGTTAAAAGTCAACCCGCAGCGGTTGTGCAACGCTCGAATTCAATCAAAACCAAATGAGGCTTTAGCTGCTCTCAACAAAAAAAGGAAGAAATTTATAATGAAAAACAAATGAAGTGCCCAAAAAAAATATTTATAGTTAGGCGTTTTGTATGCTACAAACAAATACTTTGTTTTTCTGTTAACTGTTCCCAAAGGCATTCAGCATTCACATTTTCATTCATTCATTCATTCATTATTTTCTCATTATTGTCTCTTGATCTTGATTCAAATTGTTTGCTGTTAGCTTAAATTGTTTTTTCACTACACATCACATTAGAAACTGGGGATCACAGTCAATCATATCACCATCAATCAGTCGTAATTTATTTATTTAATTTATTTGTTATGCTCTTGTAAATTATAGAAACATTTTCTAACTCTTATCGCGAAATGTGTTTAAAAAAAATAAATAAATAAATTAGGCAAGCGAAATGCTATCCTTAATCTTTAATTTGCTGTTTTTATTAAACAAAATGAGGTTGGGAAGCCCAAGTTTACAGTGAGTAATTAAAAATTCGTATATTTTTCTAAAAAACAACCAATAGAAAGTCAAAATTACAGAAAATATTACGAAATAATTACGAAATCTTGTCAATTTTAAATGAATATGAAACTTTTTCCGTTCTCTAAAATATATTTGAATTTAAAAATATTAAAATAACTTCCTGAATTCTCTCAGCTTTCAATCAATTAACAAAAAAAGCAAACAAAGATTGAATGAAATCAAATGCTTTACAAAAAATAGAAATCTATTCGCTATATTTATTTATAATATAAATTATGAATATAATTATAATAAATTATAATTATCTTTAGACCCACAATCAAGTCCCCACAGTTCCCACATATTTTCCTTCTTCTGAATTAAGGGTCGATTAATTTTATTTTTTGTTCAAACTAAACAAATAATTTCACGACCTATACAAAAATTAGTCAGTAATTTAGTGAGCCGAAACGGACACCTGCCAGACACGGATGGTGTTGTCGGAGTAGCCGGCGAACAGAGTTTGACCATCGGTGGACCAGGCCAGCGACAGGCACTGGGGCTGATCGGCCTTGGATGTGGGCGAAACGACCTCCGGGCGCAGCTCCTCGACGGTCTTCTTGCAGGCAAGATCCCAGATCTTGATCGAGGGACCGTAGGCCACGCACAGCCAGTAGCGGTTGGGCGAGAAGCACAAGGCATTGATGATGTCGTTGTGCTCCAGAGTGTACAGGTTCTTGCCGTCATTCAGATCCCACAGCAGAGCCTTCGAGTCCTTGCCACCGGAGGTGCACAGGGAGCCGTCAGGAGAAACGGTAACCGTGTTCAGGTAGCCATTGTGGCCATGATGGTTGTTCTTCAGCTTGCAGTTGGCCAAGTTCCAGACCTTCACAGTGCGATCCCAGCCGCAGGACACGATGATGGGATTGGAGTGATTGGGCGAGAAGCGAACGCACGACACCCAATCGGTGTGGCCATCCTCCTGGATGGTGAACTTGCACTCGGCCAGGGTGTTCCACAGCTTGATGGTCTTGTCCCGAGAGCCGGAGACAATCTGACGGTTATCAGCCGAGAAGGCAACCGACAGGACGTCCTAAAATGTGAGGTAGAGGGGTTTTCATTAGTTACAAGTAATGGTAGAGTTTTTATAATACCACAAATAATTAAAAATTATAAAAATCTGAATCAATATGTTTAATTTGATTGATTTTTTTTTGTGCCTACTTACGAGAGCGCTTCAAGTGAGCCAAGACTCGGGGCGAAGGGTAGAGTTTACAGATGTCAACCAGAAATTCTGCCTCGCATAGGCGCAATATTTATATTCTTTTTCTCGATTTGTGGGCACGGCAAGGGCGTAGTTGCAACCTAACCTCACACTCCTAACCTTACATTTTTTTCACTTGCCACTTGCCGGCCGCACAAATCAGTTGGCAAATCTCAGGGTCCCTCTCAATGGAAAACTACCAAAACTTCAAAAAGGAATCTTATCCCACCTTGGTGTGTCCCTCGAAGCGGCGAGTGGTCTTGCCGGCAGCCAGATCCCACAGGCGCAGGGTCTGATCCCAGGAGCCGGACAGGGCGTAGTTGCCGTCGGAGGAGAGCACAACGTCGCTGATGAAGTGCGAGTGGCCGTACAGGCGCTTCTGGGGGTAACCGTAGTTGGTGTCCTCATCACGGGTCAGCTTCCACACGATCAGGGTCTTGTCTGCAATACAAAATAACGATTATTTGTAAATTTTCACTGATGCCGCATATTTTCCACGTTTTGCGACGCTCTCCAAAGTGTGCCTCGTGGCTACAAGCGAAAATTTCACTCACCGCGGGAGGCCGAGATGATGGTGTCGGGATCCTTGGGGTTGGTGGCGATCTGGGTGACCCAGCCATTGTGGCCGATGAGGGTGCCGCGCAATTGCAGTGTCTCTGACATCTTGGTTGAATATTAATTAGCAGGGGAGCGCGGTTGAAACACGTCCAAGGGCGCTGCAAGCTGACGGAAAAAGAGGCCGTTTCCGGTTGCTGGAGATGTCAAACCAGAGATTCAGTATCGATGTTTCCAATCGATACTACTATCGATGGTAAGAAAAATATACTAGAGCTAGACGAAAGTAGAAAAATATACAGGAAGTACAACTCTACTTATCTTATTGTTTACAAAACAAAGCAAAACTTGTTACAAAACAACGTTTAATTTATAAAATATATCTTATTTTTTGTTTTAGTCGATAGTTTTGACAGTTTCAGCGATTTCACAATCATTTAAAAAATAAAAATAAACAAATATACATACGATAAGGACTTTTACCGCTACTGGAAATTAATTAAATATTATAATTAATTGGCTTTATTGGTAGAAACATATCGGTAAGCTTCACGATAAATATTTTGTTTTGCGTTTTATATCGCATCAAATCGTTAATGGCCGTATGACACTCTAATGCAATTTTCATTAAACCCGTATTTTGTTATCGAGTATCTAGTATATTTTATGTAGATCTATCGATTATCGCGGCAATGAAGTAACTAATGCATTATTCTAATTCTTTAGAGCGCCATATAGTCGTCTTGCTTGCACTTGTGTAAAACGCTATAGCGCTGTCAAATCTTTAATGAAGTCTTTAATTAATGCGCCAGTGTCATAGCCGTATAAGCAAAGTTCTCAACCAGAATAGGGCTGCATCTTCATGATGCGATTTTGTCAGTATTTAATATTTAATTAAAGTCTTCCCCCGGTCACACTGTATTCCATCGCGCGGTCACACTGCTTTGTAAATCGTGTCGTCGTCGCTTTGTGAACAAAAAATTCGAGGAAATTGCCCGAATCGACGAAGTATCTGCCTAATTCGATTGGGCACGAGCACACCTGTGTGCAGCTAAACGGAGTGAATACGCGACTGGCCGTCGAGCTTCAACGAAAGTTGACATTTTTCCTGCACCCCCGAGTTGAAAAAAGCCGTCAAAATTGAATCGACAAAGATTGACGAGACTTTTTCTTCCACTACAACTGCAATGGAAGATAAAGCAACAACAAAAGATCTTGATCAATGGATTGAGCAGTTAAATGAATGCAATCAGTTGACAGAAACACAAGTTCGCACTCTCTGCGACAAGGTAAGAATCCGGTCCTCGCCCATTTTCCCGTCCGAATAGGAGTTTAAAAATAATTTTTCATCATTGCATGCGAGAGATTTTTTTGCAAATGGTGCTCCTCTGCGTGCCTCTGCCCCTCTCGCTCTCTCGCCCACTGTGCTGGGCATGATTCATGTCGGACGCTCTCGCTCGCACAGTGGCGGCGGCGGCGGCTTGCGTCGCCATATTGGAATATTGGTAAATTCCAACAGCCAAGCGACGCATAGGGCTGCACGGGTGCGAGCGAGATGACGCTAGGAGCAAGTGCGTGCGTGAATGCGACAGCTAGAACAGCGCCTTGGTCTAATGGGCTAAACCTGGGCAAAAAAAGAGATATTTTACAATATACAATTGTTTTGCTAGACCCAGCGCTAGTGATAAGTGTTGTTGTTGTATCCGCTGGAAATTTCGCACGCAGCCTTGCCCCCCCCGCCCACTGCTGCAGGGCTGCTGTGTTCAAACGGTTTTTCGCCGAGTAAATATTACTTAATGTTTTTGTGTGTTGGTGTGTGCGCCCCTAGAATATGTATCTATGTACCCGCAATCGGTCGGCCGTAGTATCTAGAATTAAAGTGCATTTGGCTTGGTGTTTGTGTACGAGTATGTGCTTGCTGATGTGTGTTTTTTAGGGTTCAGCAATATTGAATTCAATTAAAACACTCGGCGCTATCAATTGTTTTTAATTTGCCTGCCAATTTTTACCGTTTATCGCGGCGCGCACGCACACATAAAAACAAACAAGCGGAGGAGTGGAGAAGTGAGAGAGTGCGAGGGAGAGAGAGTGCTGGCGTGAGAGAGGGGCAGACAGATAACGATTCATTGATTCGGGAGTAAGTAGGGTTATGTTTGCGTCACCAAAATATTTGGTCTGTGTGTTCCCATTAGAATCGCAGAAGAATCTTTCTGGCCATCGACCAGAAGAACGTTCTCCGCTCTTCGCGGGTGCGTCTTCCTTGGCTGTTCTTCCTCCTCCCTTTTTGTTGTAGCGGAAAAGGGAGAGCCGCCCCCGCGCCTGCATTTGTTGTGAGTTGGTGTGCGTGTGTGTGCTGGCCTCGTCATGAGTTTATATTATTTATTTAATTTGTTTTTGCTTCGATTTCTGGGCAAGCGGAAGCAACAGTCGTCAAGGTAATGCAAAAAATAGCAAAATCTAATTGGTACATACGCATAATTCGCTCATTTCTCGAGACTGCTGTTCCGGCCGGACACAGTTTTTTTGTCAGGAACTTGTTGTCTTTATGTTATATTTCACCAGCATGTAGATTATGGGCAATGAAAAGAAAATCTTAAAAGAACAAGTTAAAACCATTTTTAAATTTTAAAATAAGTCATGTAAGGATCAAAATGTGCTGTAAAGCTAATAAGACAGTACATGTGTCCAATTTGATAGCTTTAATTCGCCTTCCTTCCAGATAAAATTCATATTACAAACTGGCCGTGTTAGGAATTTATTTACCTTATTGCTCTTGGTTGCTACCTGGCTTTGTTTTGCTTTTCATGTGCCATTCATTAGCACCTGAGCAGAATATGCGCCAAATATATAAGCAAAATGTATACAAAATGCGATGAGCGAATGAATGGTCCATGGTCCCGGTTCTTTGACTTGTCCATTGGCCTCGCCCTTTGGCAATGTTATTATGAACGAACAAGTTGCCAACTATTTTGGGAATCACTTTCGATTTCGACGTTACTTTCGGACTTTCTGTTTCTTAAATAATTCTGTCTTGTCATGCTTCTTGTGAAAGAATTAAGAGAAACTGAAGAAAAGAAACTGGAGAAAACAAACTTGCTTTTATTTTTATTTTTTATTTCCTCTATGAGCTAAACTGATAATTCTTATTGAGAAAATTCCATTGTGTGATGCTGATTGTATTTATGCTTTTTATGCTCAGGGTTTTATCGTCTTTTTGCGGCCATCTATATTTAGATCCACTTTAAAGAGTTTCAGAGTTTATCTCGCACAATTTGTAAAGAGAAAACCATTTGATTATTCCCTCTATTTCTCAATTTCTCTAGAAACATTCAGTTGGACGTTGTGTAGTAGGCACTGCACTTAGCCTATATCAATGTTTTATCTCCTCTGCTAGTTACAAGCTATTTTTAGCAGCCACTTTATGTGTTGGCGTTGAGTCATTTGCATTGTACAATGTTCTGCGTACTTACTAATCGTTTTCTTTATCTTGTCTGGCCCTGATTTAGATCTTGATGAAATAAGAAGTAGGTTTTTGCAACAAGTTTTTACTATAATTTAAGTAAACTTTACTTTTGGCTTATGAAACTATTATGGCTAATTGTTAAACAAAGAAAAATACTGGGGTAAATGGTTATCGATTTGGCTTTTTGCTGATAAGAAGAAAGCCTGATATCAATATCAGAATTTTAATTGGGGTAATTATTATTTTATTTTGTGAATTATAATTTGCACGTTTTCACATTCTTAGTTAACATTATTCCTAATAAAAATGTATATCGATAGGAACAATTCGATATGATAAATCATATTCTACAATATCGAAAAATATCCAGTTTTTTAATGTCAAATAAAAGGGATTTAAAGTTAATTTTATTGATTAAATTGGTTTGATATCTCAAGCAATTATCGTGACCCTATAATATATCGATTTGTATATCGACTCTCGCATCAAATGTAGAATTATTATCTTTTTTTTAATACTCTCTGACACTCTTAATAATTCTAGAACCTTTTAATACCCCATAATTACCAATATATATATAGAATTTTTGACTAACTCTTACATTTTTTTCAGGCCAAGGAGATCCTCTCCAAGGAGTCTAACGTCCAAGAGGTAAAATGCCCCGTGACAGTGTGCGGCGATGTGCACGGTCAGTTCCACGATTTGATGGAACTGTTCCGCATAGGCGGCAAGTCACCGGACACCAACTACCTGTTCATGGGCGACTATGTGGACCGTGGCTACTATTCCGTGGAGACTGTTACCCTGCTGGTGGCCCTCAAGGTACGCTATCGTGAGCGCATCACCATTCTGCGCGGCAACCACGAATCGCGCCAGATCACACAGGTCTATGGCTTCTACGACGAGTGTCTGCGCAAATATGGCAATGCCAACGTTTGGAAGTACTTCACGGATCTGTTTGATTACTTGCCACTGACGGCACTGGTCGATGGGCAGATCTTTTGCCTGCACGGCGGCCTCAGTCCCTCGATCGACAGTCTGGATCACATTCGGGCCTTGGATCGTTTGCAGGAGGTACCGCATGAGGGTCCCATGTGCGATCTGCTCTGGTCTGATCCCGATGATAGGGGCGGCTGGGGTATTTCGCCCCGAGGCGCTGGTTACACCTTTGGACAGGTGAGTAATGGGATGGGAGGAAAAGCTAGTTGGGGTATAGGTGGTGGGGTTAATTTAAAATAACTTCTTTGAGTTTAGCAAATATACCCCCCACATGGTTGATTGTAATCTCTTGAAAAGTTTATAACTACTTGAACTATTAAAGTAGGCTTTTATAGCCCTGATAAGGACACACACTAGTAAACGTATTAATTGCAGGCAATTAAGTCTATTATGTCATGTTCTTTCTCTTCTTTTTTTTTGTTTGTTTTTACTAAATAAATATAGTAATAAATAAGCAAAAAAAAAAAAAAAAAAAATAAATTTAATTTAAATTACTTAACAGATTTAATAAGGATTTTTCTAATGATTTAAAATATAAGTAATTTTAAATATAAATTTAATTATTTCCTATATTTAACTATACAGTACGTAATATCAATTGTAATCATTAAATCACAGCTTTCCCAGCAGACAAAATCCAGTAATCAGGAATCAGTAATTAGGAATCAGTAATCAGTAATCACTAATCGACATTAACGACTGAAATGTGCCTTTGATGATAACGCAATCTATAAAAATTAAGCCCTATTATTGATAAAGAATCGTATATTAGTTTTTTATTTTGGTTTTTGTTTTAGGGAAATCCCCAAGGGTTATATAAATACATAAAAAATAAATAAAGTATTTATAAATTCCCTCTATATATTTTCAAAACCTCAACTAATTTCCCTACCTCATTTCAGGACATTTCGGAAACCTTTAACAACACAAACGGCCTGACACTCGTCTCGCGTGCCCATCAACTGGTAATGGAGGGCTACAACTGGTGTCACGATCGCAATGTGGTCACAATATTCTCAGCGCCAAACTATTGCTACCGCTGTGGCAACCAAGCGGCCCTCATGGAACTGGATGATTCACTTAAATTTTCATTGTGAGTATATTCGCAGTACCCTTTCTCCAAATGAATCATATTTGTGATCATTGCGTTTTATACTTTAATTTCAGCCTACAATTTGATCCAGCACCACGTCGCGGTGAGCCTCATGTTACGCGAAGAACACCCGATTATTTCCTTTAAGCTGGATCGCTCGCACCTATGCAGCTTTACATTAACACATATTTACATCGCATAACAACAACAACAACAACCAGAACCGAAAAAACAAACAATATATTAATATATACAAATCCAACAAATGGCAAAAACAAAAAAAAAATACAAAAAAACACCATAAAGAACCCGAAACTAAAAACCTCGATGCATTTGTTTTGTGGCTGAGATATTGTATAAAAAAAAAAGAAAAGGAAAGCAAATTTAACCATAACAGACGCGAGAACATACAAAATGCATTGAAAAACAGTTTATTGTTTGTTGTTGGCGTCGCCAGCGGGGGCGGCGTGCATGGAAAGTTATATCAAAGATAAATTGGGGAGAAGCAGGAGCAGGAGCAGTATATACAGAGCCGCTGATACAATCCAATCCAATCAAACCTACCAACCAAGCAGAAGCAACCCGAAGAACTACAACTACTTAGCTAAAATTGTTAATTTATAAAAATAACGAACTAAGCGCCGCAAGCAGAAAGCCAGAGAAGAAGAAGAGGAGGAGGAGGACCATAACCAGTAGGCAGGAATGATGGATGGATGCATGGATGGATTATGACGTGACGTGGATGTGTGTGCATGGGGTTGCGGACGGGTTGGACGACAGACGAACGCCAGGACGAGCAGCAGTAGCAGCGGACCCAAGCAGGAAGGATTATGATGAAGCAGCAGGAGCGGCAGCAGCAGTGGGGAAGCTTGGGGCGGGCCAGCGATTCACACAAAAAAAACAATTATAAAAAGAAAATAAGGAAATACAAATAAAAACGTTTAATATTACTGATTAAAATTAAATAAAAAAGCGAATAAAATTATTAAAAAAAAAAAAACAAAAAAACAAAACAAAACAGAAAAAAGGAAGAAAACCGATTAAAAAAAATTCATTATCAATTAAGTTCATATGTAACTTTAATAATAATAAAACAAGAAACAAAAAAAAAACAAAAACAAACGTGGCTTACCTGCAGACGAAGAGAATGAAGAAAGAGTGTGCGAGCCTCTCTCTTAAGAGAGTGAATTTCCCCTCAAGAGATAAATTCCCAAAAGAGCGTATATGGCTTTCCTTTTTGCCTGGCAATGCCATTTCCCTTATGTCCTGCGGCGTTTCCTTGGATGTATGAGCCTGGCAAAGATAACACGCGGACCAGGGCGGAAGTTAAGCCTCAAAACGGGCGGCCACCTAATTGAGACCACAAAGAGGGAGGCGTGATAGATGGGGGCCAAGCAGGAGCAGGAGCTTGTGATATATGGACAGCTGGGGCGAAGGTGGAGCCAGGCCAGGATGCGATGCGATGCCCAAAGTCGAAAAATCTAAAATCAGAGCCCAGGCGGAAGGCGGCTGCCTGCCTTTTTGATTTTCCCCAGCGAAAGCGAAAGCTGGGCAAAATCTTTGCCAACTTTGTATAATATTTTGCATATTTTAGAAGCTCCACATGAGCAGGCAGAATTTGGAGTATAGTAGTCACTCGTCATGTGTTGTGTGTTCGGGGGTTTTTGTTTTATATTTTACAGTGGGATTTTTGATATAAGAAAAGGATTTTATAATGAAAGGCAATGTGATAGGACTTTTTATATTTAATTTCGTAAAAAATTTAATATATTTTCCGATGATTATTGCACAGATAGAATATCGATTTAAGGCACATATGTATATCGTTATTTATATATCGACTTTTGCCTTAAATAATGATATATTTATACTTTATTTTCCATTTTTTTTATTAACAAATTTAATAATAATAAACTCTCTCCAAAGGCCTTTCAGAAAATCCTAAATTAACCCTCATTAATAATTAAAATTTAACATTATTTCTTCCTTAATGAAACAGCCAACTCCTTAATCCCCTCAAAACAAGGTTATTACATATATTTCCGTTATAATTCTTGCATCAGCAGATTGTACTGTGTTTTGCTGGAAGGAAATTCAAATTTCAAAACATGCTCGGTAGTCGGGACTCTCAAGTGCCAAGGAACTTGTACCTCTTCCTACCCGAGACTTGTCATCTATCATGGCCCCAAACAAACCCGAAACCAGAGAGAGCGAGAAAGCTCCTGCTCCGAGGCTGAAGCTGGGGAATGGTGTGTGGGGGGAATGGGGGTAATTGTCGCCCCGGTTGGGATGCTGCGAGGGGTTAAGGGCGGTGGGATTTTTGGGGGGCCTCGAGCAGATTGTATTTGTCGTGCGACGGCAACGGCGACTGCGGCGTATGCGACATGGAAAATCCATTATCACGAAGTGAATTTTTACTGAAAAATTTACATACCCACTCCAGCAGGCCCCCCGCAGTCGCTCATATAAATGTGAAAATAAATCCTGAGTGCGTGTTCAAGGGGCAAACACAGAGGGAGTAGGGATGCTGCTCTCGGCATGAATATAACCCACAGAAAAAATACAACTCTATTTGATGGCCTGTTATTAAGTAAAGGAATGCCAACAGGCAAAAGTTTACCATGGCAAGGCAAGAATCCTAGGTAGATTTTGTATTTAATTAAAGGCATAAATTCAAAACGATGGTCCCTCGATTTTCTACACCACAAGAATTTTCGAAGGGGAAGATTTTAAAAGATGGATGGAATTTTAGTATCAATTAACTCTAAAATAAGTTGTTGAGTTTATTTTACAAAACGAAATTTAAAGAATTATTTGAAAAATGGGCTTCTTAAACTTGACTTTATGTTTAACGAAAGGATTCCATAAGAAAACCAACAGTTTATCGATTTAACTTTATTTATCATAATTTTTGAAAGACCTTATTTATTACCATTTTGGGCTAATTTCAACTTTAAAATTAAGCCTAACCATTACTTTAACAATTATTCACAATTACTATCAGTAAATTGTCGAAATTAAATTAGGAATTAAATGAAAATAAATATTGAAATTATTTTCAAGACTGACTAAACTAAAAAATCCTTTTAAAAAGTCCCGGTTAAGCACTTAGTTAAGGCAAAAGTGCCTGTTAAATTACCGTAATCTAAAAAACTGCTATAAATCCATTCACCAAACCGAATTTCTCACTTCCCTTACAATAAAATCTCCTGATTAACTGAGATGTAACTGAAACTTGATTTATTTGAAGTAAAGCCACTGATTTACTTCGAGTGTACATCCCGACTCCTGCTTAGAGATGATGGCCGAAAATGTTCGGACCATAAAACAAAAGTAAGTGAATCGGTATGATGGATACGGTTAAGGTTAGGGATGCAATATAGGGTTGGGGTTTCTGAAGGGATGCCTGTGGAAGGTAGCCTAAATATTAAAAATTTAAATGAACTGCTCACTTTTTACGATTTTGTCCTTAGTTTACGACTCGTTTTTCCGCCAGCTAGAAAGAGAGAGCGAAGGCGTGCCCTAAACAAACGTTTTTCGGTATTTTTATCGTTTCAAAAGGACGAGATGAGGAGAGGAGAGGTAATTTTTGGGGGCTAGTGTGTGTGTGAGGGATGTATCTTTTACGATGCAAATTTGTTGCCATAAAATTGAAGAGTGTAGCCAAAAGTGAAGCGATGCTGCCTTTGCCTAAATAAACTTTGCAGACTACAATGATGATGATGAGTTGCCATTGCCGCTACGCTTGATGATGATGATGCCAGCCGCCCGCCGCCTGCTGCCTGCCGCTCCTCCATGGCCACGTGCTGAAGATTCCGGCGAAAAGGTTGAAAGGTCAGGCCCTGCAACACTCACACACGTTCTCCCTGGGCGAAATTGGGAGCTGGTAGCTGCCAACAGATCCAACAGCCGAGATAGGAGTAAGGAGAGGCGGGGGTGGCGGCTGGGCAAAAAATCAACGAAAATCGATTGCCGCTAAATACCCAAAGAAAAAAAAAAGTTACAGGGAGCCGTAGGAGTTAACGTAACGTTGTTAACTCAACTCAACTTGGCAAAAAAAAAAACACAAACTTTTTCCCCAGTTTGTTCTTCGTTTTTCTCGCTTGCTTTTTTTTATTGTTCTTGTTGTTTTTGGTTTTTTTGCAGATAAATAAATCCCCAACGATTTGCGTCTCAGTCTGTGTATATATATATTTAAATTTTTTAGACTCTTCTTTTTTTGCACTCGGCACTTGGGAGCTTGTTGAAAGGGTATATAATGGGAATTGAGAAAATCAAGAGGGAGCAGAGAGGGTTTGGAATTGTGGCACCTATTAAATTAAGTTTATTTTGGGTTAATTATTGAAGGGAAAACTAGAAGTAGTTGGGGTGGAAAATCAAATAGCAAAGGGGGTATTTTGGAGTAGAGCTTTTAAAGTTATTTAAATTGTTTGTTTTTTTAACTGATAAATAGGTGGTTTAGTTCTTTATTTTGTTTATTGTATTAATTAGGTTTTTTGCTTTATATTAATACATAAAATAGGAAAACAAATTGAAATGTAAATTAGTAAAATCTAAACCAAAGTAATTAATAAACTATTCGAAACTGAAGTGAAGAAATTTTAGTAAATTTAGTTTCTGGTTTAAAAGTAATTTTTAAAATTATTTGAAAAATTAACGGAGATGTTTTTATATTGATTAGTATTTAAAATATATAATTATTTAAAAAAAAGTGTAATATTCTCGTGAAAAGCAAGACTATAGATTTATGTATCGATATAAAAATCCTAAATCGTTCATTTTTAAATTGATTTAATGCAGGATTCTTTAAGAAATATTTAAATATTAAATGTTACAAATTCCGAGTCACTTTGATTAGTCCAAAAATAATCCTATACTTATTTTTACAAAGGAATGTGATTAAATTAAGTGTTAAAACTCGCATAAAACCCTTCTTAATATCCCCTTAAATGTCAGCCTCTATGTATTTTTTCCCCTAGTTTTTCTTATATTTCTTCTATAATTCCCCAAAAAGGTATCTAACGAGTATCTGTATAATATAAGCCCTGCTACTACTTAGCAACTAATCTAACTTAAACTGAAACTTATTGCACTGTCCGATTAGATAAGATAATTAATGTGAGCACAGAGAGCGGAGACTTTAGAGAACAAGCAGATAACCGTAGCTGTTTTCTGTGTGTTTTTTTGTCTTTGTTATGCGGTGGGTCAATGGGCATGGAATATTAAATTAGTAATTAGCTCAGCAGCGTCAGCAGCAGCAGCAACAACAACAACAACATCCAGATGTTGTCACAGCTTGTCTGCCCTTTCCTGTTCTCCCCCCCAGATTTTTCCTAGCCCGGAAAAAGTTTTTCCCCCGCCCACCGAATGGAGATGGAAACCTTAGTTTGCTCTTTTGCTTTTACTTTTGTTTCGTTTCCGTTTTCACCTGCAGGAATTACTCAAATTTATCTACGTGTGTTTGGTAGGTTTTGGGGCATTCCGCTAGTCACTGTAAGGCCATCCACCAGCTTCTACTCCTATTACAGTGAAAACTTGTTATAAATTAAACATTTAATACAATTTTTTTAAATTGGAAAATATATTTTATCGTTCTTTTTCTTTATATAAGTATCCCTAGTTTACAGTTTTCAACTTTTATTACTCATACGCAGTGTTGACTTTTTTTTAAAGTTAATAATAATAATTAGCTCTCATTATATATGAGTACCTATTATTTAAAAAATTTACTTAGATACTCACAATTTTATTAGTATTCGTTCCGTTTTGTTTATTTATTTATGGCTTGCAGAAATTATCACTCAT